TTAATGTCTGTTAAGGACCCAAGCAATAGACTAATGCGTTGGTCGCTTTCCTTATCCGAGTACAGTTTTAAAGTTATGTATCGTCCTGGAAAAAATCATTCAAATGTAGATGCGCTGTCAAGAATAAAGTTGGTTAGGTTAATAAATGCTACGGAAATTTGGGACCCAATGTGGAGTCGTAACGAAGTAAAAAACTTACAAAAGGCAGATGCGAGCTTAAAAACTATTTATAATGCATTACACTTAGGCAAGGGTAGTAACTATTATTTGGATATAGACGGATTATTGTATAAAAAATCAAAGGATCAGCGCTACGAAGATATGTTAGTGGCTCCGGCAACGATGATCCCATCCATAATGAAGGCGTACCATGATTTACCACTTTCAGGTCATGTAGGAATAGACAAAACATTAGAAAGGATTAACAAACATTTTTATTGGCCAAAAATGGCCGAGGACATAAAAAATTACGTAAACGCATGCATACCGTGCGCGAAAAGAAAAACATCACCGCATATTAAACCGACACTTTTACAAAAATTTACTATACCACCGAGACCTTTCTACAGAATAGCAATGGATGTTGTTGGACCGTTGCCGGTAACCGATCAACAAAATAAATACATATTAACCATCCAAGATGCATTGACTAAATACGTAGAAGCTTTCCCAATGAAAGACCAAACAGCAGATACGGTAGCCAGAACTTTTATTACAGGGATAATTTTAAGACACGGAACGCCCAAACAATTATTAACCGATTTAGGAACTAATTTTACCTCAAAACTCTTCGAAAAAATGTGCAACCTTTTGAAAATTAAACATTTGAAAACGACTGCGTATAGACCGCAATGCAACGGAGCATTAGAAAGGTTTCATAGGACATTAAAAGATTTATTGTCACATTACGTTCAACCAAATCATAGAGACTGGGATATTTGGCTACCGTTCGCTTTAGCATCGTATTGTTCCTCAACACATAGCGCCACAGGTGAAAATCCTTTCTTTTTATTGTTCGGTAGAGATATGGATTATCCATATGACGAGATGTTCAAGCCACTACAGGTAAAGTACGATAACGACGTAAATTATGTCTCGGAATTTTTAAATAGGATGAAAATAGCGCACAAAAATGCAATAGATATGATAGAGAGAAATACAGAAAGGGTGCACGACACATTTAATAGAAAAGCGGAATTACACAAGTTTAAAATAGGAGATCGAGTATATGTGTTCGATCCGTCAGATAAGCCAGGAATAAGCAGGAAATTAACAAAGAGATGGAAAGGACCTTATAGAATTATAAATTTAAATAACGTTACCGCCGAGGTAAAAGAAATACACGGGAATAAAATAGACAAAGTACATGTTAATAGATTAAAATTATGCCTAGCAACGGAAAATCAGGTAAATCAAATGGGACTTATACCCATTAAGGTAAGACAAACGAACGATTTAAACAAGTATCCAACGATCGGATTGTATACCGAGGAAGACCCCGAGCATATACCAAGGAAAGTTAATAATACAATAACACAATCGTCCAGTTCACAACATCAAGAAATTAATTCTTCAGCAAGGGATAATAATTTTTCTTTCAGGAACATTGATAATAATCCAAATCTAGTTTTCAGTAAAGATCCCCCTGTAGCTTTCGATCAGCAAGTAAACCCAACAAATACGGAGACAGCAACAAATTCAACAGCCAAAGTGAGGTCCTCTACACCAACCAGGAAAGAAAAGCCGACCGAGTTACATCCCATGGTTCTGCGTAGCAGAGGGAAGGCCGAAACACAGCCATGGATGTATAAGAGAAGAAAATAAATATCGTTAAACCAAAATATTTTAGATCCTCATTTAGTTTTCGAAATGTTTTAGAAATGTCCACCACGGGGGTAATCAAAAGAAGAAGGCGGAAATAACAACGAGCCAACAAATATGCATCCAAGGAGAATCGCACACAATCAAAAGTCCAATCAGACCGTCCAAAGAATCCAATTGGACCAAAGCGGCCTGTTCCAGCCTATCACAGCATCCCAGACGTACCATGCCAAGATGTAAACGAAGAAGACGACCGCACCTCAGGAACAACAATATTGCAAAGGGACGCAAAGAAGTTCAAAAAGAAAGAAAAAGAAGCCAATAGCCTAGAAGAAAGAAAAGTTATGACGAACCCAGCAGTTAGAACGATTTAAGATGATTAGCCACAAAATCATTCTATATGTCAAACGTTACAATGACTAAAGAACCTTGAAGAATACACCAGCAGCATAGCAGATGCAGGAAATAGCAGCAACAACCCCGGTAGCAATCCAATCATCAGCGCCAACACCTACAAGTACAAGGAGCAACGTTGGAGAAAAACTAAACCAACCTAGAAAGTGCAGAGACGAACAAGTGAAGTGTTTGGTGCGTGATACAGTGACACAAACATAGTGAGAGTTAAAGAACAGACCAAGCCTGAGTGAAATCATGGACTAGGGAAAGACTAATTAGTATAGATTTAAGAGGATTGTACACCTTATATTTAGTTTGTTAGTTTTAGTTTAAGTTGCTTGGTTTTTTAACGAATCAATTTGTTATTTTGCAATTTTTTTTTATTGATTCGTTTAAAAAGGGGGGAGTGATGTAATAGGGTAAAAATCTGAAGTTTCACTAAATTTCAAAGAAATGGTTGTTTTGAAGAATTAAGAAATTTAATACTTAGAAGGATTTTTAAGAGAGCCAGATGTCACTTGGGGGGGCCTAGGAGCATGTTTTGGAAGTAATAAATAAATAGATAGAAAGTTTCTTTGTCCCCGAAACGCGCACTAAAAAGTAGCCAGATGATGTTTTTCTTGGAAAAAGCCTTAACGCTCAATTGAAAACGCTTCCCTTTGTTTAAATCGATCGTTGGAAAATTAAATAATAGAGAAAGTAGTTAAAAGAATAATAACAAATTTATTTAGTTAATAATCATTTAGATTAAAGAATTAGGACTAAGATAAGGATATAACCAGCCGTATAGTAGTTTTACCGATAGGTTTTAAGAATTTAATGTAACCCGAGAAAATTGTCTAATTGTATAACTTAGGTTGAAGTAAAAGGGTAGTTAGTAATTGCAGACATAGGATATTTTAATGTTTTGGACTTTGTTAACAGATTTAAATTTTTATAGAAAATAAGTAACTTTGTAGTTAGGCAACCCCGAATTCACCCTAAAGTCAGCGTTAAGTAGGGGTAGAAATTTCTCACTGCACGCCTCTGATTGGCCAGAAACTTCAACCCTGAGGCAAGTCACGCCCTCGACTTAAGAAAGTCTTTAAATACTCTGTACCACAGGGTTTGACAGATTTTATCTTGCAAGATTTCGCGCGCGTCGTTTCCGAGTTCGAAGGTCGAAGTTCTAGCCAGTCAGTGTAATTAATAAAGTCAGGTATATTGTTAAGTTTATTGTAAAGTTGCTTATACAGGTGCTCGCAGTTACGTTCACCTTAAGTGACCGGTTTAGTTTAAAATTTGTAGTTTAAAGTATTAGTTTTATAAGATTCATTTAGGTTACCTTTTTCTAAAGTTAATTTAGTTTTCGCTTATCAGTTTAATTCAAAAGTTAGTTTTTTAATCTTAATTTCTCCGTAAATTCTTTGTTAATTTTCTTTACCGTTAAATTATTAATTTTTCTTATTTCCTTTGTTAATTTTTATTCTTCTTCTTAATTGTAAATATATTGTTTGTGGTTAGAATCGGCTGTGTTTCTTTGGGTACCTGTTAATTCTAATTACCCAGTGCTTGGCAAGCGTAAGTATATCGGGATTCGCGAAGTGTTCCGGGAGATCCGTCGCGAGTGACTTAGTGTGGTAATTCGTGCTTATTGGGATTACCAAATCATCGGCAACCGTCGCTGGATTAAAGGTCAGATTAGTGGTAACATCCTTGTAACGGACTGATAGTAGTCTATATCAGCCCCGCTCCCCGCGTTAATTAACCCAAAAAACCACCCGTTACAGCAGATATTTTTAATTGAATGTGAAACTTTTAATTCAGATTGAAAGTTTGGACACCCCTGGTATTCCAAACTAATTCTGTCGCTAGATGGCTTTCTTTTCTTAACTCTAAAGTATTTTATTTATGCCAATCTAACGTAATTTTGACAAAAACCATTGTCAATGATATTAAGTATACTACTTTTTGACGTCAAATTGATAGGTGCCTGTTTAAGAAGTAGGTACCAGTATAAACTTAAAAATTTTAAATGGATGATATTTATATTTTTAAAATTAGTTTAACGGTTGCTAAGTAGTTGAGCATTTGAATTTTTCAAACTTTTTCTTAATATTATAGGAAATATTTTTAATTAGGTAATTTTTATGTTTTCATTTATTTATTAAAATAAGCAGATATTTTTAAGTAAATGTAAAACTTTTAATTCAGATTAAAAGTTTGGACACCCCTGGTATTCCAAACTAATTCTGTCGCTAGATGGCTGCACAATCACTGTGATCCAATTAAAAATATCTGCTTAGCTAATAAAATGCAAATTAAAACGAATAAAAAATATATCCTATGATATTTTTAATATATGAAATTTTTTTAAATGTATACATTTAAAAAATTTTCATATTAAATTTTTAATTAAGCGAATTAAAAATATGTGTTTAGCAAAAAAATACAAATATAAGAAGCAAATATTTTAAATTAACTAAATAAAAAATATCAGTTTGACATAAAAATTAAATCTAATTTTATTTTTAATTCGCTTCATAAAATTATTAACTTTTCCAAAAATTCATATATTTTATTTTCTCGTGTTTAATTGTTTATTAAAAGCTAATTAATAATTCTTAATTAAACGTATTCAATGACATAGTACTTCCATTGAGTAAAGAACACACTTTACTCAATGGTACTTCTTTATCAATAAAATTTGAAAATATCTATCTACTACATGTTGTTAAAATGCATACATATTTTTGCATTTAAAAACATTTTGCGTTACCTAATGATGGTTTTAAAATGTATGAAAAAAACGAAGTATTTGCATCAATATTTGGCCACAATTACGGGTAAGAGATAAGTTTTTTAAATAGATAAACAAATTAGTATTGTGTGGGAATTATAGCAAATCTTTCATTAAATAAGTTTTAGCATATATATGCATAGTACGATTACTTGATAAGTAATGCAGTCAAAGTAAATTAGTTTTTTGTATAATGAAGTCGGTTTTTAAGTTTTGTAAACAATATCTAGCTATTATCACAGGTAAAAACCTTAACATAACCATTTCGGTTGTCCAAAAATATTTGTATCCACATTTTTTTTTATTCTATTCTATAATATGGCACCCCCAATAAATATAATATGAATTTAATTAGTGCAATTTATTAATTACCATAGTTTATCGACAAATTTCAAATTTCATTTAAAAAATCCAAATTTTACCGATTTTATACCATTTTAAATTTTTAGTAATTCTTTTCAAAGAAAAAATAAAATTTTAAAATGATATAAAGTCTGTATGATTTGGATTTTTTAAATAAAATTTGAAATTTGTCGATAAACTTCAGTGAATTAAATATTGTACCACTTTAATTTGAATTATCTTAATTTGGAGGGGCAGGAGGCTGGGGGTTGCACTTAAAAACTAACTTTTTTTCGCAAACTTTAATTTAAATTCTGCTTGCGTAGAACTTGTTTATTTAATGTCATTATAAACTCATATAAATTTGGTGTGGGTCCCATATCTAATAATTGAGATATCGGTATACCCAAAATCCACCAGCCGCCACTGAATATTACCACAATTTTTTTACAATATTGTAGCAGTTAATTTAAAACTATTTCTTTCCGTGTACTATGCTCCACACGTCAAAGTCCCACCACGTGAATTCAGTGTTCCCAACTGCAGGGAATTTTCCCTTTTTAGGGAATTTTGGTACCAAAAAGGGAAAAGGGAATTTTTTAGTAAAAATCGTTAAAATTAGGGAATTTTGACCCAAAATAAAAAGAAGTTTGATAACGCAGCCCAAATTTTGTGGCTAGAAGAGGAAGAAGAACTAACTATATGTCAATTAAATTAAATACATTTTATTTCATGTTTACCTTTATATTTTAATAATTTATTTGTTAGATGAGGCGTATACTGCAAAACGGCCCTTTTATCTCGAAATATTCCTATAATGCACTTACCGAGTGAGCTAGCCTAATAAAGTGTGTTTTAATATGAATAGTATACTTACTTGAATAATATACTTACTCTTCTATAGTTACTACTCTGTATATTAAAATATACTCTATTAGGCTAGTTCACTCGTTAAGCGCATAATAGGAATATTTTAAGATAAAAACAGAAAATGATTTTTTTTCAGTTAGGCCGATATTGCAGTAAACATAATAAAATTTGTTTTAAAAATTGTATTTTTGATATGAAGTCATTTTTCTTGGCAACATTGAATGCAGGGAATTTTGGCACGAAATAGGGAATTTTTGCCATGCAACAAGGGAATTATTACACTGAAAGGTTGGGAACACTGCGTGAATTATGTATCTATATTATAGTGTTACCGCTTATGTTTAAGCGTTAAAAGTTAATAAATCTTTATAGTATCACAATAACAATGGTTGGTTTAAGAATTTAGGAATATAAATACTGCATTTAATGAAATTCCAAAGTGTAAGGTGCAATATAAGTGATATTTTTGTACATTTCTCCATAAAATAGTTTTAACTAAACAGCATTTATTTTAAAAAATCTAACTTCTCTATTATAAAATAAGAATATCTGTATCAAAGGTAAGTTAATGTATTAGAACAAAAAATATCATCTAATTTTGTATTTTAAGTTTAGAAAAATCTATTTTGACCAAAATAAATAAGTGGATTATTTGAAAGAGTGTGTTAATATGGTCATAAATAAATATAGGTATACTAAATAATTGTTGAATATAGTTCAAATTAAATTGAAGCTTTTATACTTCTAACGACAAAACTTGTGCATACCTCTCGGCATACTTACTTTAAGTTAGATTATAAGAAAACAAACAATTTTTAGAGAAACTTTCAATGTGAAAATATTTAATACTCCCATGACATGTGATTTATTAAATTTTTTAAAGTTATAATGATTTTTTTATGTAGATCAAATTCAGTCAAAGCTTTTTAACTATTTGTATTGACAAAACTTTATGTAGGTACACTTTAAGTTGGATAAGAAAAACTACCACATTTTTAAATACCATATTATACAGTCTTTTAAATAATCCAAAATACTTATTTATTTTGGTCAAAATAAATTTTTATTACCTTAAAATTACAAAATTAGATGATATTTTTGTTATAACATATTAACCTACCTTTAATACAGATATTCTTATTCCATAATAGAGAAGCTAGATTTTTTTAAATAAATGCTGTTTAGTTAAAAAATTTTTATGGAGAAAACCAGATATTTAGACCAAATGCACAAAAATATTACTTATTTGGCACCATACACTTTAGAATTTCATTAAATGCAGTATTTATATTCTTAAATTCTTAAACCATCCATTGTTATTCTAATGTTTAGATTTATACATTTTTAACGCCTAAACATAATATTATTTCTTTCGTTGACTATACTTTGACAGATACATAACCTGAAAAGCCTTAAATGCCAAATTTTCAAAAGACTGCGTTCCGTACGTGGTCACGTGGTGGGACTTTGAGGTGTGGAGCATAATACCTACACTAATAACACCAAATGTTTTAGGATGTCTGTGTATTGTATCGACAGGAATGCACTATGGCTGGCCCTCACCAGCCCTACCAATACTTTTATCCCCCGATTCTCCAATAAAGATAACCAACGAACAAGGAGCGATGATATCAACGATCCAAGAATATGGAAACGCTGTGGGGGCCCCGTTGGCAGCGTTCATCGTCGACAGAATCGGAAGGAAGCTGTGCATTTTATCATCAGCCCCTATATTTTTTATCGGCTGGATTCTGATGGCGCAAATTAACTCGCTTGCGGTCATATACGCTTGCAGATTTTTCGCTGGGGTGGCTGATGGTGTAACTTATACAGCGTTGCCGATGTATTTGGGCGAAATAACGCATCCCAATGTAAGAGGACTATCTGGGACTTTGTTTCAAGTTTTTTATGTTTTCGGATTGTTGATGTTTAACGTCCTCGGCTCCCTGGTCAGTTTGAGGATGGCTACGTATATCGCAGCCACTATTCCCTTGATACAAATCCTAACTTTTTCTTTTATGCCTGAAAGTCCCTACTATTTAGTCATGAGAGGTAAAGTGGGCGAAGCAGAGGCAAGCTTGATGACTCTAAACAACGGCGAAGACATATCACATACTCTAAAAGACATAACCAGTGCTATAAATGAAAAAATGAACGAGAAACCTAGTAGATGGGAAATTTTTACGGAACCATCAAATCGCAAAGCCATATACATAACATTTGGTTTAAGGTTCTTTCAACAGTTTACCGGTATAACAGCTTTGAACTTCTACATACAGCAAATTTTCGTCGAACTGGACGTACCAATGGAACCTAGCACCATATCCATCATTTATTTCGGCTTGCAATTCATCGTTTGCTCTTTGGTGTCCATCATTATAGACTGGACAGGAAGAAAACCGCTTTTGTTGTACTCTTTAAGTGGGACAGCTTTGGCTAACATCACCTTAGCAAGTTACTTCTTTTGGTCGAAAGATTTGGACTTGAGTGGTTCAAACATAAGGTATCTCCCGATCGGGACAGTATTTTTCCAAATTGTTATTTACAATATGGGTTTAGCCTCCACACCTATGCTTCTACTAAGTGAAATGTTCAATGCTAGGGTCAAGGCGGTGGCTATCTGCAGTGCAGATATTTTCCTAAGTGCTTTAATCATCGCAGTTTCAATGTTCTTTCAGTTCACCAAAGACAATTTCGGCATCTATGTTTCCTTTACGACTTTCTCGATTTTCAGCATTTTGGGAGGGTTATTCGTTTTATATTTTGTGCCCGAAACAAAGGGTATGACTCTGGAACAAATTCAGGATTATCTTAAAGGTGCGAAGAAGGAGAACATTGAACTTGCTTGAGTATAAAAAAGACTGATTTATTGTATAAAGGAATTATTTATTTTAAGTGAGAATGTAAAATAAATGTAAGTAACTGATTGATAATTTGTTTTATTTTTTTATTGTGATAAACATATTTAGAAGTATACATAATATGTATACTCCTAAATATGTATATCAGTCAAAATTTTGAACTCAATTTTTTTTGCCTTTTTTAGAAAAAACAATAAAAAAAAATTGTGAATTCACTTAATATTTTATATTTTTGTTATGCAGTAAACATTTACCTACAATTTAAAAGAAAATTGTAGAAACAAAATAAGTTGGAAAGTAACGACCTACCCTTTTTTGTGTGGGGACACACTGTATGTATACTGGTATATTATAATTTGTAAAATAATATAATTCACCTCTTGTGCCAACAGTTATTTCATTTAATATAATTAATATAATATCCTCAATTATACTCAATAAAAAAAAATCAGCAAAAAAACATTTCAAATTTCCTAAATTATCTAAGATAAACCCTTAGGGACGTGTATCTTTTTATCAATTAACTTCAAATTTTGCAAGAATTTGTTATTTTTTTAAATTTGGAACCGGTGTGTGGGCCCCACCAAATTTAATTAAAAAAAAATTATACAGGGTGTTTCCAATATCTTTAAATTTTGACCTGATACAGCTAAACCAAGCACGGATTTGTAATCTACTACCAAAAATTAAGTTTACGTGTCCGAGCGTTTAGCTGTGATATTTTCACCTCCCTACAGTGTTATTAGGGTGTGTGGAAAACAAAATGTTTGTTAGCATAGGTATGGGTAGAATTTGTACCTTATAAAAAAAAATTTACTCAACATCTTGAGGTGGCCCACTCGTTTTTTAAATAAATATTTAATCATACGGGAAATTCTTTTTTTGGTCCAAAATCGTGGAAAAAATGTAAAAATTGTAGAAAGTAATTTTTTTCAAAAAAGTTTTTTTCCCATTGCTTTTGTAAAAAATTAAAAAATGAAATGTAAAAAATTAAAAAATGAAATGCACTTTCTTTTGTATTTCTTTTTTGAGTGTTTATGTTGATTTTATTTTATAAAAAGTTTTAGTATATTTTTATAGTGAAATAAAATGTTAATATTCACTTACCAGCAAAACAACCAACAAACTGTCAAATCTGATACTTCTTTTAAGCACAAAGCTTTTAAAACCTTATTAATTTATTTACTGTTGTACACACTTTAAAACCTAATAAACATTCAAATTTAATTAAGAGTTTAAAAGCGATATCATTAAAAAATGCATTAATATTTGGTATCAAATTTAAAAAGGTGGATTTGTTTTGTGACCAACGAACCACCTCTTTTATTAAAAAAAATAGTTTTGGCATAACGTATGGTTTTTCAATTTCAAAAAAAGAATATATTTGTATTTTTCCAGACTACTTGGCTCAACATGAACCAGAAAAGCTAATTCAAGGCACTCTAGAAATAAAATGTAATCAAAAAATGATTTGAGTTGTAAAAATTGAAAAATGACATATGTATGTATTCAGATTTTTATTTTGAATCGAAATAGGTATGTTTTATTAAAAATAAAAAAAACATTTAAATGTAGAAGAAAATGCTATCAAATAAAGATAATCCTAAACGAGTTTGAGTCTCTGGTTCGTCCACTTCACAGCCCAGATTTGGCTCCCAGCGATTATTACATAGTTTTGTCATCAAATTTAAAATTAATGATGGGGAAAATTTAGGACGTTTGGAAGAAAATTTTAGGTTAATTTTTTTACATTTAAATATATACATATATTTAAATTCTACTACAGTATTGACGTACTAATAAAAAAGTCAATTAATTTAAAATTTGTACAATCTCAAAACGATAAGCATGTACGCTATATGTTCATTATTATTACCTACTTTAACTATTATAAATAGCTTAAGCTATAATTTTAAAGCATGGTTTATATAAATATAAAATTAGTCATCATAACTACGAGAGTGGTTTAATAAGTGAGTGACTTTTTGAATAAAAAAACATTTTTTAGGGGGTTAATGCATAAAAGGTCAATTTTTAACCGGCTAATTTTTTTTAGTCGAAAATAGTTTTGCCATAAAAATTAGTCGAGAATTAATTTTTCAATGGCAAAAAGATAACTTTTAAAAAATATATTAGGTTAAAAATTCATCTCGAGTGTTTTATGGGAAGATAAATACATGAATAAATACTAGGAAAAAAACATATTTTTATAAACAAAATTTATTCAAGTATTTACTAACATAAATAAGAAACAAATTCACATATTAATTGTATTAACATGAATAACACAACTGTTATAAATAGTTCTGTTACTCTTGGATTCTGAAATTTGATTATTGGCAGCGTTTCCAGAAATTTTATTTGTGCTTGTAGGATCTCTTAAATTGGAAATTAAATTTTAATGATGGTTATCATCCGATTGTAAGTACGGTTTTATAGATTTTGCATTAACATGCCCAGTTATTTTAATTAAGCGTTCAGTAGAAACGCCTTTTTGAGTGAATTGTAATTTTATTCTTTTGACCATCCAATCCAATGTTCTTGGCTGTTTTCGTGGCTGTAGTCCATTTACCAAGTACACATTTTTATACTACTTTTTATACTTCTTTTCACCTCCTTGTCGGGTCTTTGAAAAAATAGTATTATATTCTAATCTATTCGTGAAAATTCCATTTAAACTTTTTTTCTAATTTAAAATAATCTGTTGTACATTTGACTGCTTCTCCACCTCTCCAAGCAAGTTCAAATGCTGCAACATGGTAAAATTTCTTTTGCAACCTTTCAGGCGTGTCTTCTTCCCAAACCTGTATCATTTTTTTCACATTTTCTTTGTCAAGGGCAAGTGAGCTTTGTTTTCGCTTTTCCGAAATAGCTTGTAATCTCGTTCTATTTGCATTTTTTTGCTTCCCTTGCCTTTTGAAATTCCAAATCAGTAAATGGATCAAATTTTATTCCGTATTCTTCAAAATATTTTTGTTGCAATTTTTTTGCGGTAACGTTCCACATCGGTTTCTTATAGTCATCTCCGTTAGATTTTTTCATATTGAATCAAAAAAAATCAGTTAATAGGTATATTTGCAAGGTCACTTGTCGTTGACGTTTTTTGTAGACGGTATTTCCTTACAAAACGCCATAAATTGGCTCCATATGGATTTTGTATTTTGTATTTTTTTGTGCTTGTTGGGATGCTATTTTGAATAGCTTGGAATTCATTTTTTAGTAGAACAAACTGTTACCATCTGGTAACCACATAAATGAACAGAAAAGCCTGGAGATAGAGAAGGTTACCTAGTAACATACCAACAGGGCTATTATCGTAAGTAATATCAAGGGCACCTAATTTTTCCGAAAAAAATCGAAAAAACACGTTGCTAAGTAATATTTTAACAAAAAGCATGAGTGCTGGTGGCAACAAAAATCCGAGTCGAAGAGGAGGATTTTTGCACCTGCACGAATGCATTTTGTTAAAAAATATTACTTAGCATTGTGTTTTTTCGATTCTTTTCACAGGAAAAATTAGATGCCCGAATGGTATTTGACAAGACTATTTCATGAGTAACAGTTATTCTGCATACACAATGTGTAAGCTATGTGTATTACACTTAGCTTAGGGGAAGGTGGGGGAATTCTGCGCATCTAAGCAAAATCTCTAGTATCTTTGTTAAGTTTAAATGTGAAATTTTGCAATTATAATTATAATTATAATCTGGTATTATAATACCAGAGATAGTCTACTATGTTTACTATGTGTATATAATGCGCAATTTATAAAAAAAAAATGTTTGGTATGCAAAAACTACATTTTTTTAAATAATGCATTTGCGCAAAATTACCCACCTATCAGGGTAATTTTGCGCATCAAAGTGGGAAAATTTGCGCTGTATAGAGAAAGATTTGTAGGTATCTAAATAAACCGTTTATTTCTATAATACTATTATAATAAAACATAAAAATAAAACAAAACTATTTTCTCTATGAAACAAACAAAACAAACAAAATAAAAAATAAATAACTAAAAATAAAATTTTTCTTCTTAGAAATAAGAGGGTCTACATACAGCATTTGTCACATATGTAGTTTTAGGGTTTTTTTTTTCGATACACCCCGCCTGTGCCCAAATGGAACTGTTTATGCTGAACAATCTAGGCTCCTGTATACCAAAGCTCCCATATTGGCCAAATTTTGCAGCGCAAAATTACCCCAATTTTTTAGCGTAAAATTACCCCCATTGCAAGAAAAATATTGTGATACTAAAAAACTTTCCAAAAGTTAACCTGAACAATTTAAACATACACCAGATTACGAGGAAAGATCATATAAAGTTGTGTTATAAACATTTAAGCGATTGGACAGAAATTTAAACTTAACTCGTAGCGGAAACGACATGGATTTCTTAGATCAAAGTACATGTATCACAGTTAGCTAGTTACCATGGTCACTAGCTAAAAGCTACAAGCTTAATTGCGGTACACTTTAGTCCCCGTATACCCAAAGCAACGTTTCCAAGTTTGCAACATTCAAAAAATGTATTATTTACTTCATATCTGGAAGAATTGTTTATGCGTAAAATTACCCACCGCGCAAAATTCCCCCACCTTCCCCTACTACCTATTATACATGCATACCTACATAATAAATATGTAGGTATTAATTTGAAAACTGAAAAATAGGAAATTTTTTAATCACAAAATAGTACAAACTTAATTATTTATGGTAGGTACAATTTAAATATAAATTGCAATTTTGGTGAAAACAGCTGTCAAGTTTTTCCGCGGATAAACTCGAAAAAACTGCTGACAGGTGCTGTCATACAGTTTTTCCACCTAGAAACCATTTGTAATTCAAAATTGCGCGTTTGTGATTGGTGGAAATTAAGACGAGGGAAATAGTCGTATATAATACCACTAGTGGTAAAATTTTACCTATAAAATTTTTTATTTTTATACGAGTGGTATTCGGCAAGACTATTTTACGAATATTTTATTTTTAAATTAGAAGTAACTGCCGATTCAATTTCTCTATGATTTTTTTAACCAAAACGCAGATTTTTTGACATTTATTGACAATTATTTTTCGCATAGCAACCACTTGGTGCAAAACCCGTTTTCTGAAATCTGATTAGTCCATATTAGTAATGATTGGATTAGTCGAATTTATCCATTTCTCAAGATGCATTTCTATCAGTTTTAAAGGATCTTATTGGTCGAAATTTCTGAAATCCAACGTTTTGATTGGTTAACATATTAATTAGATAAACGTTTTATTTCTCAACATAGCCTCCTTCAAAATAGGCGTTGAAAGTTACTGCGCGGAAAATTCAAAAAGGCACCGACTTATTAAACCACCCTTGTATAATCGAGATTTTCAGGTTTGAAATGATTTACTTATAGTTAACTTATTTTTTCTACTCCCAACTTTAAAACGCCCTTTATCGTATATATTTCCATGACACTAAGTGACCTTTTAAATACACATTGACAAGTTGTGGCTTTATGGCGCTTTAGTCACGGGCTGAAGTTAGTTTTAAGTTAGTTGACAGTTGTCAAATGTCATACAATCGTTAAAATAAAGTGCCTTTCTTGTAAAATACTAAATGTGAGAATTATTTTATTATCTCAATACAAAGTATTAAATAGTTTCTCAACGCCAATATTTGAAAAGTACTGACTTTTTAATTTCGCCGGCAGTAAACTATAACTTAAATTCGGACACGGACTCCACTGTAAAGTGCTCATAAAACATTTTCTTTACTTTCACTGTGAAAAACTGCAAGAAATACATTTCGATTTATAACCTTTATAATTGTGTTTATAAAATAAAAAATTTGACATTTGACGGTGACACACAGATTCCCCTATTGTTTCAAAGATGATATACAAATTTTTGATTTAAATCATTTTAAGATAATAATAAGTATATGTTGTAGAAAAAGTATAGTATGCACCTCGTTTATAAACTTTTCTATACACTCAATAATTTAAGCACTCGCTCGCAAGCTCGCTCGTGCCTAAGTTAAATTCGTGTATAAAATGGCGTTTATCAAACTTGATACATAATATACTATTAACGAAATGTCAATTTGTTTAAGATTACCTACCTTTATTTCCATATATTTTTAGACTCGACTATCAAATAATTTAAAAAAAAAGAAATTTTGTTTACATCACCACGAGTTATTTCTGTGACAAAAATCAACGATTAACGATTTTTTTATTTGGGTATTAAAGATTAAATTTTTAGTGAGGCTTTTATTATTTTCATTGTACGAATAAGCGCGTCACATAAAAGTATGCAGAACAATTAATCCAATCAAATTTGAATTATTAAAATTGAAATTGTAACAGCAACAATATCTTATTATTAATCCAATCGTTTATTGAAGTGTTTAAGTTTTAAGTGATGAAATCAAAAGTGACGAGTGTGGAAAAAAAGCATAGGAATAAGATTTATCAATATGTTGCAGCATTTACAGGTACCTACAACCGTTTTATGAAAATATCATTTTTACAATTTATTTAAATAGATTTTTAAGGGTAAATCCAAATATTTTCACTTTTAACAAAGTCATATTTTTACCATTGTAAAACCACTTCATAACATTACAAAAACTAACAAGTAAATAAATAATTTCCCAGATTCTGTAAATTTTTGCAAAAATGGTGGATGGTCAATAATTATTTCCACTAAAATTTTCTATGTCTATTTTTAGATTTTTATTTATTAATTTAAACGATGATTCTCAAATAATATTGAATTAAAAAAATAAGAGTTGTGTCGTCCTATTTAAATTTTAACAAAGTGTGTCAATTTAATTAAATTGATACACATGATCTTTAGTTTTGTCAAAACATAATTCACTTTTTAATTAAGCTAATACGCTAAAAAAGCATCGATTTTCTTGTGTAGTTTGGCTCACCAAACGCGAAAATCACACTTAAATTTTTTTCATAGAAGACTTTTCGAGATATGAATTTTCAATTGTTTTTTTTTAATTTTCTGAGGTGTTTTGACGTTTTAGATTATACATCGAGTTCTAATTGATCGATTTGACCAAACAAGCACTTACATCAAAGGTAATTGAGCCCTCTACAACTTTCTCTTGTATAGTTTTGGTATCGACTTAGTAGTTCGATACTGGCGATTTTATGAAGTTGAAAAAGTCCTTTTTTACAAAAATCAAGGTCAAAAATTTACATATCTTTCCGGGAAAGATAGAAATCGAAATGATAAGTACAGTTTGATTTATTTTACGTATAGATTATACTTAAAGGAAAAAAATAAGCTGCTGCTGATAAAAATCCATGGATAAATGGCGAAGTTATGAATTTTTCAGTGGAAGACCAAAATTCAGTTTTTCGAGAATTTTTTAAGTTTTTTCTTCATTTTATTGAATTATATAAAATTTATTATTGAACATTGATTTTTATTTTAAACATTAAATATTGAAATTAAATTATATATTGAATATTGAACAATAATTATTGAACATTGAAGATATTGAAAGTTTTATTTTGTTTAAAAAAATTCTGGCTCCTTTGTATTTTGTTGCTTTCGTATTCCGTTTCTCGTATGAGGGACCAAATGTAATCACCCATCATGGCTGCTTCCCAGAAGCCGTGATACCGCCGCTCCATTGCCTTCATTTGCTGGTGAAAACGTTCTCCGTGCTCATCACTTACGTCGCCCAGATTGTCCGGGTTATTTACGCACTCGAACTCTCTACTTCTTTTACTCATTTTACACTTTTTATTAACTAAATAAAACCATGATAAAAATACCTTGTTGAAATATTAAAAAATAGCAGTAAAATGTAACTATGCCGGTCATGTCAAATTTAAATATTGAATAATGTTTTCGGTAAAAAAAGTACGTAAAAAACAAAAAAAAAATCCAATCATGCACTTTACTTGGGTTTTTATTAAAGAATAAACATATTACAAAATAAGAGAAAAAAAATAAAAAAAAATCGTCAAAAAGCTGAATTTTGGTCTTTCACTAAAAAAATCATAACTTCGCCATTTTTCCATGTATTTTTATAAACATTAGCTTGTTTTTTTTTATAAAAATGACAGCTTTACGAAAAAAAATTCAAACTGGAGTTATCTGTTTGATTTAAACCTTTCACAGGACTATATGTAAATTTTCGACCTCAATTTTTGCCATAAAAACGAATTTTTTTAAGTTATTAAAATTGATATATATAGCTATAGCGTCAAAATACTTATCCGATATCAAAAGTATATAAAAGAAAGTTTTAGAGGACCCAAATACCTTCAATTTAAGGGCTTGTTTAACCAAATCGATCAATTAGATTTCAAGCTATACTTACACAAAAAAGTCAAAACACCTCCGAAAATCACACGTAAAAAACAAAAGTCACAATATTTAACATTTCAAGTAAATATTATTAATGAAACTGTTTTATATGATTTTTTAATTAAATAAAATAGATGAAAAAAGTGCTAAAAAGTTTTTTATAAAAAGATAATATAAACCTTATTTATTCAAACTTACCTTAATTTTATTACCGTTTACACCAACCCATCGATCTTTTAGAGTTTATAATTCATTATTTTAATCATTTAACACAGTATTTAAATGTCAACAAATGTCAAATCAAGAAAAGTGTCAAAATCCTTAGCAACGTGTTAAAAAGGTGATAAAAAATATTGTCGCTGTGATAAAATGCGTAACTATGGAATACTGGAATTTTATTGGTTCCAATTATAATGAATTGTATTGTCAATAAAATAAAATATCCTGTTTTAAAGCAAATATAAAGAACGAAATGAAAAGTGTCAAGTTACAACATAAACATTGCAAAATGCAAACAACATTTTTTCTAAATTTATTTATAACCAAATTGTATTTACAAATAAGTTTAGTTTAGTTGCCAAATAAAAACCCTAAATTGGCCACCATAGAGCCAACATTGAATAAAACAAACTAAACTTGTGAAAAATATTAGATCATTAGCTTCCTTGTCTTGGCACATTTCTTGCACAATGCAACAAGAAAGATTTGATTTTGAGTAATTTTGTTTTTTAAACTTTATTTTAATTATTTGATTTCATAGAGTTTCTGTCAGGGGCTGTCTTCAAAGATCATACTATGCTTCCTGGTTTTGCCCTATTTCTTGTAAACTGTAAAAAGAACTATACTGTTTTCTCCAATTTTATTTTAATTTCTTAAAAAGGACTTACAATGTAGGTAGTTTTTATGTTTTTTCGATCCTATTTTTCTTCTTATAGCAATTATCTTCGAAGTAAATGGAACAAATTAATATTAATACAAACTACAAAACAAACAAAAATATTTACCTAAATTATTTTTTATTAATATATCTGCTACTGATAATCTGTGTAAACAAAAGGAAAGTACCTACCTCTAAAAGAACTAAGGAAATGTGTTGGATTTACAGGTTTTTTTGTTTTGGCATTGTTTTTACAAATTTTCACTTGGCAGATAGACATTTTTTACACTTTAAAATAGCTTAAAAAACAACTCGATTTAAAATGTAAATAGTCAATATGGCGGCGACTCCCACCTCTTCCTTATTTTCTTGTACTGGCTACAAAAGCATATGTTTTTATGAATATTGATAAGTTATATTTTATTTCAGCAAATCTTGGCATCATCTGCAGCGAAATGCACTACGGCTGGCCGTCGCCATCCCTCCCGATCCTCATCAACGGAAACTACACCTTCCAAATAACGAGCGAAGAAGGCTCCTGGATAGCAGTGATACCCCTCATAGGCGCCATATTCGGCGCCTTCGTAACAGGCCTGGTGGTGGACCACCTGGGCCGCAAAAAAATGGTGATATTCTCGTCGTTCCCCTTCGTCGTATCCTGGCTGATGATCGGCCTGGCCAAATCCTCCACTTTGCTGTACGTAGGGAGGTTCATCGCGGGCGCCACTGACGGCATGTCTTTCACGGCCGTCCCGATGTATTTGGGGGAGATCTCCGAACCCAGGATAAGAGGTCTATTGGCGTCAGTATGCCCTGTCAGCATCGTATTGGGTTTACTTTTGATAAACGTCCTAGGCTCGTATTTGCCCATTGATACGACTGCGTATATAGCCACAATAATACCCATACTACTGTTTCTGTTGTTCATATGGATGCCGGAAAGCCCATACTTCCACCTAATAAAAGGCAACAAGGAGGCGGCCAAAAAAAGCCTAGTGAAGTTTCGCGGAACAACAAACGTAGACGAAGAGCTGGACAGAATGGCTTTGGGAGTCAAAGAGCAAAACGAAAACACCGGAAAATTCTTCGACCTCTTCACCGTGAAGTGCAACCGGAAAGCCCTGTTCATAGCCTTCGGTTTGCGTACAGTACAGCAGTTAAGCGGTACAACCGCCATTATAATCTACTGCAAAACTATTTTCAACGAAGCACGCCACTTTATGGCGCCCAACATCGGCCCCATCATATTCTTCATGGTGCAATTAATAATGTCCGCCATATCCTCCTCAATCGTGGATCTAACCGGCAGAAGACCTCTGTTGATTATATCAATCACAGGAACATCCTTCACGTTACTTCTCAACGGGATTTTTCTCTACATCAAAAACTGCACGGAGATAGACACCACTGATTTCAACTTCGTGCCCATAATAGCTCTGATTGGCTTCGTGGTTATATTCAGCGTGGGGCTGCAAACGATTCCACTGCTGGTGATGGGCGAAATATTCCCCACCAATGTGAAAGCGTTCGCTCTATGCACAGCCGATATTTACTTCAGCGTTATTGCCACTCTTGTTTCGAAATTTTTCCATTGGACCAACGAGGCGTTTGGAATGCACGTGCCTTTCTTCGTTTTCACTTTTTGCTGTGTGGTGGGCCTGTTTTTCATTTTGCACTGCGTCCCGGAGACCAAAGGGAAGACCCTCGAGGATATACAGAGGCTGTTAAAGGGCGAGGAGCTACAGGATTATAGAAGACCCAGTAAAATAGTTTGATATTGTAGTTAAGATTAAGAATTTTAAATCTCGAAGATTGAGAAACTGACAAAAAGCAAAAATGTGCTTTTATTGTAGAGAAACAAAATGATATACCTAATATTTTTTTTATTATTAATAAATATATGTAATTTTATACAAAGTTGTTTTTACACAAAACATATAGGTCTTTCCATCTTAAAACGACCAATATTTTTGCATGTGTTACTTTTTAAAGATGTAAAAAGTATACGTAAGTTACAAACAATTCCGAAAGTCGCGAAACTCTTTTTGACTAAGGCTCTATCAGAAAGGGAAATAAGTATTAAGCCTATAGGCTTATAAGATTTATTGCCAGAGATTCCCTACAATGACCACACTATGAGGCGGTTAGATATAACTTTTTATAATCGTTTCAAAATATTTGAATGATTTTATTTAGTAGTTTTAAAACCAAAAAATGTTGATCAATTACATACACCCCTTTGACTCTAACCACCTCAATTATTGTTTTTATTTTATTTTATAAAAAGTTTTAGCGTATGTTTTCATAATAAAATTAAATGTTAATATTCACTTACCAGCAAAACAAACTAACGAACTGTCAAATCTGATACTTCTTTTAAACACAAAGTCTTCTTAATTTATTTATTTCTGTACACACTTTAAAACCTAATAAACATTTAAATTTAATTAAAAGTTTGAAAGCGATATTATCAAAAAATGCATTAATATTTGGTATAAAATTTTAAAAAAGTGGATTTCTTTCATGAACAACGAACCACCCTTTTATTTAAAAAAATAGTTTTGGCATAAAGTATGGTTTTTGAATTTTTGAAAGCTCCTAAAAATCAGCATTGCAAAAAAAGAATAAAATTGTATTGTTTCCAGTGAAGCAGAAAAGCCTATTCAAGGCACTCCAGATATAGAAATAAAATTTAATTAAAAAATGATTTGACCTGTCAAACATTGACAAATGACATATGTATGTATTCAGAATTTTATTTTGAATCGAAATAAGTAAAAATGCCTAGCATGTTTCATTAAAAAATAAAAAGTTAAGACCATTTCCGGTGAAACGGGAAGTGACAAAAATATGTTGAATATGGCAAAAAGTTCTAAATTATACTTTATAAAGGTCTCCTCAGTTTCAGGATCCTAGATAAAATACAAAGTTTTTGCGATAAACCACTAGAAAATAGCATTTTCATTAAAAAAAATAACACCGAAACGACAAATTTAGTCAACTCGGGACTTTTGGTAAAAGTTCATATTGTTAACTACAAATGAAAAAAATATGTAAAAAAATTGTGGAAATGTCAAAATTTTGACCTTAATTTTTTTGCCTTTAGAAAAAACAATTAAAAAAAAATTGAGTGAATTCATAGTTTAAAAAAATTGAAAAGATCGAACAATTTTTGGCCAAGTTATCGCATTTTCAAGAAAAAATTTCACTCGGATGAACAAATTAAATTTAAGCAAAAAAAAAAATACAGGTCTCATCGATTTCGGTAGAGAAACTGTAAAAAAAAATCGTTAAACATTTTTTTGCCTGGTCGATTTGAGATGGAAAGGCTCTATAATAAATAAAAAAACCTATTAATAAACCTAAACTAATTGCAAGTAGACAGTCACTTAAATGTTGGTAAGTCTTTTTTTAAATTCTCCAAAAGCATAATTCGGTTAACTAAATCTGTTTCAGTACATTGTTTTAAATATTTGATTGTATATTCTATACATTGATCTGCAAACTCTATATCAATATGTTCACTGTAATCCTCTTCTTTTATTTCTATATTTTCTTCTTGAATTGTTTCTTCCATATCATTACAAACATCTTTTGGCTCCACCTTAATAAGCTCTACTAGTTCTGGAAAATCTTCCGAATATGCACCCGATTCTAATAAATGTGGCGCTAAAAAATACGGAAAAAACAAAGTTAACACTAAAATTTAATTTTAGAGCCTCAGTAACTCAAGAAGTTCTTTTTTTTATTCGGAATTTGACACATTTTATTATGTTGGCATTGTATGTTAACATACTTTTCATTTAACTGTCAGAATTATAACAACTTATTTTAGACATTTTAAAATTTATAAACATAATATTATTACATAACAATTATATTCCCCACTAAACTTGTTTGTATCCAATATTAAATTTAGGGTAGAATTTGCCAACTAAACCCCCAAAATTTTGACTTCAAATGCTGAATAAAAAAACCTAATTATTACCAACCAGTGTTGCCAATTTCAAATATTAAAATTATAACCAAGTAATTCACAAATACCTGCTTTAATTTTTTGTGAAAGCAGAAAGGAGAAAATTTTAAACTAAATCAATTAAATTGTCAAATTTCGTTTTACTTTACATTTTAAAAGGAGGATGATTACAAAATTTCATAATTTTCCAATATTGTAATTTTGTGCAAAATTATTAGATACATAATATTAGAAAGATAAAAAATGTCCACATTAACTTAGGTCTGCAAGTGTTTTATTTATTGGGTTCAAAATTGAAAAAAAAACGTCTGAAAACGCTTTATTATAATATATGTAGGTATTTTTATAAAATTTTATTAGGTGACCTACTTTCATATTAGCTAGAACTGAATTCTGAAATTATTTAAATAACAACAATTTCACCAAATAATAATTTTATATAAGATATATACAGTGTGACCCATTTGTTTGCGACTCACCACTGTAAAATCTTTATTTATTATACTAAATTTCATTGAAAAATTTTAAGTAGAAAAATGCACAATAATAACTACAAAAATTAATTGTGTCTAGTTATCCATGGAAAAAAACATTGAAATAAAATTTAATAATAGTAACATGTTTTTTTCATGGATAACTTGACAGAATAAATTTTTGTAGTTATTATTGTGCATTTTTCTACAAAAAATTTTCAATAAAATTTAGTAAAGGGTTGTTTTGAGGGGTGGTGATTCCAGTGCCATGCTTAGATTTTGTTTAAAAAAATCGCCAATAAGATCTACAATTTAAAACAAATCCTGTTAAAATCTAGTCACAAACAAATGGGTCAGACTGTATATTTAATAACATGTTAATTACCTTTAGGTAACAATGCATTGGCATGCTTCCTTCCTTTAATAAAACTGGGAATTGCACCTGTCTTTAATTTTTTGCCAGTATCGTCATAGTCCTCTAATCTAAAATGATTTGAGCAGATGGTCACTCGTCTGACAACATCGGATTCATTATACCCACAGGCTAATTTCCACAATGTTACCAACTCGGGTTTTTTGGGAAAACTAAAATTTAAGTGTCCTTTTTAATAAAGTTGTTAGGTTCTTAATTTAGTTATTCTATTCTATTGGTGTTTACTCACCTATGAAGTTTAATTCCCTGGCCTGAGGTTGAGTTGCACAAACCACAACGCCTACCCATTATGTTTATTAAAATGTTTTGTTCAAAAAGTCACTATAACAGTTTTGTTTTGTTATAGCTTTAGTAAGAATATTAAATATAAATATAAAATTTTTATTCTAAAGACTATAACAAAACAAAACAAAACCGCTTCTTCTTCTTCTTCCTTGGTGGCCAAAAGCCAAAAACAAAACAGCTGATAACAAAAAATAACTTGCAAGGCACAATATGGCAACCTCGGTTTATTAGAACTACTTGAACCCCCTAATTAGTTTTGACGTTTCTTCAATCAATTTGTTGATTATTTTGATTATTATGGCTTCAATTCGACACAAAACCAAAAACAATCGATAAAATACCATTCGCGACATCATTTCGTGGACTTCACAAACTTTATCTAGTGCTATAAACATACAATTGGTTTAGTGACTGTTGTGCTGAGAGAAACGCTTCAAAATGCCCAACGAAACGCCAGGGTCTCAAAGACTCACAAACGATGATTTCAGGAAGCTTCTGATGACTCCCAGGGCCACCCCTGCCGGGGCCCCTGCAACAGGGTCCATAAGAGAGGCTATGGCAGCTTCGGGAACCATGCTGCCCCCAAAAACAGAGGACAAAAACGATTTGAGAAGAAAAAAGAAGAGTTACTATGCCAAGTTGAAGAAACAGGAGGATAACAAGATGGCAGAACTGGCCGAGAAGTACAGAGACAGGGCCGGTGAAAGACGGTAAGTAAAACAACTTGTTAAGTATAAGTACACATTTTTAACGTAATGTTTTAGTTCTGGTGTGAATCCTGACTATCAAGCTGACGATCCCGTGCAAGCGGCGCAGGCTTATCGTGCAGTGGCGCCAGATTTAAAGTCGGGTTTCGATGCAGCAGAGCGCAGACGGCAAATGATCCAGGAATCCAAGTTTTTGGGTGGTGACATGGAGCACACGCATTTGGTGAAAGGTTTGGATTATGCGCTGCTGCAGAAAGTGCGCAGCGAGATTCAGCACAAAGAGCACGAACAAGAGCAGGAGATGGAGAAGTTGGCCACTAAATCCATTGAGGAGAAGGAGAAGGAGAAAAAGGAGGTTCAGAAGAAGGACGAGGAGGAGTTGAAGTTTAAGACAAAGATTGGGAAGTCCATTTTCCATACTATTTGCTCGTTGAAGTCCAGGCATATTGAGAGATCTGAGTTGTTTGTCCCTGGAAGGATGGCTTATGTTATAGATTTAGGTAAGTCAGTTTTTTGAGGTTTCAAGACATTTAAAACAGTTTTGGATCATTTTAGGAGTTTTAAAACTAAAAATATTAAAGTGGTTTTATATTTTTAAGTTGGTTTTACAATATTTTTATACTGTTCAAGGGTTTTTATTACAGTTTCAGCTTTTCTAATGGTTTTAGTACTCTTTAAAAAACTTAGACAGTATTAAGACATTTTGGATAGTTTTTAAGATGATTTGGCAGTTATAAAATATTTTAGATACTTAAAGACAGTTCTAAGATTTTTTAAAATAGTACTAAGAGGGTTTTTAGATGATTTAATTTTTTACAAGACATTACAATTCCATAATTTTTTTAAGGTATTAGATTGAACAAAATAAATGGGTACCTACATAAAAAATACATCAATCTTTAAAACTGCTTACATATTAATAAATAAAACTTTTTATTTAGTTTTTAAACAATTTTAGATACCTTTAAGGTTTTTGACATTAACATTTTTTAGAATGTATGCTAATATTTTTTAACAGTTTTAAGTTGGTTTTACAACTTTTTTTATACAGTTTTAAAAGTTTTAATACAGTTTTAACTTTTTTAATAGTTTTAGTGCTATTTAAATAATTTTAAACCTTTCTTTGGATAGTTTTGGAACCATTAGAATTTTTTATACAGTTTTAAAACATTTTAGATACCTACTTTAAAACAGTTTTTGGATTTTTTTTTAAGTTCTAGGAATGTTTTTAAATGATTTTTACGATTTAATTTGTTTTATCAACAAGAAATTACAAAATTTTTAAAAATTTTAAGTGTTGGATTAGAGTCCAATAATACATAATACATAAAAAATACGACAATCTTCAAAACTGCATGTATACAAATAAAATAAATATTTATATATTAGGGTAATTCAAAAAATCAATAATTTTTAAACATAAGTTTTATTATTGGTTTGCTTCAATTACTTTATTTTTTGAATAAAGCAAATTATTAAAATTTCCTTTTGTTAAAATGGACAGCAAACAATATGGCGATTTTAGGATGCTTTTACTTATTGGTTATACAGTATAACTTATACCAAAATAAATTAACCTGCAAGTTTATTTAAACCATTTGGTTACTTTATTGTGTTTAGTTTAACTACTTTATTTACCTATCAGTAAATTATAACTCTTTGGTTTTGGTTTAAATTTGGTTAATGTAACACATTATAGTTCATAATTACCAAAATTAAATTAAACCAACTTGTTATTTTTAAAATAACTATAAAGCTGTATTAAGACTAATTTTTAGATGCAGGTAACAATTAAAACTGCACAACCATCACTTTTTTAACCAGTTTAATAATTAACGTTAATTTACCAGCGAGTTCAAATATACAGGGTGAGTTTTAAGTTGACGCGTTCCTTTTAACAGTGTGTAGAAATCAGCTAGACAAATAAATATTTTAGTAACTTTTTTATCAAAACTCAAAAATTAAAAAGTTATAGCCCATCAAAGTTTAATTAAATTTTAAGCCGGTCCTGGCTATTGTTAACGAAAAACATAACCATAAAAATAACAAAATAAACAATGCAAAATGTCATCTATGCAACAAACAACCATTTAAATCAAATTGACATTTTGCAATAAAAAATGTCATTATTTAATTAAGTTGCATTTTGACGACACTCTTCATAAATTAGTAACATTTCCACTAATTCATTATTGCTATAATTATGAACTATTTTGAACAATAATTGAGGCACAAAAAAACTGACATTTTTCATTGCTAAATGTCATTTTGATTTAAATGGTTATGTTTGTTGTCATAGATGACATTTTGCATTGTTTATTTTGTTATTTTTATGGTTATGTTTTTTGTTAACAATAGCCAGGACCGGCTCAAAATTTAATTAAACCTGGAAGGCCTATTAATCTCTTATTTTTGAGTTTTGATAAAAAAGTTACTTAAAATATTTATTTGTTTATCTGATTTCTACACGCTGTTAAAAGGAACGCGTCAACTTAAAACTCACCCTGTATATTAAATTTATGAATTGTATAAACCAGATTTTAAGGTTATGTAGTATGTATTAAACTTATAACAAAAGGTATTAAATAATTCATTAAATTAAGAATTAAGTTATGAAATAAATTGTCTACTAAATTATCAATTGTTGTATAAACCCGCATATAGTTTTTATTTTGTTAAATAACACATCCGATTTTTTCTCATAGTAGAAGTATATTAAAAAAACTGATTTGATAAGTAACACTTTATCACCCTGTATCTTGGAAACATAATTAATAAGGAAAAATATTTATTTAGGTTTTCGTCTTATTTTGACTTTTTCTAAATTTATGTCACCAAGTTTAGGGACACCTTGTATAACCATAAATTAACCTGCAATTTTATTTGGTTATTTTATTGTGTTTAATTTAACTACTTTATTTACCTATTGGTAAATTACAACTCTTTGGTTTGCATTCGGCTAACGTAACACAGTTCATTACCAAAATTAGTTAAACTAAACCAACTTGTTATTTTTAAAATATTACTGTTATAGCTGTAAGTATTAAGACTAATTTTTCTATGCAGCTAACAATGAAAACTGCAAAACCATCACTTTTTTAACTAGTTTATTAATTAACGTTAATTTACAAGCGAGTTTAAATGTATTTGGTAAAATATAACTTGGTTAAATTTAAGTTAATTTACCAAAAAGTAATATTAAAAGTTAAACCAAACCAAAATACCTATATCTAAAAAAATAACAAGTCTTAACCATTTTCAAAGGTTAAAATTAGAAGTTAAAAAACCTAATTTACAAGTTTAAGAAAACGTTATTTTTAATAGCTTTAACGCATGTTGAGTATTAAACACAAAAAACAAACGTCAAATTTTTACAGATGAAGACGCGGAATCCGACATACCAACAACCCTAATCCGCTCGGTAAACGACGTACCCTCATTCGAACTGACAACCACTCTAACGACAAACGACATCGTCATAAACAAGCTGACGCAAATCCTGAGCTACCTCAGGCAGGGCAACCGAAAATCGCACAAGAAGAACAAGCGCTCGCTGGACAAGGACATCGACCTGCTCGAGCTCGAGCACCACGACGCGAAGCGGCAAGCGAAGAAGCCCGAAGACTCCATCTACGGCGACATCGGGGACTACGCGCCGAGCCGCGGCAAAACCTCCGACAGGGAGCGCAAGCGGCAGCCGTACTTCGACAAGCACGAGCACGAGCCCGTCGACAACGCGGCCCCTTCGTTCCGGGTGAACAAGTCCGCGGAGATACTGAATAAGTTGCAGAGCGGGCAGCCCGAGGGGTACGCGGAGTGCTACCCGGGGCTGGAGGAGATGAACGACGCCATTGACGACTCCGACGACGAGGTGGACTACAGCAAGATGGATCTGGGCAACAAGAAGGGCCCCATAGGGCGGTGGGACTTCGATACCGCTGAAGAGTATTCGGATTACATGAACCAGAAGGAGGCCTTGCCCAAGGCCGCCTTCCAGTACGGTTTGAAGATGGCGGATGGCAGACGGTCGAGGAAACACAAGGACAAGAACGAGAAGGCCCATTTGGACAGAGAGTGGCAGAAAATTCAGAACATCATACAGAAGAGATAAAGCTTTGAATGCATGCAATAATTATTGTATTTACTTTTAGTTAATTATATTATATAATATTAAATTTAAAATAATATTTTTGTTTTCTTTATTTTTATTTCTTAATAAAACGTGCTGCACCCCTTTCTACACCGCACTTTTCACTCTCGCTTGATTAAGTTTTATACTAAATAAGTGCCTTCTTGGCACTGCTGCCTATAAAAACAACCAAAACTTTTAATAATAATTATTATAAAAAATAATAAAGATATTTATCTTACATTAATTTTAAAGTGGAAATCAGTTTAATGTTCTACAAATATTTAATTGTCCAGTAGGTATAATTCATATTATGGGGTTTAAAAAAGGATAAATGCACTGAAACTTGATATATACGATACAATGCAATTTTTTTTCATAAAAGTTTAGCTAACTAATCAGTTTTTTAACTAATTTATCAAAACAATATGTATATTTAAATTATAAAAAATATTAATAAAAATTTGTAGTTATCAATATCAATACATTAAATTAATTAGGTAATTTAATTGCTGTCAAATTAAAATTTTATTTCATTTATTTTTATTTTTTTTATTTTATTTCATTTATTTTTTTTAAGTTTTTTATAAAAAAAATAAAAAAATTTAGTATTAAAATAAGTTTGTTAATTTTTTTTTAATAATGTATAAATTGCTGGATCCTTAAGGATCACAATTGTGATATAAAAAAATGCGGTACCAAATGTAAAAAAGTGTGCAGAACTTCCGCACTTTAAGAAGCAGAGAACGTTTGCAGGGTGTACAGTAGGGTGAGCCCGTCGACAACGCGGCCCCTTCGTTCCGGGTGAACAAATCCGCGGAGATTCTGAATAAGTTGCAGAGCGGGCAGCCCGAGGGCTACGCGGAGTACTCCGCACGTGCTACCCGGGGCTGGAGGAGATGAACGACGCCATTGATGACTCCGATGACGAGGTGGACTACAGCAAGATGGATCTGGGCAACAAGAAGGGCCCCATAGGGCGGTGGGACTTCGATACCGCTGAAGAGTATTCGGATTACATGAACCAGAAGGAGGCCTTGCCCAAGGCCGCCTTCCAGTACGGCTTGAAGATGGCGGATGGCAGACGGTCGAGGAAACACAAGGACAAGAACGAGAAGGCCCATTTGGATAGAGAGTGGCAGAAGATTCAGAACATCATACAGAAGAGATAAAGCTTTTAATGCATGCAATAATTATTGTATTTACTTTTAGTTAATTATATTATAATAATATTAAATTTATTTTTATTTCTTGATAAAACGTGCTGCACCCCTTTCTACACCGCACTTTTCACTCTCGCTTGATTAAGTTTTATACTAAATAAGTGCCTTCTTGGCATTGCTGCCAATAAAAAAAACCAAAACTTTTAATAATAATTATAAAAAATAATAAAGATAATTATCTTACATTAATTTTGTTCAAGCCTTTAAAGTGGAAATCAGTTTAATGTTCTACAAATATTTAATTGTCCAGTAGGTATAATTCATATTATGGGGTTTAAAAAGGGATAAATGCACTGAAAATTGATATATACGATACAATGCAATTTTTTTTTCATAAAAGTTTAGCTATAGTTATAACTAATCAGTTTTTTAACTAATTTATCAAAACAACATGTATATTTAAATTATAAAAAATATTAATAAAAATTTGTAGTTATCAATATCAATACATTAAATTAATTAGGTAATTTAATTGCTGTCGAATTAAAATTTTATTTAATTTATTTTTAATTTTTTTATTTTATTTCATTTAGGTATTTTTTTAAAGTTTTTTATAAAAAAAATTTTAGTATTAAAATAAGTTTGTTAAATTTTTTTTAATAATGTATAAATTGCTGGATCCTTAAGGATCACAATTATTGTGATATAAAAAAATGCGGTACCAAATGTAAGAAAGTGTGCAGAACTTCCGCACTTTAAGAAGCAGAGGACGTTTGCAGGGTGTACAGTAGGGTGCTCTTACCCCCTCAAATGTTTCTATTTAATATAAAAAAAATCCTCACCAAATATGGGCGTTTCAGCTCAACTCTAAGAGGTCGCTGTTTTTATTTTAGTTTCCCATTTAATTAACATGGGAAAATATAATTTTATGTTTGGAGGTTTATATCTCTGTATCAAAGTAACTTATGATCATTGGATCATTGCAGTTTCTTATATAAAATGTAACGCTCTATAAAAAAGGTCTCTTATTATTTTTCGATAAATTGATTTCTTTTTTAAATTTTATTGTACAATTAGCAGACGGGAGGTGAAATGGGGAAAACAGGCAAGGGGGGGGCAAAACGGGGTACCCAAACAATTTTGTAAAAAAAAATTTTTTATTGTTTTTTTCGGTTTTTAAATCATTTGAAAATATATTGACTCACAAGTTCACGCCTTTAATCGAAAATAATTGTTCTGAGCCTGTAGAGCGAGAAAAAGAAAGGTAAAAATTTGAAAAACTTTTCCATCGAACTTTTTTTTCGGATTGTATGACTAGGGTGCTTCAAAAATTTTTTTTATCAATCACCAACATTTGAAAGGGAAAGAGTTAAAAAAAATTAAATTTTTTTTTGAAGCACCCTAGTTTGCATACAATCCGAAAAAAAGTTCCATGGAAAAGTTTTCCAAATTTGTACCTTCCTTTTTCTCGCTCTACACGCTCAGAATAATTATTTTCGATTAAAAGCGTGAATTTGTGCTCACGTGCTCACGTGTGACTCAAGTCAATATATTTTCAAATAATTTAGAAACGAAAAAAAAAACAATCTAAAAAAAATTGGTAACGAAAATTTTTGGGTACCCCATTTTGCCCCCCCGCTGCCTTGTTTTGCCCCCTTTCACCTTCCGTCTGCTAATTGCACCATAAAATGACTAAAACCAGAACATTTGATGTTAATCAAACTTTGACCTCGAATAACTCTGGAAGAAATCAATTTATCGAAATATAATAAGAGACCTTTTTTGTAGAGCATTACATTTTATAGAAACTGCAATGATTATTGCCATGTTACTTTGATACAGAGGTATAAAATTCCAAACATAAAATTATTTTTTCCCATGCTAATTAAATGGGAAACTAAAATAAAAACATCGACCTCTTAGAGTTGAGCTGGACCACCCATATTTGGTGAGGATTTTTTTTATATTAAATAGAAACATTTGAGAGGGTAAGAGCGAAAAAAAAACAATAAAAATTTTTTTTTGAAGCACCCTAGTGTATAGTTTTGATTATCAGTCTTTAATAGTATACCTGCAGGTTGTCACCAAATAAGTTGTCATCCTTTAGTTCACACCAAAAAAGAAAGTTTTTCCTTTATCATTTTTGCATTAGAGCCATTTTTTTAATAAAAAAAATCTTTAAAATATTTATTTGTAAAGTAGAAATTTTGGGCGGCCACTGGTTGTTCCTGACCTAAGACAACTGAGGCAAAATATGCTTGCACAGTGAGCAATAATCTACAGTCATTAAAAATTTGCATTTGTTAGGTACCTATCATTGATTACTTTGTTGATAATTGTTTGTGTTTTTTGTTTTGCATACTCAGCTATTTTTAGGTAATTTAAATAAAACAATAGGTACTTACTTTTATTGTTAGGCATCTTGAGGTTTCCGTGGTTTTGCCGTCTATTTTAAATTTCACCTTTTATTTTTTACGTCGATTGATGCTCATGTAGCTATTTTTTTAAGTGTTAAATTATGATATGTATATAGAATAGGTCAGTGACATCCAGTGGCTTCAAGGTTTTGTCAAAAAAATTTCATACCTTTTTTATTAAAAAAACAGTAGCTCTAATTAAAAAATGCTAGAGGAAAAACTTTCTTGTGTTGGCGTGTTCCCCCAAAGGATGACAATTTATTAGGTGACACCCTGTAGATGCGGATTTTAACAAAACGGCTAGGTATACAGTTAATTGGTCTTTAACCTTTCCTCATTTCACCGATTCAATTAAGTTTGGCTTTTCTGTGGTTTTAACGAAAAGGTCCAAGTTTGTGCCAATATTTTTAATGGGAAAATTTAACACATGCCTCGGTGGCGCAGCAGGCAGCGCGTAAGTCTCATAATCTTAAGGTCGTGAGTTCGATCCTCACCCGGGGCATTACTTTTTAATATTTTATTTCAATAATTACACAGTATGGGTTATTTTTAAATTTCTTGTACATTTGCTGCCCCTCAACTTTATTATTTTATAAAAAATTGAGTTTAACCCCATTTGGAACTTTACTAAGCAAAATCAATTGGTTTAATTGTTTTTAGCAACTATATAAATATTAGCAAAATTGTAAAATTTTAAATTTGACCCTTTAAAAAAAAATAAACTTTCCCCAACAGTACAGAAAAGTAGCTGTCCCACTTGCAATAATATTCACTACTTATTGCTATTTAAACAGCTTAGAGTAAATTAACATCCTTTTTTTATATAGTTGGGATTTATTTCAAATTTAACAGAAAAAGCCCATTTGTGGTAATATTTAAAAACAGAAGTGGTTAAAATATCCTCCAAAGTTTGTCCCTTAATTTTGGTCCCCTAGGTCACGTCTCGTGGGTCACAGCTTTTATAAATTTGGAAAAAAACAGGTGTGTAGATTATGAATTGTTTTTACTTTTTCTTCTCTAAATTTAGAAGAATTTTGAAAATGACCCAAATAGCTTCTTTATTTTCCGATGTTCTAATAAATTAAGAAGCACCTTCAATTTCGTTCAAACTCAAAACAACAAAAGAATTTACTATGGTTTTTTATTCTTATCTCGCTTTTAATTACTTCCACACAAAAATAATGTAGTGAATAAACCAATTTGTACACTTTAATAAAAAAAAACAATTATTATATAGGTACCTATATATATTATATTTACATTATAGTATAATAATCATTATAAAAATAATTACAGTTTAGCCCCAACATGTATGGCTAAGACACCATCAAAGTCATTTTCCCTTAGTTCTATTTGAGCCCTTCCACCACTAACCGTCACAGATTTTCCCATAAAACGGAGTGCAGTTTAACGCTCTTCCTCAAATGTTTTATAATTTCATCAAAAATGGCGGCAGATGTCAAGAAATGCAGATGGCAAAAATGACAGATGGCAAAAATTATAGATGATAGGTGACAAAAATTAAAGTAAAAGTCATGGAGCCTACACAAGGAGCCCGAACTTAATAGGGGAAATTGACAAAACCTGCCCTCTAAATTACACAAATTAAGTCTTTTTTTCACCACCAGCGGCGCTGATTGTCGACTGACGTCTGCTCTTTTGGTAGCGTTTCGGTTTAGTCAATTGTTTCAGAACAAACGGAACACCAGAGCCCTCTTTTCTTAGGAAGATTCTTGTTAACATAAAGTTCTGACTCTTTGGGTAGACTCCATGGTAAAAGTGGTGGATGTCAAAAAATAAATGATGAATAATAATAAATGATTAAATAATTAATAGAAATAACTTTATTTTAACATAATCCATTATAATGAAATAAAACTTTCGCAAATTTGCGTTAGATAATTTTAATTTTCAAGTGGGTGTCTCGCATAACTTGAATACACAAAAATAATGTAGTAAATAAACTAATGTGTACACTTTAATAAATAAAAAACAACTATTATGTAGGTATATATTATATTTACATTATAGTATAATAATCATTATAAAAATAATTACAGTTTAGCCCCAACATGTATGGCTAAGACACCATCAAAGTCATTTTCCCTTAGTTCTATTTGAGCCCTTCCACCACTAACCGTCACAGATTTTCCCGTGCAAGAACCGTTTTCTTTATCACCGCTGATAACGTCACAGTACGTGCCCTAGTAGAAATTTTACGTAGAAACAACGTTTTTCCCACGTTGGCAAAACCTAACTTTTATGTATAATTTTATGTTGAAATGTCCCGGTTTATAACGTTATCTGACAACGTTAGTTTTTAATGTTATAAAAAACGTGGGATTTACGTATTATAAAACGTTGCAAATACGTGGGTTTTGTGTATTATACAACGTTGCTTTTATGTATTATAAAACGTTGCAAATACGTGGGATTTGTGTATTATACAACGTGGGAAATATGTGGGTTTTGTGTATTATAAAACGTTGGAAATACGTGGGATTATTGTATCATAAAACGTTGGATTTTTTTATAAATTTGGGTAGGATTTTTCTTTATTATTGGAAAATTTAATATATATTTAAAAACAACAAAAATTTATTGTACAAAAAAAATACTTTGGAAAAAAAATTCCCAATTAACAAAATCTAAAAAATATTATCTAATAATATTATACTTAAAGTAAACAAATTAAATTATAACAAAATAGCTTTAACAAAAAATTTACAATGGTATTTTAAAAAGAAAAAATATTGCCTATATATATAACAATTTTCTATACAAGATACTACAACTTTTAAATCAATATTAAAATTAATTAAAAATACCCAATTAACAAAATCTAAAAAATATTATTAATATAATATTATATACTTAAAGTAAACAAATAAAAATATAACAAAATAGCTTAGACAAAAAATTTTCAATGGTATTTTGAAAAGAAAAACTATTGCCTATATTCATATAGGTATTAACAATTTTCTAGATACAAGATACTACAACTTTTAAATCAATATTAATAAAAATCTAAAAAATCCTATTTAAATATTAACTAGAAAAATTCAAATATAAGTAACATAACTTAAAACATGGCCTAAAAAAAATAACAATGCTGGTATTTTAAAGAGAAGAAATATTGCCTATTAACAATTATTACAAATTTTCTAAATAAAGGATTAAACAAATTATAAATTAGCAACAAAAATAAAAAGTCAAAGAAATTTAAGTAGTTACCTAGTTAAAATATAAGTCTAAATAAAACAATTAACAATGAAGGTGAGTTTAAAGTCACAAATTTTTAATTTTCATTAAGGGTTTTGATGCTTGGCAAAATAAATTTTAGCAATTACGAATATATAAGAAAAAATGTGAGGATTTTTGCTTTTGAATAAAAATTTAGAGCACAAGCATTAAAAGGAAAAAATACAAGCAAAAATAGTATTTTTGCCTATATTTTTTTATACACTTGAAAGTTTTAAAATTGATTTTGTATAGTATACAAATTTATTTATTAAATGCAAAAGATTGTGACCTAAAATTGATTTACATATGGATATAATTTATTAATATAAAAATTATTAAGAACCTTTGATTGTTAAAAAAAATCTAATAGATTTGGCTGGTAACCAACACACAATGGTAAATGATCTCCTCCAGTGTCAGCAAACATTAGAAAAGTTGAAAAATAGTTTAATATTCTGAGTTTCCTTTTTTCACAACATTTTGTTGTTTCCCTGGGTAACCAGGTGCTGGCAAAGCATCCCTTATTTCCTTTACTTCTGAAAAAATATTGGTTTATCACATCATCATGAACTTCTGATCTGGATCTTTTTAGATTTTTAGCATTCCTTTGAGTAATCACAATTTTTGCCTCCGGAAAGAATTTAGCCAGTCATTGCCAGGAAGGTTTTCTTTAAAGCAACTAATTATTACTGCTTTGTGGTTTAGATATGACTGCACTCTTTTGTCTCTTGTCTTGCAAAAGATTATCCATTATCCGCAGATCATCTGTGGCAGATGTAATCATTACACTTGCAATCTACCCAAAGGATAGACGATTGTTTATCACCTCTGCCACGGCCAATTCAATATTTTCTGGGTGATAATTTCTTTGATACACTGTTCCAGGAACATGTTTATGCTTTTAAGGCATCGTCACAGAACAAAACTTATTTTACATAAGGCATCGTCCAAATAACCCTAAAATTTTTTGGATTAATCCATGCAAAAAGCAACTGTTTAAAAAAAACACTAACAAATTGTTTGTGGTGATTGTTTAGGTTACTAAAAGTTATTTGCCATCCCTATCAGATAAAAATTACCTTATCTTTTAATTATTTTTCCAAAAAACACGGAAGAATTTGCACAAAATTTCGCACGATGTCAACACTTAACCTAAAATAAAGAAATAAACACTTCGTGATAGAGCGGTAAATTTGAATTTTTCTTCGTTTGTTCCGTGTAACCCATAGAAATAATACCACAGAATTTTGTGATAATACTATGGTGTAACCTCTGTTGTTCCATCACCTAACTACGATAGTAAACCTTTATTGAAACTATAATAATTTTAGGTTTTATGTATTTCGGCCTTATTTTTAAAACTAAATTATATTGCATAGTTAAATTTGATTTTACTTTTATAACTAATGTTACAAAGACTAAAAATTTTAAAAAAATCCACATTAAAAATTTTCTCGACGGGACTTAAAATAATTTTATGTTGCTAAATATGTGTGTTTTGGAACGTTGCTGCAACGTTTCTAGCATACAATTTTACAACGTAGTTTGAAAGTGGGTTTTGTGTATTTCGATCGTATTTTTGATATTATATCTTTAAAAAATGTATTGCAGAGTTTGATTTTACTTTTATAAATAATTTATTATAAAAAATAAAAAAAATCCACAATAAAAAATTTGCCGACGGGACTTAAAATAATTTTATGTTGCTAAATGTGTGTTTTGGAACGTTGTTGCAACTTTTCTAGCATACAATTTTACAACGTAGTTTGAAAGTGGGTTTTGTGTATTTCGGTCATATTTTTAATAATATGACTTTAAAAATGTGTTGAAGGGTTTTATTTTACTTTTATAAGTAAGTAATGTATAATAAAAAAAAATTGAAAAAAAAATCCTCAGTAAAAAAATTTTCGTCGGGACTTTGAAAAAATTTTATGTAGCCAAACGTGGGTTTTGGAACGTTGTTGCAACGTTTCCAGCAATACAATTCTGCAACGTTGTTTGAAAGTGGGTTTTGTGTATTTCGCTCATATTTTTGATATTATGACTTTGAAAATGTGTTGAAGGGTTTTATTTTACTTTTATAAGTAATGTATAATAAAAAAAAATTGAAAAAAAAATCCCCAGTAAAAAAATTTTTGTCGGGACTTTGAAAAAATTTTATTTAGCCAAACGTGGGTTTTGGAACGTTGTTGCAACGTTTCCAGCAATACAATTCTGCAACGTTGTTTGAAAGTGGGTTTTGTGTATTTCGCTCATATTTTTGATATTATGACTTTGACAATGTGTTGAAGGGTTTTATTTTACTTTTATAAGTAATGTATAATAAAAAAAAATAGAAAAAAAAATCCTCAGTAAAAAAATTTTCGTCGGGACTTTGAAAAAATTTTATGTAGCCAAACGTGGGTTTTGGAACGTTGTTGCAACGTTTCCAGCAATACAATTCTGCAACGTTGTTTGAAAGTGGGTTTTGTGTATTTCGCTCATATTTTTGATATTATGACTTTGAAAATGAATTGAAGAGTTTTATTTTACTTTTATAAATAATGTATAATAAAGTATAAAAATTTAAAAAAAAATCCTCATTGAAAGATTTTCGTCGGGACTTAGAAATAATTTTATGTATCTAAACGTGGGATTTGGAACGTTGCTGCAACGTTTCCAGCAATACAATTCTGCAACGTTTCCAAGACAACGTTTTAACTACGTATTTCCCACTTAAAATCATACATTAAAATAACGTTTCCAAGACAACGTTTTAACTACGTATTTTCCACTTAAAATGATACACTAAGACAACGTTATGAGTATAACAAATTATTATACAAATTTGCAACGTTGTCTGAATGTATGCAAACGTTATTTTCTACCAGGGTGCCATCTGGCAACATGGTTTCCAGACCCTGGTTCAAATCCCCGCCTTGCGTGAAGGCCACGAACCCTTTATCCCCTCTACCGAAAGCAATCTGATTATCTCCATTGGACCACCACTTGGTGATTTCAGTTCCCAACGCGATGTTTCTGAAGGCCACCATGTTGGCAATCTCGCGCCACCTGTGCTCGCAGATCCACCCGTTGGTGCAGGTACCGTCTTGGTTAAAGCCAGCACCAATAATATTTCCTTGGGAGTCCTGTGGCGGTGGTTGATCTTTATCGTTGAAATCGTAGCTGGACATTATTCTGGCCGTGCCGTAGGGATGCGCAAGCATGAAGGCGATCGCCATTTTGTACTGCTTGGACTTTTTGTAGGTTAGAATGCCGTCCCCACCGTCGCGTTGGTTGTCGTGGTTGTCAATGAAGCAGGTGGCCGCGAGACCATCCAACAAACCCCATTCGGTACCCCAGTTTTTAAGATAGGTCAGCTTGTCTCTGTTCTGGAACATACCTCCAAGTCTGCTACCGTACTCGAAGTCCAACACATTCCCCAATTGGGTGTATTCGGTTTTTTTTACAGCTTCTCCTCCAAGATCTATTACCTCCTGGTAAATAAAGGGTTTGCCGCCGAATTTGGAGTCCTTCAAGCCACCGTAAATAGCCGCCAAATCGGCGGGCCACATGTGTTTGGCAGCATCCACTCTAAAGCCTGCCACCCCCAAGTCCACCAAGTGGTTTAGGTACTCGACGATTTTCTGTCTGACGTAGTCTTTGCTCTGGTCGAGATCCTTGAGGCCAACCAGCTCGCAGTTTCTCACGTTCGAAGCGTCTTGGTAGTTATTCACAGTACACGAAGAGTGGAAATCCCCGCTTCCAAAGGGCACTCCAGGGTAGTTTTTGTTGTCGGAATCCGCGGAACTACCAGCTGTACCAGAACCACCCATTCCTGTCATGTGGTTAATAACGGCGTCAGCGTAGATTCTTGAATAAATTAATTCGTATGAGTCATTTCAATTGAGATTATCAACAAAACTATTGGTATATTATTGTTTAAATTTTATAAATGCGATTTTAGTTACGAGTTTTATTAGGCACGAGCGAAGCTGGCAAGCGAGTGTTTAATAAAAACGAGTGTCTAGAGAAGTTTATAATTTTTATACAGTGTGTCCACGGATGGAGTTATTTTTTATTTTGTAGAAAAATCTATTAGTCGAAAATATGGGTTTACCAAAAAAAATTCAGATCAGATGTACAGGGTGTTAATAAATTGTGAAAACAAAAAAGCCTAGGGAGAAAAGTATGATATCAATAAAATGGGTTAACAAAAAAATCAGATTAAATAAACAGGGTGTAGATAAATTAGGAAAACAAAAATACTTCGAGAAAGTTTTATTTAATAATTTTTGATCAAAATTTATAAAAAATATAGTCATATATATACAGGGTATATAAAATGAAGGTATTTTTTATAAATTTGGTCCAAAAGAATAAATTTATCTAATTCTCTCTTGAAGCATTTTTTTGCTAATCTATTAACACTTTGTATATTTAATCTGATTTTTTTTTATGGTAAACCAATTTTTTTACAATATTTTTTTATATTAATTGTGTCAAAAATAATGATACCATTTCTCTCCTTCAGCATTTTTATGTTTTCCCTTTATAAGGAATATGTTTTTATCGTAAAATTAAAAATAAAGATTTTTCTACTCTTGTCAACTTTATCCATGGACACACGTGTGTGTACAGTACTGTAATACAATGACTGTATATATAAATCGAGTTGCATACTTTATCTACGACGAACGCAAAGAAAAATTTAAAGACAATTTTATTTGTTAAACATTTAACATCTGTCAAATGTTTTAACCTCACTTAAGGGGAAAATTTTCCCCTAATTTATAATTAAGCCTGTGACTAAAACGCCTAGAAAAGTCTATAAACGATCTGTAATGTACGAACTTCGTAAAATATCTATTTATCCCTTTTATATATATTAATATATTTATTAGCTATTTTAATGCTTATTGTGTAATTACTTAATTCGTACATTTCCTCAATTACAATGCATTGACCGGACTGCGATCCGAATTGCAGAATTGCAATTATTATGTTAATTAGATATAGGTTTCAATTGTGATATTATATAGTCGATAAGTAACTTTTGTACGATAATGATTAAAACCAATAAAAATAGTAAAACGTAAGAAACTACTTATTTACTCAGAGTAACCCAACATTACATGGCGATCCTGCCAGTTCAGAGGAAGAAAAACAACGAATTATAATATTGCCGTATTAAAATCAAAAGAGATGTGCAGATCAAAAATAGAAAAAGATGAAATCATAATAAGCCAGGCTGGTAACAGTGGTGGAGTTTCAAATTCCTTGGGAGACAGCAAGTTCAGCATCTATGAGGTACTAATCATAATAGCAGTCCTTACCATCATGTTCATCGTGGGACTTTACATAAGAAGGCGGTCAAAAAGGTACATGGACATCAGGCAAGAGGTTCTTCGCAGCAGAGAAGTACTTAACGCAGAGCCGAAGAGTAAGCCGTGTAAGGTACGTGGAGCAAGTTAACAATTGTGCGGTATTCAAAAATGTTTCGTTTGTTAATTATTATTTTGGTTGTTAATTATTAAGTTAGATTTTTTTTATTATTTTATAAGTATTATTATATTATATCAATTTTTGTAATTAAGTTAGATGGGATTAGAGTTAAATGAATAAGTTAGAGGATTTTAATTACATTTTTGAGGAACTAGGAGTATTTTTAAGAAATATTAAAAAAGAAAACGAAGATAGGCGTCTAAATTTAGCGGTAATTGATAAAAATCTTGCTAAGCTCACTCGAATATCAAATGAATTTGAATTATTAGTAGGGAAGACAAAAATAGCGGGAGACGAATTATTAAATGATTTAATAAGTAGAATAAAAAATTTAAAAAACAATATAAACGAAATTCTTATAGATAGGTTAGCAGTAGCAAAAAGTAAAGATAGTTTAAGAGGGTTAGATAATAATAGCGTTGTAAATTTAGTTAAAATGGGAGAAAAATTTGATCTTAAGGTAGCCGCAGGGTTATTACCCCTTATGGACAATAGCGAAACCGGCACACAACAATTAATTAACGGTATTGAATTATATTCTGAATTATTAAATGACGAGGGAAAAGTAATGTTAATTAACTACGTTCTAAAAACAAAACTTACGGCGTCAGCAAGGTTAAGATTAAAATCAGAATATGGGTCAACCGAGGCTCTTGTTTGTGATATAAAATTACATTTCATTTCTAAAAAATCTGCTGCAGCGCTTTCTATAGAGTTGCATAATGCAAAACAATTACAAAAATCTGTAGAAGACTTTGGTAAAACTATTGAGGAATTAATGGTTAATTTAACATTATCTCAGGCTGATGGGAAAGATGAATTAGCAAAGACACTTACAAATACAAACGAAAAAATTGCTATAAATGCTTTTGCTAACGGGCTACGCGATAGTGATTTAAAATTTCTTATTAAAGCGCGTAATTTTGGTTCCTTACCAGATGCAATAGCTGCGGCCAAAGATGAAGATAGTGCTAAACGCTCATCTGCGTCAATATTTAGTATGAGAAAGTATAGCAACTTTCGGGATTCCAATTTAAGACAAAATAACAACACACGTAATTTTTCTATGCAAAGATCCAACTATAATAAAAATAAAACCTTTTATACCGGGCATCGTAATAATTTTAATAAAGGTAATTACAGCAACAGTCGATAAGTACCTAACTTTTGTACGATAATGATTAAAACCAATAAAAATAGTAAAACGTAAGAAACTACTTATTTACTCAGAGTGACCCAACATTACAGTCGTGGTAACAATCATAGCAATAATTTTCATAGGTCGTTCCAAAACCGGGGTCGCGGAAACAATTTCCGTGGACCACAAAAGGGATATTTTTTAAACGACTCTCAAAATTACCAAAACAGCGGAACTAGTACTGAGTCGACAAGACCATTTTTTCGAGCCCCCCAGTAGTAATCATGTAAATTTTAATATTAATGGATTAAACTTTGTACGAGTGGGATATGGAATGAAAGATTTAGTATTTTTATTAGACACAGGTGCATCTGTTAGTGTAATTTTTCCCGGGTCTTTAAATCAGAATGAATGTATAGATTTTAACAAAAATATAAGGATAAATGGTATTGCGGGTTCAGCTTTTTCAAAAGGTGCAGTAAACATTAATTTTAAATTAGGAGAAACAATTGTAAATCATGAATTTTTAATAGTCGACGAGTTCGATTCTAGTATACAGGGTGTAATCGGAGCAGACTTCTTTGAAATATTTCATGCAGTAATCGATTTTGAAAAGTATATTTTCTCATTTTGGAACAAAAATGTTAAATTTTCTCTACCTCTTAATTCAAAATATAATTATTACACATTTTTACCCCCTAGATGTGAAGTTATAAGATATTTAAGAACGAATGAAATGTATGAATGCGTTGTCTTGCCACAAGAAGTTTGCGAGGGAGTCTTTTTAGCTGGTACGATAGGAAAACCAGAAAATGGCTTAATTCCGGTAAAGTTTTTAAATACAAGTGAAAGAGAAATTCAAGTAAAAAACTTCACTCCAAAAACAGAACTTTTAAATAAATTTGAAATTAGGAATTTTAATACTACCAGCAAATCAGTACATAGAGTTGAAAATTTATTAAAATTAATTGACACAAAAGGTATGAGTGGCGAAGAATGTGAGGCAGTGCAAAAAATTTGTGCCAAATATGCAGATATTTTTTTTATAGAAAACGACACGCTATCTACAACTAATGTATACAAGCAGAATATTATACTTCAAGAGGGTGTTACTCCGTCATATATTAAACCTTACAGGTTACCTCATTCACAAAAACAAGAAATAAACAACCAAGTAAATCAAATGTTAGCTAAGGGAATAATAGAACCGGCAAGGTCAGAATGGTCCGCACCACTCTTATTAGTGCCGAAGAAAACAGATAGCGAGGGTACAAAACGGTTTAGATTAGTTATAGATTATCGACAGTTAAATAAGAGAATAAAAAATGATAAGTTTCCACTACCCTCAATCGAGGAAATTTTAGATTCACTCTCGGGTGCAATATATTTTTCTCATTTAGATTTATATCAGGGTTATTATCAGTTAGAATTAGATATTAAATCTAGGCCTTATACAGCTTTTACAACAGACAAAGGTCAATTTCAAATGACTAGAACGCCTATGGGCCTTAAAACAAGTCCAAATGTATTTTCAAGAGCAATGACAATTGCTATGTCTGGATTAAACTATGAAAATTGTTTCATTTATCTTGACGATTTAATTGTTTTTGGAAATAATTTAATTAATCACAATAAAAATTTAACCAGGGTTTTTGAGAGACTTAGGAAAGTTAACCTTAAATTAAATCCTAGCAAATGTAATTTTTTAAAAAAAGAAATTTTATACTTGGGCCACGTTATTTCGTCAGAAGGCATTTCACCAGATCCAGATAAAATTAAAATAATGCAGAATTACCCTAAACCGAAAGATGCAAATGAAACTAAAAGATTTGTTGCATTTGCCAATTATTACAGGAAGTTTATTAAAAATTTTGCTGAAATCTCTGCTCCGTTAAATCAACTTACAAGGAAAAACGTATTATTTAACTGGTCTAATGAATGTCAAAGAAGTTTCGATAAATTAAAACAAATTCTCATAAGTCCTCCAATTCTTCAATATCCGAATTTTTCAGAAAATACCTAACTTGTTTATTTTAAGAACTGATGCGTCGGGATATGCAGTAGGGGCAGTCGACGATAAACCTGTCGCTTATGCAAGCCGAGCCCTTAACAAAGCAGAAAAAAATTACTGTACTATAGAGAAAGAATTGTTGGCGATCGTTTGGGCAGTTAAAAGATTTAGACCATATTTGTTTGGTAGAAAATTTTTAGTATACACCGACCATAGACCTTTAGTCTACCTGTTTGGTATGACAAATCCATCTAGCAGATTAACGAAATTTAGACTAATTTTAGAAGAATACGATTTTACGGTTAGTTATGTAAAAGGTAGTGAAAATGTAACTGCAGATGCATTATCACGAATAAAACTAAGTTCCGATGAGTTAAAAACAATGGTTCAGAAATCGGTTAATGTTATTACAAGAGCGCAATCAAATGCGAATATTTCTGAGGAATCACAGGAGTTACATAATGAAGGGATTGATCAACCCGGGGTTGTGGAACTTTTGAAGCCTCCTAAATATTACGTAGAAATGCAAACTATAAGTAAAAATATGTTAAATAAACTGCTAAATGATGATAAAAATAAATTTTATAATTCCGGAAATATATATTTTAACAAGAATGAAAATATTGTATACTTGAAAGATGATTCTCGGTCAACGTCCGCATTAAGTGCATCGTTGAGAGACCTCAAGTCTATTTATGACAAATTTAATTTTGCTGAACTGTTAATTGTTAAAAATAGTAAAAACGCGCGTATAATAAAACAAATTATGGGAGCACCTAATAAAATTAAAAATATTGGTTTAAAAATCTGTATTATAAAAGATGTTCAAAAAATTAACGACTATGAGACGAAACAATTAATCCTAAATGATTTCCACATGTTGCCGACGGGTGGACATGCTGGAATAAATCGAATGTTTAATAATGTAAAGAGAAACTATTTTTGGCAAGGGTTACGAAAAGATATAGAACATTTTGTTCAACGTTGCAACGACTGTCAAAAATGTAAACACTCTGTAACAAATAAACAACCTATGACTATAACCACAACCAAAGGCTTTGTTATCTATGACCACAACTGCAATGTCAGCATTTCAAAAGGTTTTGTTAGATTTAGTTGGACCTTTAAAAATAGATAATGATAATAATCAATATATACTAACGTTACAATGCGATTTAAGCAAATTTGTGGAATGTTATCCCATACCTAATAAAGAAGCAACAACAGTTGCTAAAGCTTTTGTAGAAAATTTTATTTTAAGATATGGAATTCCTGAAGAGGTTCTTACTGACCAAGGTACTGAATTTTTAGCATCTATTTTTCAAGAAACGTGTAGTTTACTTAAAGTTAAGTCCTTGAAATCTACGGCATACCACCACGAAACGCTGGGTGCTTTAGAAAATTCCCATAAAAATTTAGGGTCCTTTTTGCGAATTCAAACATTAAATAATCAAAGTAATTGGAGTTCTTGGATACCATATTCTGCCGTGCTTAATGAAAACGCCGTAACCAACAATTTTGAGATTTTTGTTTTATGGCATTTTCTACTAGAAAAATTCATCCTGCGTCTATCCCCGGTACTCAAAAATATATATGAAATATAGATACGGTTTTTTGAGTACAGGGGATAGACGCAGGATGAATTGTTCTAGTAGAAAATGCCGTAAAACAAAAATCTCAAAATTGTTGGTTACGGCGTTTTCATTAAGCACGGCAGTATTGGTGTTTTGCTTATAATAACACTGTTCATACAGAAACCAAGTATACTCCTTTTGAATTAGTTTTTGGGAAAATCGGTAGGTTACCATCTAATTTAAGTATGAAAATTGATCCATTGTATAGTTTTGATAACTACCCCCTAGAATTAAAATATAGACTGCAAAAAGCAAATAGCGATGCTAGGGATAATCTTATTAAATCAAAAGAAAATAGACATTCCAACTTTAATGTAAAAAATAATTGTAAAAATGTTAGTTATAAGAAAGGTGAAAAAATATTGTTAAAAAATTGTGCAGTGAACAATAAACAAGAAGTGCTATATAAGGGACCATACTTAGTGGAAAGTGATCAGGACACGAATATAGTTATTAAGGTAGATAATAAGTCAGTGGTAGTTCATAAGAATAGAATTAAGAAATTTTATGAATAAGGAAAAAAAAAATTTGTAAATACATTTTTTTTTCTTTTTCCCTTGGGAGGTCTAATGTACGAACTTCGTAAAATATCTATTTATCCCTTTTATATATATTAATATATTTATTAGCTATTTTAATGCTTATTGTGTAATTACTTAATTCGTACATTTCCTCAATTACAATGCATTGACCGGACTGCGATCCGAATTGCAGAATTGCAATTATTATGTTAATTAGATATAGGTTTCAATTGTGATATTATATAGTCGATAAGTAACTTTTGTACGATAATGATTAAAACCAATAAAAATAGTAAAACGTAAGAAACTACTTATTTACTCAGAGTGACCCAACATTACAGATCGTTACATACTATACTTTTTCTACAACAAATACTTACCTAATATTATATAAAAAATTATTTAAATTAAATCTAAAAAATTATAATTTTTTAAAATTATAATATATTTAAATTAAATATTTGTATATACAAAAATAAAGTAACCATCCCAATAAACATTTTTGACGTAATTTTCACCATTAACATTGCCCGTTATTATTTTAATTAAACTTAACAATTATTGAAACTTTAAAATATTAAAATAACTTCAAAATATGATTATGTTAAGAAAATAGGTTATCCTTTGATTTTTTGTATTACCTACTATAATTAAAAAATATTATTACAAAGTATTAAAAACTCTTACACGGGAAATGTTAAGGGTGCAAAAAGTGACAGTTAGATTACTAACTTGGGAATCTACCGGCGTTAAAATCTCAATTTTTTCTGTGTAAATGAAAATTTATCCCTTGAAAATGACCAACAATCGATATAAATATATTTACCTTACTCCGGCCGCATTACATCTATCAATCATACTTTTTAGAGCAGACTCATCTCCGGATCTAGTGGTGAGCTTATAACTCACGACTTGATATCTTTCCCACCATGGTCGGTTACTGGAACTCACCACAAGGTTTTCACTGGGCGGAGAAATCTAACAATAATTTCTGCGTTATATAAATTTTCCTGATTTATTTCGTTATTTATTTCCTTACCTGAACACCTCCAAATCCTTTAGGTCCCAAATAGCTCTCACATTCCTGTGCTATATCATCCCATTTCCATTCAAATAAGTGTACAATAGTACTTCTTCCCTGGTCAAAATGTGCGTCCCATTGGGCACCACATAAAGCCACTAATGCCGAAATTATGTAAACAGCTTGCAAGTATCTCATGTTTTTAATTACGTTTACCATTGATTTCTATTTACCTAAATGAGGTATATATACGTAAAGATAAGATCATTACACTCAAGTATCCTCAATTAAATTTTGCCTTTAATTTAAGTGCAATGAGCAAGAAAAACAAAAACAAGCTAAATTTTTTTACAGGGTGTTCGAAAAATGGCAGCCCAATGGTAGGGTGGGTTATTGTAGCTATAAAAAAGTCAGTTCCAAGGAACAGCTTGACAGCTGGTACTATTACTATAATTTTATTTCAATGTTTTTTTCATGGACAACTTGACAGAATAAATTTAAAAAAAATTCTAACTCTAAAACGCCCTTAGGTACCAATCTTTATGAAATTTTGTATGAGAATAGATACTTCAACTTATCTCAGTTTACGTGTTCGAGGCTTTTTCGAGAAAATATTTTTTAAGTAAATAAAAAATATGCTGTTAAAGACCGTATTTTTGTTAGTATACCCTGAAAATTTTGTACAAATCAAACGAACAGTAACGAAGATACAGCGCTTTTTGATTATTTTGCTGAAAAGTGGTCATTTTTGACGACTTTGAAGCGCTGTATTTTCGTTACTGTTCGTTTGATTTGTACAACATTTTCAGGGTATACTTACAAAAATACATTATTTCTCATCATATTTTTTATTTATTGAAAAAAAATTCCCTATAAAAGTTTTTTTTCGAGCGTTTTTTATTATTAAATAAAAGGGCTTTAAGGATATTTTTTCGAAAAACCCTTGAACGATATAAGTTAAAGTATTTTTATCCAAAATTTTATAAAGATTAGTAAAGGCGTAGATTTTGTTTAAAAAAATCGCTAATATGAATTCTTAAAAATTTACTCTTAAAAACTGACATAGTAGGCCTTCTATTTTGCTCCAAAAATACAGATTATCAAGATCTACATAAATCTGGTTAAAATCGAACAATTAATAAAGATTTTACAGAAGTGAGTCGCAAACAAATGGGTCACACTGTATGTACTGTATATAGTTAGTGAATATTTTATTTTATCTAAAGTACTATCTAGAATACTTGCTTGGTACGTGTCAAGATCATGAATTGTTTTTAAAATTTGTTATTATCTTTTTATACAAAAAATATAAAAAAATATATGCTATTATTTTCTGTTATGGGTAGGTATACTATAGTTACTTAAAAAAACACCTTTAATTAGTTATTAATTAAATAAAGTTTCCAATCACACTCTTGTGTTTTTGATAATTTTTATTTAATTTTAAATGTTTGTATTCAAAAATCTACAAATTGATTATTGCAAACGTTTTTTTAAAATTTTTATTTAAATTAAGGGCTGAAAATATGTTCAGCACCTAATTTGACTAATTGGTTATTACCAAATACACTTTTAAGTAAATTCGAATATTTATTTTAATCGTTATAGGTAAGTACCCATCTTTTTTTTTCTAATAGTCTTATTTATTTTTCCAGAAGACTAGAAATTATGCTATTAGTCTGACTTTCTTACTTATTCAGAGTTTTTAAGAGAAAGTAAGGGGCGTATGCAGAAACGTTGTATTATTTATATGAACTGATTTACGCAAATCCACTGATTTAAGTTTGAACCAATTTGGCAACATAGCAAATTTTAAATGACAGTAGGTTAGTAGGTTATCTTACATATACTTAAATGTGTTTATTACATTATAAGAGTGATACATTTTTAAAATGTATTAATAAATATACACATAAATACACCACAATGGGCGATTGCCAAGGAACACGGACTGTCCGCTAGGGATAGGAAAACAGAATTCAAGTCTAATTAGTCCAGCTAAGTAATTTTCCTAATTGCATGACATAACAACAGTACCAATTCGATTCTAATCTATAAACTAATCGTTAAATACTTATACACGCAAACTTAATGTTAATACCAAAATATCATCTGGCTTCAGAAAACAAACAGGTCCCTACACTGAGAAAAGTAAACTATTTCAAGTTTTAATTATTAACTGAACAGTTTTGCACATTCATTACGACCAATGCGCATAATTGTTAAAATTCACGAAATGTTACCTGCAGTCTTTACATTAAACTCGTACAGTTTTTGAATATACATTTTTATTACTACTCGTATTAGCACCCTTGTATAACAACCTCTGATTGTTTGTTTAAAATTTCTTTTAATTTGTTTCAAAAACATGATTTTTAATTAACAATAAGAATAACATTTCCGTAAGTTTTAAACTAACAACCTCATTTTTCTCAGTGTAGACAACCCATAAACAACTTAACCAAATAGAAAAAGGCGTAAGAGTAAATAAACCAAATCAAGCAGGAACGACACAAAATTTAGATTTTATAAATAAGTGTTATTGTTATTTATTACACACACACAACACTTATTTATAAAATCTAAATTATTATAAATCTAATTATATATATATAATATCACAGCAAACGGAAAATTATAAAAGTGTATAGGATGACGCCACGTTTGAATATCGTTTTCTAAATCTCCCCACGGTATAGAGTTGTATTCGTCAGTCGAGCGTTTCAATACTCTCCACAGTATAGAGGTCGTAATTTCACTTTTGAACTAGTAAATTATTTTATATATATGCTTAAATAAAACTATATTGTGATTTTTTTCATTTTATTAATTAATTAAGCTGTGTTGAATATTTTTCTTAAAGGAATAATTGCCAATGGGCCATTAATTCATTTGTTCGTAGATGCTACAATAACCTGCACTGGTGTGTACTTTTTCATCAACCAGATTTAAATATTGCTGTACTAACATATACCAGTGGAGATAGTGCAGGGTCTACCGACAGACCTCATTACTAAATTATTAAAGTTTAATAGCATATATACATATTGATCATTTTTTCAACATAACCTCTGAAATTTTTAATACAAATATAGGTACTTTATATAATACATAAATATACTTAACATCATATCCTCTGTGCTTTACATACCTGAGTTGTTACGGTAAATCAAAATCAGACAAAGGAACCAAAGAAAGGAACTATTTTCAAGAAAATCATATGCAGAAATGAGAAAATTCAAACTACTTGCATTCATCAAAAGATCAAAACTTCTTGCAATATTACACCCTCTTTTTATACTCTCAGAAATATTGACTAGAACAATACGTATTAGAGAGACTCCAGTTTCTATAACTTGGTAGAGTAAAGAGAAGTCGAAACCGTTGCGATATTGCATTGCGCTGTTTTTGTATAATTCTCGGGGACATTAACGAAAATCATTGCCAGTAAAATTCGAAAAGCTTGAGTTTCTATGTCTCTGAGGAGAATAGGAATCCGAAGTTGCTGCACCATTGGACTGAACCCTTTTTTAATAATTTCTAGAGACATAAATGACTGCACCATTCGACAGGGTCGAGTTTCTACCTCTCTGTTGAATATAGAAAATCAAAATAATGTATCTTGTAAGACACCATTGAGTTTGACTTTAAATATAGTCGTGTTTAGGTATAGAGCCGAAAAATATAAAAACAAAGCACGATTCAATACAGTTATGATACAACTTTAAGATTTGATATTCAAACGCGGAGTCATCCTATACACTTCTATAATTTTCCGTTTGCTGTGATTGTATGTATATGCATTTAAATATAGGCATTAACGAAGATACCAGCCCATAAATCAAAGCTTAAAATAAGCAAAAGCCTAAAAATTAAACAACATCACCGAAGATAGAGCAACCCTCTGTATAGGCAATGCGTGCCATAGGGCCGTATTTCAATTTCGTACACTTCAGTGCCGGCTTTATCTATTTTGTATTTTAATATTTATATTTTTAAATTAAATTTGGAAAAATTAAATGTAAACGGTATAAACACTAATTTAACAATAAGATAAATATACAAGGTCGGTAGCCGGCACTCGGCATGAGGAATATCCACCAAGGCAGAAGGCACTTACGCCGCGGCGGGTCGTGGCACTTCGGTACTGAAGACAAGATTCAGTATCTCACAAACAATTCTAAAGAGGTTACCAGGAACCGGAAACTGACTCGGACAGAGACGTTCAGAAATACACCAACGAGGGCAGGATCTAGCAACGTACTAAAGCCCCGGTTGAGGAGGATTCCGGATTGTACTTCCTCCAAAAACCAACTTTTACCCTACTTTGTCGCTCTCCACTAGCCTAAACTGGGCGTATGGCCCGACCCGGCGGCAAAAATCCGAGAGTGGCCTTAACCATCGAAACTGTCATCCACGATCTCCTAGGGTAGATCTACCAGCCGTCGTAAAAAGTTCGGATCCAACAAACACAGGTAATGATGCTGTGCAGTGGCGGGATACGTAGGAGAACGGAAAGGGGGTAAAATAACCATGGGAGATTAGTGTAAGGTAATGTCGAGGGGGGCCTGCCATACGTCCCCACACTCATACTCAATAAAACTTTTGTTCTATCAGGGTAACTTATATTCACGAAATTAAATTAAAATGGACAATTTCTTGTTAACTAGCTGTGTACAAGGATATTTTTTCTGAAGATAAAAGTAAAATAAAAAAATATTGTGCATTTATTAATTTTATTTATGTATTTATATAACAAACTTTTATTTAATTAGTTCTTCTTTTTTATGGAAACTGCAAAGTAAATGTAATCAGTAGCAAGGATAATCACATCCCCTTTTATTTTTAACCATGGAGTTTGTGCCCTTTCTTTTAAACAAGGATATTCCAAAATTAATGGCCTTTCAAACTTTTTAAATGAATTCTGAAAAGCAATTTGATAAGTATACAAACTGGGGTTTTCATTTGAGCAAATCAATTCAACCGCAAAATAAATATATACATCTTCAGTATAATACGATATTCTGAATAGTTTTAAATCAAATACTATGTATCTCATACATTCTGCTAAAGACTTTCCTATTTGATTTAAAGGAATTGTATCTGTTATTTTATGTTTTTCTTTTGCATGTTGTATTATACCATTTTTGGCTACAAATTCTGGGCAAAGTGGGCATTTGTATCTGTAAAACCCACACGATTCTTCATGTTTTATTATTTCACTGTCAACACCCCTCTCTTTGCATCCAAAATCATAAAAACAGCAACCTTTTAATGAACCCTCTCCCATACATTTCTTTCGAAATTCTTCAACGGCAGTTTTGTTGGATCCAGAATTATTACACATTTCTTCATGTTTCTTGATTTCACCTTCAACTCCAATTTCTTTGCAGCCATTTTTTTTAAACTTGCAGGGGTATTTTACATTGGCCGTAAAATTTTCGATGAAGAAGTTTCTAGCAGTGGTCCATTCTCCCTTGCATGTAGGACATGCACTTACTTTTCCGCGACATATGATGCAAATGCTATGTCCACGCTTGCACTGATAAATTGGAGGTCTCATTACGCTCATGCATACGGGACATTCCAATAGTTTCAGCATATCCTCATCTATTCCTTTAGGATTCAAATTAAATTCGTTCGAAATCATATTTTTTTGGTCAGCAAGCTGTTTCAACAGGTCGATGTCTACCACAGTCGCGTTGGGGTTTTTATCCAGGTTTTCCTCATCATAAAAACCGTTTAGTTTGGTAAGAGTACCCACGGTTTTCACTAAATGGTTTGGTGTTGGAATACTCTTGTGCACCACCGAAAATTCCACATTTTCTTCGGATTTCTCAAGCGGATTTAAAGCATAATAAAATTTGTTGTCAACGACCGAAGTCTTTAAAATGCAGTTTTGATGATCATCAGATAATAACTTAACGTTGAAAGGTTTCAACAGGGATGTTTCAACTTTAAAAATATTGTTTCCACTCTTAACAACGTGCTCTTGATGATTATTTAATAAATGTCCGCTAAATTCGAAAGTGCTTCCACTCCAATCACAACCTTCGAGATTTTTCATTGGGCACGGTTTAATTTTAAAATAACAGGTACTAATGTGCTTGGAATAATTATTCGATGCCAACCTTTTATCGCAGCCTTTCGCCTGGAACTTGCACGGCAACATAAGCTTGGCTATAATTGACATGGGGACCGTATTTAGCTCAGCCCTCGATTTTATTTCCTCCCCGCAGTTTTCTTCAAAACAAACCGCACACACGTTTCCTTTACCTTTGACCAGGAAAATGTCGGACGTGCAAATTTCATCGCAAATCTGGCAGTTGAATAGTTTTTCGCTCAAAAGATCGTCAGTGAACTGATTTATTGTTTCGTTTGCCATCTAGCCTAAAATAAAATTAATTATAATTTATAATACTGTTATAGTATGTACAGTAGGGTGGCCCAAAAAAAAAAGAATATATTTTTTTCTCGTCTCCTGTTAAAATATCAGCTCGATTCAAAATTTTTTAGGGGTCATCAAAATTTTTAAAAATTTTCAAAATCGTCAAAAATTGAATTTTTTTTTCTCGTCTCGATATTATTTTTTTGGTTGAAAATAATAAAAATTCTGTAAATTTTAAATCAAAATTTTGATTTCCAAAGGTCGCTAAAAGTTCTTTGATATTTATATTCAGAGGTCGCTCGAAAACATTCAAAATACTCTACTTTGAAAGTTAAAAAAATCTTGAGCGACCTTTAGAAATCAAAATATCGATTTGAAATTTTTAGAATCATTATTATTTTCAAATTAAAAAATAATATCGGAACGAGAAAAAAAATTAAAATAAAATAAAATCCAATTTTTAACGATTTTAGAAATTTTTAAAAATGATGAGCGACCCCTATAAATTTTTATATTTTCACAAGAGACGAGAAAAAAAATATTTTTTTTTTTTGGGCCACCCTTATTTACAGTGAGATAGGTAGAGTGATATTAATATCTCATGGCGGTTGACCTTGAGACGCTTTAATATTATAACAATAATAATAGAATTTCTAGCCTAGAAATTCTTCTAAATATGTCAATAAATATCAGCATTGTTTACCCTATGTAGTATGTTTTTAGGTCGGCGAGTAATAGCGCGATTTGACGGATTTGAGACTTTTGCGCACCCAAGGTCATCCGCCATGATTAATAGCACTATACCTACTATTAGTCTAAATAGATATTTTTGATGTAAATTTTGACGATGTTTCACTACATGGAGTTTGAAAAGGAAAATATATTGCAAAACATATTTTATCAAATATTGTATTAATACAAAATATGTCGTGCTCACTTGAAATAATCATCCATTTCATGAAATGGGCGTCCACTTAGTGTATTCTAATTTATTTTTAACAAAATAATGGAAAATAATTTTTAGTATTCATTTTTTTTTTAATATTGAAGACAAAAAATATAATTTAAATATATTAAAAAATTTATTGTTACATTGAATTATTATTGCTAAGTTAGCAATGCTAACTATAGCTACAATAATAATAATAATAATGCTTTATTGAACTAAAACCAAGTTCAAAGGCTATTGACCGTAGTCCTTCAGCCGATGAAGAAATTCTATAGCTACAAATTTATTAATTATTGACAAATAATATTAGCCATTAATAAAATATAAAATAAAATATAATAAAACATTAAGAAATTTAATTATAAACATTACTTAAATATTAACGAATTACTTAATAATTCTTAACAATGGGTATTTCCATTGTAACGGGTGCGACACTAAAACTGCGTTTTTTCATGATAATAAAGTTTTTGTTCATATACAGGGTGTCCGGGAAAATGTGGGAAATATCTCGGATTTAGATAAAATATGACAAAATAAGATGATATGTTCCTATACAAAAATTTCCTACTTGCCCTCCTTACGGAGACATGGGCCCCGAAAGGACTCCCCTTCAAATTGGTTTTCCTTGAATAACTTTTAAAGTACTGAATATAATTTAATAAAAATTTAATATGATGGACCCTGGTAAAAATCTCTTAAAACAGTGTCCTTGAAACATGTTTTGCTTTTTCTGTTTACCAGGGGCGGACTAAGTATAAATGATAAAGACTTAAAAAAACTAAATTTGCGTAGCATGAACCTTAAACTAAAATAAAGGCACTCTTGTTTATTGTCAATAAAATTAACCGTTTTCGAGAAAAAAAATAATAAACGAATTCATGTTTTATTTTTAATAAAAAGGACCTTAAAAAATAATATAACGTATTGTTGCAAACCTTGATATGAAGGACGATAATTCGAAACAATGAATAAAAAAACTTTATAAGAGAGTTCCACATGGGCTCCGTGAACTCTGATACATTCACGGGCACGACGAATTAAGGACTGCTGTACCCGCCACAATAACCCAGCATTGTTTCTTATAATATCACAAAGAAACGTGATTATCTGTAGAAGTTCCTCCCTAGTATCGATCGGAGTGGAATACACCAAGTTTTTTAGGTGTCCCCACAGGAAGAAATCCATCAGCGTAAGGTCGGGAGATCGAGGAGGCCAGTCAATAGTCAATAGGTCCTCCTCTACCTATACAACGGTTTGGAAAAACGTTATTCAAGTGCTCCCGCACAGCAACGATGCAATGAGGTGGTGCCCGATCGTGCAAGAAGTACATGTTTAGGCGGGTTCCAAGAGGTAAGGGCTCTATTAAATCCCGAAAAGCGTTCTGGAGAAACTCAAAATAAAGTTGTCCATTTAATCGTGCCGTTAATACAATTGGTCCAATCAAAATATTGCCAATGATTCCTGCCCACATATTAATTGGTTGGAACTGATGTTGATAATGCGAAACAATAGTGGCATGAGGATTTTCATCAGCCCATACATGTGTGTTGTGTAAATTCGTGATACCTTTTTTGGTAAATCCTGCTTCATCCGTGAAAAGAATAGTGCTAATGAAGTTTACATTATTTCGTTGCTAATCCAATAGCCAGTTTGCAAACTGCATTCTACGAGGAAAATCTTCAGAAATAAGTTGATGCACTTTTTGCGTATGATATGGATATAACAGTTGTTCTTAAAGAACATCATGCACTATTGTTTTCGATGTATTAAACTGTGCTGATAATTTTCGAGTGCTCGTTGAAGGAGTGTCATCTACAGCATTTAATAGTATATTCTGTAACAAGTTTGGAATTCAGCATATTCCGCTCGAGTGAAGAGTTTGTCACACGAGCCGAAGGCGAGTTTGACGGTTTCACGAGAGCGGAATATGCAATTCCAAACGTGTTTCAGACTATACTTTTTCTACGTTTCCAAAAAATACCATAGAAAAATAATTTAATTAGAAGAAAGTGAGGTTGGATCGGTCCAAAATTTGTTAGATATTAAAAACAGAGATGTCGCCACGAGTGTTTATTCTGTAATCAGATGATAGAATATTTCATTCTGTAACACTTTACGGAATATATGTCATTCCATAGATAAAAGTGATATTAGAAGGGCCAAATTCCGTAATAGGAGTAGAAAAAATATTTTCTCCCGCCAGAATCAATACTTTTTTTACAAACGTACCTAAAATTATGAAAAAAGTCAATAATATTACTTTAATAACTGAAATTATACACCATTCTCTTCTTATTATTCGAAATCAGAAGACATTTCAACGAATTGACCAACGTCTTAGAGAGAATGGTGGACAATTTCAGTTATTAAAGTAATATTATTGACTTTCTTCATAATTTTAGGTACGTTTGTAAAAAAAAGTATTGATGCTGGCGTGGGAAGGGCCATACGTACGCCGCAGTTAGAGAAAAATATTTTAAATGCTGTAGATGACACTCCTTCAAGCAGCGAGCACTCGAAAATTATCAGCACAGTTTAATACGTCGAAAACAATAGTGTATGCTGTTATATCCATATCATATGCAAAAAGTGCATCAACTTATTTTTGAAGATTTTCCTCGTAGAATGCAGTTTGCAAACTGGCTATTGGATCAGCAACAAAATAATGTAAACTTTATTAGCACTATTCTTTTCACGGATGAAGCAGGATTTACCAAAAAAAATATCACGAATTTACACAACAAATGTATGGGCTGATGAAAATTCTCATGCCACTATTGTTTCGCATTATCAACATCAGTTCCAACCAATTAATATGTGGGCAGGAATCATTGGCAATATTTTAATTGGACCATTCGTATTGCCGGCACGATTGAATGTACAACTTTATTTTGAGTTTCTCCAGAACGCTTTTCGGGATATAATAGAGCCCTTACCACTTGAAATCCGCCTAAACATGTACTTCTTGCACGATGGGGCACCACCTCATTTCAGCGTTGCTGTGCGGGAGCACTTGAATAATGTTTATCCAAACCGTTGGATAGGTAGAGGAGGACCTATTGACTGGCCTCCTCGATCTCCCGACCTTACGCTGATGGATTTTTTCCTGTGGGGACACCTAAAAAAACTTGATGTATTCCACTCCGATCGTTACTAGGGAGGAACTTCTACAGATAATCACGTTTCATTGTGGTATGATAAGAAACCATGCTGGGTTATTGTGGGTAATGTATCACGAAGCCCATGTTGAACCCTCTTATAAAGTTTTTAATTCATTGTTTCGAATTATCGTCCTTTAATTTAAGGTTTGCAACAATACATTATATTATTTTTTTATTGTCCTTTTTATTAAAAATAAAACATGAATTCGTTTATCATTCTTTTTCTCGAAAACAGTTTATTTTATTGACAATAAACAAGAGTACCTTTATTTTAGTTTAAGGTTCAAGCTATGCAGATTTAGTTTTTATAAGTCTTTGTCATACTGGGTGATCAAAATTTAAGCATTAAGGTGTAAAACTTAGTCCGCCCCTGGTAAACAAAAAAAGCAAAAAATGTTTCAAGGATACTATTTTAAGAGATCCTTACCAGGGCCCATCATATTAAATTTTTATTAAATTATATTCAGTACTTTAAAAGTTATTCAAGGAAAACCAATTTGCAGTGGCCTTCTTTCGGGGCCCATATCTCCTTAAGGAGGGCCAGTAGGAAAAATTTTTATAGGAACGTGTCATCTTATTTTTTCATGTTCTATCTGAATCCGAGATATTTTCCACATTTTCCCGGACACCCTGTATATTAAGATACGTTTATATAAAAAAAAAACAGTATAAAAAATTAGGTATTATAGGTATTTGTGTAAAACTTGAATAGTAGGTAACCTTAAACAAGCACGTATTTTAAATACACACAAATTGTACTTTATTTTCTAAACTTTTCTCAAAATGTAACGGGTGCGACATTTGAACATTTTATCGAGTATTGAAACACTAATGTTAGCGCTTCTTAGCATCACAATGTACGAATATTTTAAGGTTATAAATTACGTCGCAATTAAACTTTTTGACTTCAGATATAGTTGTTATTTTGTTAAATAACACATCTGATTTGTTGTCAAGGTGGGGTAAGGTTTCGTGGAAATACCCCAATGATAATGAATAAATATGACAGATGTCAAAAATGACAGATAACATCTTTCAAAAAATGACGGATGACATCTGTCAAAAATGACAATTTTTGATATCGGGTATTTTTTCTTGACACCTGTCATCTGTCATTTCTTGTCATCTGTCATTATTCGACATTAACTATTATAATGAAAAGTCCAGCAATATTTCTAACATTTCATGAAACGGAGTGCAGTTTTACGCTCTTTCTCAAATGTTTTATAATTTCATCAAAAATGGCGGCAGATGTCAAGAAATACAGATGGCAAAAACAATAGATGACGGATGGCAAAAATTACAGATGACAGGTGACAAAAATGAAAGTAAAAGTCATGGAGCCTACACAAGGAGCCCAAACTTAATAGGGGAAATTGACAAAACCTGCCCTCTAAATTTCACAAATTAAGTCTTTTTCACCACCAGCGGCGCTGATTGTCGATGCGTACTGACGTCTGCTCTTTTGGTAGCGTTTCGGTACAAACTAGTCAATTGTTTCAGAACAAACGGAACACCAGAGCCCTCTTTTCTTAGGAAGATTCTTGTTTACATAAAGTTCGGACTTCTTGTGTAGGCTCCATGGTAGAAGTGGTGGATGTCAAAAAACTTACGGATGTCAACTATTACTGTTAATTATTAATTAAAGGCTGAAGGACCCCGGTCGATGGCCTTTTGTATATTTTATATTATATGTTCTGTATTGTACTGAATATGCAATAAAAACTTTATTTATTATTTTTATTAATTATTTTTCACTGCAATGATTAAGTAATTATTAAAGTACCTACCTAATTAGTGAAATTGTTAAATAATTAATAGAATTAACTGATTAACTTGATTTTAACATAATCCATTATAATGAAATAAAACTTTCGCAAATTTAGCATGGAATAACCCATATGGATGCATAATATGAAGGTGACCTTGTGGGGAATCCCCAACTTTGACCAAACTTTTAATGTCTTTAACAAGTGCTTGAATATTTGATTGTGTTGCTTAAAAAGTATACCTATTTGTTCAAAAATTATTCCTCACTTATTTTAACTAGGTACATGGTTTTCATCCCAAGTTTTATTAAAAAATTCACAAGAATCTTTTAATTGTGCAGTACATGATACAAATTTGTATCATCGCGCAGTACAAGCTATAGAAAACAATTAAAAGACTTACCTGAATAACTGAACACTTCCAACAAATAAAAATATAAGAAATAATTATTATTTTTTATAAAAACAACTTTTTACGATAAAGAAGCCGCATCTATGAGAACAAAGCAAGTAAGCAAAAAAGTACAGGCGGTGATTTTACCAACTGCACAATGGATAGCCAGAGATAAAGGTAGCTTTGAAATCTTTTTTGAAATATGTTTATGTTAGGCAACCCAGTATACAATCATGTGTATTTATTGTTTAAAAATGCTTTTTAAGTTGTTTATTATTTGTATTCAAAGGTGTACTATATACTATATACTTTATAGATAATTAAATTAGATGCCTATTAACATTTATTTTGTTTTTATCTTTAATTGGTTTAAAATATTTTATTTAACTACCGCAATGAATTTAATGTACTAGTACCATTACTCAATGCTAATACCTAGTATCAGAGACCCTTGTCTCTGCCTAGTACTACCTAGTACCTATAGGTATACCTGTTTTTAAAATTTAATATATGATTTTATGAGGAATTATATAGAAACATTCACAAATAATTAAAAAAAAAATTACAGCACAGATTCCAAGAAAATTTTTTGTAAGTTAAATTTGTTAAATTTTTTGTAAGTTAAATTTGTTTTTATACGCCATTTTTTTATTTTGTTTCTCATAAGCTGATAGTAGTCATGGGTAAAACACCACATTTTTGCTGTGTCAACACCCGCACAGCTCACTGTGTTAACACATTGTGTCGACACAGTCGTCATATGTATATAACACACTTCAGCCCGTTGGCGAAATAACATTTCGTCTACTGGTTGAAATTAAGAAACGAAATGGGTGTTGAATAAAAGTAAATTATTATAGGAGAGATAATGCAGACTATGATTCACGAGGATGAGGTTTATATAATATATAATACTATACTTTATCTTATCTACTCCAACAAGTAGATAATTAAATGATTTTCAAAATAAAATAAATAAAATCTGACATCTGTCAAATAGTTAACCTCACTTTTTACCAATTTTAAATGTTATTATAGTCGCCTTCTTCTAATTTTAAACCCGATTGGTTCAAACAATTTCAATATTCACTGTGGTTTGAATGAAACAACAGTGAATATTGGAATCGGCCAATCACTGATGCCTAACAACGTGAATAATGAGTTTATTATTCACGTTGTTAGGCAGGAAATTTGTAATGTTTAACAATATTCACGAAAAAAAAAAAACAAAATTATGCAATAGGAGTAGAAAACGTAATTTAATACGAGTGTTTTAATAAATAAGTTATCTTGAGAAGTTTATAAAACGAATTGCGTATCTACGACGAACGCAATGTTTTTCAGAATAATTCCGACAGATGTCAGATGAAATGTCAAGTAAAATTGACAAATTTATTAATTATTAACAAATAATATTAGCGATTTATGAAAATTGCAATTACTTTGGAATTTAATTTACTTAAATATTACGTGATAATTATTAACAATGATAAATTATCATTGTAAACAATTAATATGACATATGTCATTTTTTGACAGCTGCCATCTGTCATATTTAACAAATTTAATTGATAATGAATAAATATGACATGATATCTGTCAAAAAGTGACAAATGACATTTGTAAAAAATTGCGTATCAACGAAGAACGCAGCAATGTTATTCAAAATAATTTTGACAGATGTCAGATGAAATGTCAAGTAAAATTGACTTTAAATTTTATTTGACATCTAACAACTGTCAGCACTTTTTACCGATCTGACATCTGTCAAACGGTTTTAACCTTACTTATCCAAATTTTATGTACAAGTGCATAAAGTATATTATTAATGCAGAAGTAGATAAAAAAATAATTAATTACCTGATAGTGTAGGAAATAAAAGAAGGTTTTGGACAATTTGTACAGTTTATTTAATGAAATAATAATAACAATAATTAGGGGCAGGGGAGAGAACTTTAGATCGGAATAAAATAGGAATAAGTAGGCGCAATATTAGAGCAGCAAGGAAAATTACTTGACGAGCCCCAACTTTTTGGCCTCCAACTCGTAGATGAGCAACCGCCACATGTTCACCACGAAAACCTCCGCCTCCTCGTCCAACACCATCTGCACGTCCTCCAAAATGACCTGCGGCTGCGACCCCGCCAGAACCTTGGAGCAAATGAAGTCCACCAGAGTCGGCTCCGGCTCCCCGATGTACTCGATGATCTTCTTGTTGATCCAGGGCCGGATCTTCTTCTCCATCAACCCGTTGTCGATGGCGGCCCAGTCCAGCTGATACGCGAATAAGGCCCCCTTTTCCGTCGGGATCTTCTCTATGGCGAATTTTTGAAAAATGGGAAACAACACTTTTGCACAAGTGTTATTTTTCATAGATTCTTTAAAAAATTTGTTTCAAAACTCGGGCAACAAAAGATAATCATGTTGATGGCTTGGAAATTGATTATCACAGTATACTTTTTATGAAAATCTTAAAATAGTACATTCTGTAACAAGTTTGGAATACAGCATATTCCGCTCGAGGAAAAATTTGACACACGAGCCGAAGGCGAGTGTGACGGTTTTACGAGAGTGGAATATGCTATTCCAAACGTGTTTCAGACATTATTTTCTCTACGACTACGTAAGAATAGTAACGCTTATATAATTTTAAACAGAGAAAAGAAACCAAGCAGTTTTTGACATTTAAGTTTTTTGTCTTGTCAAACCATTTTGTGCCGTCACAATTTTATAATGTAAATTATAATAAATTTAAACAAATGGTATGCCTAAATCTTTATTATAATTAAAAATAGTTATTTACACTAACTAATAAAAAAAATAACATTGTAACAAATACAAAACTAATTTTACAAGTAATTGTATAATTAGAGGTGTCCCTCTATAAACTGTATGTTTCTTGGGATGAAAATAAAGTATTTTATTTTATTTATTTATTTATCTATGTCAACATCTATTCTTTTTCTACATTTTAAAGGTCTTTTTTTAAACTTTTTGAATCTGTCAAAACTTCAAAGCCGGTATAGTAGGTAACTGGTTTATCATTTTAATATCAAATTTATTATAATTTTGATTTGTATATTTGAAAAACAATAAATATAACCAATTTTTTGTGCCTAAACCTTAATTATACAACTGCTATTATTTTTTAATTAATAAATAATACAGTAATATTTAAATATTTTTAAATTTTTTACTTTTAGTAAACAGTCAGGAGATGTCGTTACTTGTGACCATTCTTAACCAAGAGTAGGAATATTCTCGCACAGTATTGCAGAAAAACATCCTTTCTATGATCAAAAATTACACTAGAATGTTACTATTCTTAAGTAGTCGTAGAGAAAACAATTTATTAGCACTTTTTAAAATTGTCATTTTGAATTTTGTGCTGCTAACATTTAACAACAAATTAATAATTTATAAATTGATTATTTACTTTTTGTTGTCAAAGCCCGTGGGCGAAATGGCCCTTAAATTTGTCTACTGGTTGAAGTTAAGAAACGAAATGGGTGTTAACACCCATTTGAATAAGCGTGATTTTAATAAATGAGTTATCTTGAGAAGTTTATAAAACGAATTGCGTATCTACGACGGACGCAATGTTTTTCAGAATAATTCCGACAGATGTTAGATGAAATGTCAAGTAAAATTGACAAATTTATTAATTATTAACAAATAATATTAGCCATTTATGAAAATTGCAATTACTTTGGAATTTAATCATTAACATTACTTAAATATTACGTAATAATTATTAGCAATGATAAATTATCATTGTTAACAATTATTATGACAGCTGTCATCTGTCATTTTTTGACAGCTGTCACATGTCATATTTGACAAATATAATTGATAATGAATAAATTTGAAATGATATCTGTCAAGAAGTGACAGATGACATTGGTAAAAATTGCGTATCTACGACGAACGCAATGTTTTTCAGAATAATTCTGACAGATGTCAGATGAAATGTCAAGTAAAATTGACTTTTATTTGACATCCAACAACTGTCAGCACTTTTTACCGATCTGACATCTGTCAAACGGTTTTAACCTTACTTTTCCAAATTTTATGTACAAGTGCATAAAGTATATTATTAATGCAGAAGTAGATAAAAAAATAGTTAATTAATAGTGTAGAAAATAAAAGACGGTTTTGGACAATTTGTACAGTTTATTTAATGAAATAATAATAACAATAATTAGGGGCGGGGGAGAGAACTTTAGATCGGAATAAAATAGGAATAAGTAGTCGTAATATTAGAGCAGCAAGGAAAATTACTTGACGAGCCCCAACTTTTTGGCCTCCAACTCGTAGATGAGCAACCGCCACATTTTCACCACGAAAACCTCCGCCTCCTCGTCCAACACCATCTGCACGTCCTCCAAAATGACCTGCGGCTGCGAGCCCGCCAGAACCTTGGAGCAAATGAAGTCCACCAGAGTCGGCTCCGGCTCCCCGATGTACTCGATGATCTTCTTGTTGATCCAGGGCCGGATCTTCTTCTCCATCAGCCCGTTGTCGATGGCGGCCCAGTCCAGCTGATACGCGAACAGGGCCCCCTTCTCCGTCGGGATCTTTTCTATGAGCGACTTGATGCTTTTGCGCTTCTCGTCCTGCGATCGACTGGATTCGTCCCCGCTCGACCCGTTGGTATCCCTACCCCGCCCACCGGCCCTGCGCTCTTCAGCGTTGTAATCCAGCGGAACCAGTTTGCGTTTTTTCACCGGAGTGTTGGAGTCGTCCTCGTCCGGGTTAAAAACGTCGCGCAGATCCGCCACTGGCTTTTTACGCTTCGGATCACCGCCCAAAGCTATGGGTTTCGACAGCGTTATCTTCACCAAACCCGTCTCTTCCGGCGGCGGCGGCAACTGCTGCTGCTGCTGCACGAAACTCGAGGAAGAATGGCGCGAATCCTCATCCCCGGCCTGTAATAATAATAATATAATAATAATAATATAATCTTTATTTCAAAATTTGCACATACAAAATTAATTAAACAGTATATATTAGGGTGTGCCAAAAAACCTCGATATTTTTTTTTCTTGCTCTCCACCCAAAATATCGTAGAATATGTCCGAACAAATATTCTGTTATAAGCGGAGCTCATAATTTCAATTTTAAGAGGTCCTCCATCGAATCTGAAGTTTTGCCGCTTAAATAACACCGAAAACTGACTTTTTTACCTTATTTATTCTTGCAACCTAGGAAGAAATTTTTTTTTCATAAAAACCATGACCAAATCTTACAAAGCATTAAATTTGGAAGAAAAAATCTTATTAAGCCGAATTTCTATTTTCATTATTTGATTTTTTACAGAGCTTTAAATTTAAAATTTTACGTTTTTTGCCTTTTTCAGCTAAACTATTGAAGTTAGACGAAAAAGTCAAATAGCAATTTTTTAGCTTGTCTGATGGACCACAAAAAAGTTTTAGGCAAATTTTTTGTATCGTCAATATTCTTAAAGTTACAGGCGTATAAAGTCATCATTTTTGTATTATTAACTTTAAATTTAAAGCTCTGTAAAAATCAAATATTGAAAATAGAAATTCAGCTTAATAAGATTTTTTTGTCCAAATTTAATGCTTTGTAAGAATTAGTAATGGATTTTATGAAAAAAAAATTTCTTCCTAGGTTGCAAGAATAAATAAGGTAAAAAAGTCAGTTTTCTGTGTTATTTAAGCGGCAAAACTTCAGATTCGATGGAGGACCTCTTAAAATTGAAATTATGAGCTCCGCTTTTAACAGTTTATTAGTTTGGACATATTCTACGATATTTTGGGTTGAGAGCAAGAAAAAAAATATCGAGGTTTTTTGGCACACCCTAGTATATATACAAAAGGGAAACATGTCAAAAAAAAGAAATGAGAACATTAGAAAACAAACATATCATTGAATGAGTAGGGCTCTAAATCACAAATCCAATCATAGACTTTCTTTTTAAATAATTTAAAAGTATTTATGTTTTTAATATTATTTGGTAATGTATTAAAACATTTTATGCAGGCATATAAAGTACCTTTTTCAAAACTGGAAAGTCTATGATAAGGATAGTAGTAGTGTACATATCTCAAATTTTTCGACCTATATTGTTCAAATAACTTTTTGTTTTTAAACATAAACAACAATAATTCATAAACATATACACCACTTACAGTAAGTATTTTATTTCTTTTAAAATGCCCTCTACATGAAGACATATATCCTAATCCTAACATTTCACGTAAAACTCCTTTCTGACATAAAAATACCTCTTGTACAATAGTACTCTGACCCCAAAAAATTATACCATACCTTAATAAAGACTGAAAATTTGCATGATAAACAGTTTTCAATGTTTGAAAATTTACATATTTTCGTATAACCCTTATAGAAAACAGAGTTTTATTTAATTTGCTACATAGCTCTTCAACATGATACTTCCAATCTATGTTTTCATCTATTTGAAGGCCTAAAAATTTTGTATTTTTATTGATTTTAATTGTATTAGTATTGTTAAATGTAATTTCATTAAAATTTTGAACATTTGAATGTTTGGTCTTAAAATGTATGCAATTTGTTTTGTCTTTATTAAGTATGAGCATGTTGTCATTGAACCATGTTTCAATATTTCATACAAAAGTCTTGGTATCCGTAAGTAATGTATTATAATTTAATGATTTAATCAAAAGATTTGTATCATCGGCAAAATTTATCAATTTTTGAGAAGGATTTTGTATAACTGAAGTTAAATCATTCAAATATATTATAAAAATAATTGGTCCTATGACACTGCCTTGTGGTATTTCAATCCTTGTATTAAGAGGGTCAGAAGTAGTTTGATGACCATCCCTCTCTACTATAACTTTTTGAGTTCTATTTGTGAGGTAAGGCTGTATCCACAGCAGTGCATTTCCCCTCACTCCGTAATCATTAAGTTTTTCCAACAGAATTTTATGATTTAAACAATCATAGGCCTTTGACAAATCTAGAAACACACCCATACAGTGCTGTTTTTGGTCAAAACTTAATAATATTTCTTGAATAACGTCAAACACTGCTGTTTCTACAGATCTACCCCTTAAGTATCCATGTTGGCACGAATTAAACAATTTAAACGTATTAACCCCTTCAGACCTGAATTATTTTACGACGATAAAAAAAATAAATGGCTCTTAAATCTATCGAATTAGGACCTAAATAACACATATTTGATGCTAAAAAATCTTAATTCTGAAATTTCAGGATAATTTCAGGATGTTCACATGCATGTACATCGAATGTTTTATACGGTTTAGGTGTGGATAATACCAAAATAGTTTTTACATGTCTTAGTACATACCTTTAGGAACAAACTACACCAGTTTATACTTAAAAAATATCTTTACAAATCATCTAAAGACCCGCTAAGACAAACTGTCGTCAACGAGTTGTTGCTGTCATTATGCGCATCTCCGTTATATGAGAGAATTTTCAATCAAAAGGGGCAGTTTAAGTAAGAGAAGTCGCAAAATGTACCTTAGTTTATCAAAACAAATGTACTTGGGGGTGAAAACTAGGTTCTAAATGAAATTTAATGCCTATTGATAGTAAATAAATTACTAAAAAGCTAATGTACATCTGAATGTGCACCAGGTCTGAAGGGGTTAAAAAGAATCCAATAATCTGTTAGTCATCAAGATACATACACCTTAAGATAGGATGGTGCGCATGTTGGGCGGGGCTTAATGACGTCACTTGATGAGTGTTTTTAAATCTTTAACGTGCTTTTTAATTATCTGCTGCTAAAATTCTTGTTTTTGCGATGCTTTTGGATGTTAACTTGCTCTACTTTTTGTTTAACTTGTCGTTTTTGTGTTCGGTAAGGTTCGAATTACTTTTCAGCGTTCAAATTATTGTTATTGCGTTAGGTTAACTTGTTAGGTTTGTTTATTATTGTTTTTGTGTTGCGTTAACTTATTTTGTTTGTGTTTTAGACTGTATATAGTGTCATTTGCATTTATTAAACTGTGGTGTGGCATATTTGGATGCAATTCGGACAACCAGTCCAAGAAAAACCCTTTAAATAAAACCATTAAATTTAATCGATTCCCGAAAAAGTTTGATTTGTGGAAACAGTGCCACAAAAATAATAGACAATATTTACGTTAAGACCGCTTCTGTTTCCTATAAACATTTTCTGGACAGTGACTATAAGTTTAATTTAAAACACCAACGCTTAAACTACAGCCCTAAATGTTATCAAGGACTGAAAACATTGATTATCCATATTATAACACTTTTTTCAATATTAAGTTTAATAAAAACGCACTATGTCCAGAAATTTCTCTATTTTCTTTGATAATATCATCAAGTGACGTCATGCGCGGGACGAACCAAAACTCGTACACGGGAGCATCCAGCCCTGGTTAGTCATTATTAGCTCAAATATTTTAGAGAAAGATGGCAACAAACTAATGCAGGGTTTTTTGTAAAATTTTAGGATAAATAAAGTAAATGGATTTCTTTAATTACATAAAAACAACTCTACACTATACTTAAAAAATAAGAAAAAAATATATAATTCTTTCTAAGAAAAATTTAAATATCATTTCTTTGTACAAGTAACCTAGGGCAAAATCAAATGATGTTATATTAAATAAATTTAATATTTTAAGAAAAAACCGTTTAGTTAACATAATTATACCTAACAATTATTGTAATGTGAATCTTAAATTAAGATTCTTAATACTCAAAAATCTCATAATAGATAGAATATATGAAGTTTGCAATATACAGGAAAACATTCTTTAGATTGTGTACTATTTTAGCTGTCATTTAAAAGAAAATTAAAAATCCTTTTGTTTGTTATATAACACGGTAAATTTTTGTCTCAAACAAACGAAATAAGGCTAAAAATGACAAATTTGTAGAATTCTAAGAGCTATTACTTAGATTTTGCTTTTTAGGTATATTTTGTTTTTTTTTAAGAAAAATGTTGGTTGTGATATTATATCATTTTAAAAAGAATTTAATAAACTAGAATGTAAAAATATATATTTTTAAATTACTTTTTAAAAAAGAATTTTTTTAGTACAACTACCTTAAATAAACGCATTCACGTTGGCCTGTTTATAATTAATTTTTAGGAGTTTTAGGAGATTGATGGCAATTTTAGGATAATTTTAGGAGTTTTCAAGATTTAAGCCAAATTTTAGGAATTTTATGAGTTTTAGGAGGTGTGGGAGCCCTGCTAATGGGCCTATAGCTACCTGTACCTGTATCGTGGTCCATTCGCTGTTCGACTCCGGGGGCGGTTCTACCGGGCTGTAATTCCCCCCGTTGTCCTCCATATCGCTCTCGCTGTCGATGGGTTCCGCTTCGACGGCCGCCAGCTCCTGCGCGGCCTGCTCCACCACGTACTTCTCCCGCTCCTCCCTGTGCCGCTGCCTGTCCCTCTCCCTCTCGATCTCCCTGTACCGCTCCCGCTCCCGCTGCCGCTGTCTCTCGAGCTCGCGCTCCTTCTCGCGCTCCTTCTGCTTCCACAGCTCCAAGTTCACGTCGATCAGCAGCTTCGGTTTGTATTGCTCCTCGCGTTCGCGTTTCGCCTTCTCGAACTCGGCGTTCGGGTCGTCGTGCGAGCCCGAGAAAATACGGTTTTTCAGCTCTTCGATCTCCTCTTTCTCCTTCACGCGGTCGCGCGTGTCGACTTCCGCCTCCTTCAACCTGTCCGCGATCCTCTTTTGCAGCTCGCGCCCCCTAAAAAATTAAGGATCCAGATCTCAATTTATTTGTGGTATCGTCACCCTAATAACAAGGTTGTATGTTAAAAAACCAAAAAATTTCAGTTTATGCTTCTACAAGGTTTTATGTAATCCACCCTTGACATACAACTTGAAAATAACTCTATATATATGTATACATAGAATATACATTCTATAGAATTATTTTTAAGTGGTATGTGAAGCGTAGGCCACGTATAATCCTGTAGAAACATAGACTTAAATTTTTTTAACATACAACCTTGTTATATTAGGGTGACGGTATGTGTTTATTAGGGGGAATCAAAAAAAATCTAAGGCACCTCATGAAAGGGCTTTTACAAAGGGTAAACGTAGCTTTAGGGTATTTCCGCGAAACCTTACCCCACCTTGACAAAATAATCGATCCACACAAATTTTCGATGAATTTCAATGGCAAATAACTTTTTTATTTGATTTCGGATTTTAACAAATTGTACTGAGCTTAAGTACGTTTCCTTGAAAACTAATCCATGAAAACATTTTCCGTATGCGAATTTTGTTGACTGAATTTTGGTGCAACAGGAACGTTGTTCAATAAACACAACTTAATAAAATGAGATGTATTTATTTTAATACAGAGATGATACTCGGTGAAATGCTAATGAAAAACTGATTAAAAATAACAAGAGCAGACTGCCACTCTGAGAAAACTGAGTAGTCAGCAATATAAGAAAAAATATGACGCAGTTCTCGGTTTCTTGTGTGGTCTTTAAAAACACCAAGAAACTTGTATACGTCGCATTTCCCCTTGGTAACATTTTGTTTATAGTATCTAAATATCGTAAATATTGTTTTATAAAACACATTAAGTTGACAGTGTTTTATTGCACTACACATGAAAATAAAAACGTATCATTATATAAAAAAAATAAGTAAAGGTAAAAATAACACGTAATTGAACGTGTTCGTTCACAAATATTAAAGAATATTGTAGATACATTAATGGAGAATCGCTCACATTTTAAAAATTACTAAAAAATACACGTACGTTTATAATATACAGGTTTAAACAAAAAGATATTTTTTACCATAAGTTTAAGACACTCTGTAGAGTGGCAAAACCGTATATTGTTCTAAATTATGTTTTAATTATCAAGTCAGATCTATTTTTAACAGTTTTGTTTTTGGTTCACATTGATATATTTATTTTTGTGGATTTTTTTAAAAAAACATTGCAATTTCCAATATTTTTCCTGTATGAAGAACTAATGTTGCTATGGTCCATCCATAGCCTATGGAGGATGACTGTGACAGTTTTGTTGAATCATCCCATACTTGGACATGTCATATACAGCTTTCAAAAGCTATCAAATTGTTTTTTTTTTAATTAATGTGTTAATTTTGAGGTGTCTTCTTACTTTTAAAAATGTCTCCGACTGATGTTGCCCTTTGTACTTTACTTCTTGTGACGTTTAAAACACTTGCCACGTAATACTGTGATCGTCCATCCTGAATTAAATCAATGGCTCTGGCAACATCAGTCTGAGACATATCCATTTTTAGAAGTAAGAAGACACCTCAAATTTTAAACATTAATTTGCAAAAAAAACTTTGATAGCTTTTGAAAGCCGTGTTTGACATGTCCAAGTATGGGATGATTCAACAAAACTGTCACTGTCATCCTCCATAGCCTATGAATGAACCATAGCAAACTTAGTTCTTCATACAGAAAAAATATTGGAAATTGCAATGTTTTTTTTTAAAAATCCATATTTTCCATAAAAATAAATATATCGAGGTGAACCAAAAACAAAACTGTTAAGAATAGATGTGACTTGATAATTAAAACTTAATTTAGAAGAACATACGGTTCAGCCACAGAGTGTCTTAAACTTATGGTAAAAAACATATTTTTGTTTAAACCTGTATATTATAAACGTACGTCTATTTTTTAGTATTTTTTTTAAATGTGAGCGATTGTCCATTAATTTATCTACAATATTCTTTAATATTCGTTTAAATCCGACATAAAATAAAAAAAGTTATTTGCGATTGAAATTCATCGAAAATTTGTGTGGATCGATTATTTTGCACGTAAGTGTAGTTTAATTCGTACATTTGGATGCTAAGAAGCTAACATTAAGAATAAACACGGAAGAGTTTCAATACTCGATAAAATGTTCAAATGTCGCACCCGTTACATTCTGAAAAAATATTAAAAAAAAAGTATACAATATTTGTTCATTTAAAATAGGTGCTTGTTTACACAAAAAATTATTATTATATGCTTTTATCAAAAATTTTACAGTATCAACATGGTCGCATTTGCCGATTTTCTAAGGTCGCGCCCGTTACGCTATTCATGACGTTATAATATACTATTGTATACAAGTTTTTATTGACATTTTGTTTTAGTAAAATATCTAAATATCTAATCTATTTTTGTATATTAAGTTAATTATATTTTTTTGTATATTAAATTAATTAATATTATTAACGTATCTTGATGCACATATATGAACAACACAGTGTTAGTGTCGCACCCGTTACAATGGAAATACCCTATAGCAGACGGCGTACGCTGTCTCTTTCTGGAGTTGTCAATTTTAAGCGTAGTCCATGGTCGGTAAACATACAAAGCATCGTATGCAGTCAGCTAAAGCGGCGTTTACACGTTGTGAATTAAAAATTATCGACTTACATTTAAATGTAATGTGAATGTGTTTGTGTTAAAAATGTATCAATTTAATTTGGTTGAAAATAAAAGTTTTTGGTTTAAATTTCTTAATCTTAAAAATTTATTGACTATCATTTAAATGAATTGTCATTTAAATGATAGTCGATAAATTTTTAATCCAAAAATTACCACTTTAAAATTTAAAACTAACATTTAAATGTAATGTAAGAATTTTTGTATTAAAAATCATTTAAATGACTACAAATTTAAAACAATAATTTTGTAGAATAAAATATTAAAATATTTTAAACTTAAACTTTTACATAATATGTTATATTACATTATATTCAAAAAATTTAAGGTTTTAAACTATTTTGGTAGAAAAAGTTTTATATGTTTTTATTTAAAATTTCTCGACATTTCCGATTAAATTTAAATAATTTTATAAAAAATTCATTTAGGATTTACAAAATTCTGCCCAAATAAATTATACTTAAGAAATTATTTTTATTAAAAAATGAGAAATGTTTGCAAAAATTGATGGAAATAATATTGTTTAATACAGAAGTGAACAGTTAGTAAATTTTGTCTTTCAATCCATGATAGTTGAAAATATTTTAAATTTATAAATGTAAACCTAAAATTTTTAGTTTGGAAAATTTTAAATTAAAAAATTATTTAATAAATGTTAAAAGGATGTGCCGTAGATAAGCTTGATATAATAGAAGTACAAATTGATGATTTGTGAATATATTATTAATTTGTGCTCAAAATTTTTTTTGTAACTTGTATGGGGTTTTAAAATTTCCAGAAAAAACGAGACGTCGAAAAAAAAACGGAAAAATTGGGAATTTTCAGAAAAATTTTCTTTTGCATTTTTTTCAATTTATTCAAAGGGTAATTCGAAAAAATACCAGTTCAATTTTTTCAAATAATTTCCAAATTTTTACGGATGATATCGAGAAAAAAGTGAATTTCCGAAGCTGATTATAATCATAATATTATTCCTTTTATTTTATATTTTATTTTTGTGGTAATTTTTGGATTAAAAATTTATCGACCATCTTGAGAAATTTTAACCAATAACTTTTATTTTTTTGACCGCGCTAGAGCGTCTGCTAAAGCCATGTTACACTTTCTAAATTAAAAAATATCGACTTACATTTAAATGTAAAGTTATAAATTTAGTGTTAAAAAAAATTGGTCATTTAAAAGATATTCGATAAATTTTTAATCCAAAATTACAACTTTAAAATTTAAAACATTTAAATGTAATGTGAGAATTTTTGTATTAAAAAATTATTGACTATCATTTAAATGACTCTTTACAATTTTAAACCAATAATTTTGTAGAATAAAATATTAGAAGTACAATTTATAAAAATAATAATTTTAAACTTTTAAAGTTTTACAGTTGCATTCTATTTTTAAAATAATATTTGACAATCAATTGTTTTGAGTTTAAATAAAATTAACTTTGTAAATTTCTGCTAAAACATAACTAAAGTGCTAAACTTTAATCTTCAAACTTTTATCTAATAAATGCCAAAACGGCGTGCCATAGTTTACTCATAAAACTTTAAAAAATAGATATAAACAAATTTGTAAGACTTTAAAGTATGAAATAAATTTAGCCAAACTTAATTCAAATTCACTCACTTGTAATATTTGACATCGTCCCTTTCGTCGTCGTAATCCTCCAAAAACTCCTTCAAACGCTTAGCATCGTGTTCTCTCTCCTCCTCTTTACTGCGATCCTTCTCCCTCTCTTTTTCGTATTCCTTCGCCTTTCTCCTCTCTCTGGTCTCCCAAGCCCTAAAACAACATTTTAACGTTCTCAAAGTTGCCAAGAGCTGTTGCTTTCCGGATTATTTATTACCTCAACCTCTCCTGATAGGCGGCCTCCTTCTCCCTGGCCCTGCGCTCCTGCTTCTTCTTGTCCTTGGCCTCCTCCTCCATCTCCTTCTCCCTGAGCAGGTCCTTGGAGCTCTTCTTCTCCTCCCGCTCGCGCTCCCTGTCCCTGTCTCTGTCCCGGTCCCTCTCCCTCTCGCGGTCTCTGTCGCGGTCCCTGTCGCGTTCCCTGTCGCGCTCGCGCTTGCGCTCCTCGTCGCGCTCGCGTTCGCGCTCGCGTTTGCGCTCCTCGTCGCGTTCGCGCTCCCTGTCGCGCTCGCGTTCGCGCTCCCTGCTGCGCTCATGGCTCCTAGCAACAATTAGTTAGAATTCAATACGCGTTTTTGACATTATAGATATGTAAGTATTAGGGTGTCCCATAATAATGATTCTGAAAATTTCAAATCGATATTTTAATTTCTAAAGGTCGCTCAAGATTTTTTTAACTTTCAAAGTAGAGTATTTTTAATGTTTTCGAGCGACCTCTGAATATAAATATCAACGAACTTTTAGCGACCTTTAGAAATCAAAATATTGATTTGAAATTTACAGAATTTTTATTATTTTCAACCTAAAAAATAATATCGAGACGAGAAAAAGAATTAAAATAAAACAAAAATTCAATTTTTGACCATTTTGAAAATTTTTAAAAATCTTGAGCGACCCCTACAAAATTTTTAATCGAGCTGATGTTTTGAAAGGGCTCTCACAGCATGATAAACTAACAGATTTTTACAAGAGACAAGAAAAAAATATATATTCTTTTTTTTTGGGACACCCTAGTAAGTATGTTATTCGTAAATGTGCTTTTAACGTTTTAAAATATGTTTACAACATACAAAATATTGCAAAAAGTTATTTTATAAGGGTTATGTTAAGTTAATGGTTTTATCATTAAATATGTTTGACATTTTTAAAATTTCTTTTAACCTTTTAAAATATGTTTTCAACATTCAAAAATAGGTTTTTAATATTAAAATGTTTTGACACTTCCTATAAATCTTTATGGTAACTAAAATATTGTTTTATCATTCTTAAATGTACTTTTAACATTTTAACATAAAAAATATTTTTGACATTTCCTAAAAAGTTATATTTTAAGGTTATGCTAACTAAATGGTTTTTTCATTCTTTAGTATGTTTGACATTTTTAAAAGTGCTTTTAACCTTTTAAAATATGTTTTTAACATTCAAAAATGTGTTCTAAATACAGTGTGACCCATTTGTTTGTGACTCACCCCTGTAAAATCTTTATTCATTGTGCGATTTTAACCGGATTTGTTTTAAAGTGTAGATCTTGATAAACTGTATTTTTGTAGCAAAAGCCGCAATATTAGTACAAAATACAAGGCCTACTATGTCAGTTTTTTAGAGTAAATTTTTAAGAATTCATATTAGCGATTTTTTTAAACAAAATCTAAGCACGGCACTGGATTCACCACCCCTTAAAACGACCCTTTACTAGTAGAAAGTAGAAAAATGCACAATAACTACAAAAATTTATTCTGTCAAGTTTTCCATGAAAAAAACATTGAAATAAAATTAAACTTATAGTAATAGTACCATGTTACTATTAGTTTAATTTTATTTCAATATTTTTCTCATGGATAACTTGACAAAATAAATTTTTGTAATTATTATTGTACATTTTTCTTCTTAAAATTTTTGAATAGAATTTAGTATAGGGTCGTTTTGAGGGGTGGTGAATCCAGTGCCGTGCTTAGATTTTGTTAAAAAAAATCGCTAATATGAATTCTTAAAAATTTACTCTTAAAAACTGACTTGTATTTTGTAAAAATATGGTGTTTTTTACTCCAAAAATCCGGTTAAAATCGCACAATAAATAAAGATTTTACAGATGTAAGTCGCAAACAAATGAGTCACACTGTTTAAAAATTTTTAAAAAGTTATATTATAAGGGTTATGCTAACTAAAATATTGTTTTATCATAATTTAGTATATTTGACATTCTTAAATGTAATTTTAATCTATTACAATATGTTCTCAACATAAAAAATATTTTTAACATTTCCTAAAAAGTTATATTTTAAGGTTATGCCAACTAAATGTTTTATCATTATTTAGTATGTTTGACATTCTTAAATCTGCTTTTAACATTTTTTAATATGTTTTCAACATAAAAAATATTTTTGACATTTCCTAAAAAGTTATATTTTAAGGTTATGCTAACTAAATGGTTTTTTCATTTTTTAGTATGTTTGACATTTTTAAAAGTGCATTTAACCTTTTAAAATATGTTTTCAACATGTTCTTAGTACAAAAATGTTTTTGACATTTACTAAAAAGTTATATTATAAGAGTTAGCTAATATTATACAGGGTGTTATGTAATTAATGTTATATATTAAAATGGGTTGTTCCTTAGGGTCCATAAAGAAGCACCTGAAACTTTTTTTTTCTAAATTCCAAAGACTAAAAATAATTTATAATAACCTTTATCCTACCAAAAAGTACGCCACTGATCGACTAGGAACTTTAGACTAGTCTGGTTGCCTAATTTAATTTATTATGTTATGGTTGGTAACAACCAGATTCTGTCAAAAAAGTTGACAAACATTGTTTAAATTTAGCTTAATTACAAAAATGACAAAATTTACAATGGAAATTGTCAATTTGGTGTTTTTATTAATTGTTGGTTATGTCATTTTTGTACTGAAGGTAAATTCAAACAAAATTCAAACAAACTTTTATGACAGAATCTAGTGCATTTCTTTCAAATTTTAGGTTATGTGCTCAAATTGTAAATATCTTAACTAAGGGAAGTGCTTTTGGATTTATTTTCACAAATTAAATGTTTAAAGTATAACCTGTGAACTGGTCCCAATTGCATCTGAGTAAACAGAAAGAAAAAAACCGATGAAAAAATGTGGTTATGGATTTTTTAAAATAGGTACTACATTTTCTAATCATTGCTTAAGCTATTAGCTGGATGAGTAAATAAATACAAAAGGGTATTAGAGCTTTAAGGGCATAAAACTTTTGTATTTATTGAGTTTTTATTTATTTTTTGCAAGAAAATTTTTAGTAACAATTTTTTACATCTGGCAACACGCAGCTACTTTGTTGGTTGGTATCTATGTACTCACAGAACACAAGTATGCAGAGGTAATCCAAGTGTGTAACCAGTGGCGTATCACAAAAATATAAAAAACTTCTAATGCATATTTTTTCTTTATCTTTGGAAAAACATTTTTTTAAATATTTTTCCTTTACTCCTTATGTCAAAAGGTATTCAGTATTTTAATATATAACATTAATTACATAACACCCTGTATAATACTAATAATAATAATATTATAAGGGTTATGCTAACTAAATGGTTTAATCATTCTTAAGTATATTGTGCTTATAACCTTTTAAAATATGTTTTTGACATTTTCAAAAAGTTATATTAAAAGGGTTACCCTAACATATTGTTTTATCATTCTTTAGTATGTTTGACATCCGTAAATGTGGTTTTAACCTTTTAAAATATGTTTTCAACATAAAAAATAATTTTGACATTTCCTAAAAAGTTATATTATAAGGATTATGCTAACTAAATGGTTTTATCATTCATAACTATGTTTGACATTTTAAAAAATGCCTTTTAAATATTCAAAAATGTGTTTTTAATATAAAAATGTTTGACATTTTCTAAAAAGTTATATTATAAGAGTTAGCTAACTTAAATATTGTTTCATCATCATTCTTTAGTATGTTTGACATCCGTTAATGTGGTTTTAACCTTTTAAAATATGTTTTTAACATAAAAAATATTTTTGACATTTCCTAAAAAGTTATATTATAAGGATTATGCTAACTAAATGGTTTTATCATTCTTAGTAACTTTGACATTTTAAAAAATGATTTTACCTTTTAAATATTCAAAAATGTGTTTTTAATATAAAAATGTTTTTGACATTTTCTAAAAAGTTATATTATAAGGATTAGCTAACTTAAATATTGTTTTATTATTTTTTAGTATGTTTGACATTCTTAAATGTGGTTTTAACCTTTTAAAATATGTTTTTGACATTTCCTAAAACGTTATACTATCGCTAACAAAAAAAACTCATACAGCTTAAAAATCTAGTGTTCCTGATTTTCTATCATTTCGTTGGAGTAATTATGGCTTTTAACATGATACGTCACATTTGAAAGGTCTAAAATTAAATACAAAGTTAGGTTGAAGTTTGAAAAAAAAATATTTCGTCATCCCTCTGTTTTTGTCAATTACTGCCCGCAAACGGCAAAGCATGGAAGTCGCCGTCTTGCTTTATCTTGTTCCAAATGGCTTCAATGGCTTGCCAGAGTTCGTCTGCATTGTTTGGTTGAAAATGTTGTTAAAAAAGTCATAATGGATGTGACAAAGCTCGATGTCAGCTTGACATTGACGGAAAAGTTTTATTCACACAGCCACAATATAGCTGTATGAGTTTTTTTTGTTAGCGATAGTACATATCATAAGGTCTATGATCTTAAATATGCTTTTAACCTTTTTAACATTTACAATATTTTACCTTGATCTGGACCTTCTCCTCCTCTTGGTGGTCTCCTCCTTCTCCCTTCTCCTGGGGCTGGGCGAATGGCTGTGTGATTTTTCCCGAGTGCTCGACTCCCCCCTCTTCTCCGCCTTGGCCTCCTCTTTTTTCTTGCGCACCTCCTTCTCCTCCTCTTGTTTCTAAAAAGAAACCACCTTCAGCAAACACGTCTACAACCTCTAAACCCTTCTTTTTATTATTTTTTACATAACATTTTCTTTACTAACTACCTTATTGCTTTTTTTTAATAGAGGAAAAAATGTCATCATACCATGTATATGCTCACTTGATTGTGTATGTCACGGTATTCTTTTTACTTTTAACCTTGCTGGAATAAATTAAAAGGAGAAACATTTTGTGTTAGTTATTTTTTTTCTTTATTCCAACTTTTGTTTTGTTACAATAATGGGTTCCACTCATAGCATCTTTTGCTGGATATTTTTTATTACATTCGAAAATATTATATTTTTGAATTGAAACAATTTTTTTTTCTGAGTAGCTTTTTAGTTATATGGTTTTAAAACAATAATGATTGTAAATATTTTGAAACAAGTTGGAAAAAACATTTTTAAATGTAACAAATACCATATGGTGGGATAGTAGTATTAAAAATTAGACATAATAATAATAAACGGTAAATATTTTATAAATAATTATTTCTACATGAACTTTATCAACTTACTCAATGGTCGGAGGGTAGAGATGGCAGACATGCGCAGTAGACTGATTGATTGATTGAGATTCCCAACAACTTGCGTAACTTCACAATATCACGATGAAGTAATATTTTTTTTTGTTCGATCGATTAATATCATTTTAGATTTAGGCCACGAGCTGTAACTTACAAATACCACTCGTGGCTACTAAACAATTTCTCGTTCTCTTTCTCGCCTCAATAAAATCGTTAAAATCAGTTTTTAGATTTTTTGACAATTGACAGACTGATTTAGGTTGGTAATGGTTGGTGATTTTCTGCAGTTACATAAGTGTTCCCAATGTCTCTTTACAAAACTGTCAACTGTCAAATAAAAAAGCTGACTTTACATATAAACAAGCTCAAATATTAGATTTTTAGCCTAAATTTTACTCTTTGTTATAAATGACAAAAACATTCACTCACCATTCATACTGGTTTTAGCTATAAGTATAGTGTACACAAAAAAATTTAAAAAACATAAACTGTTACAATAAAAATTTATGTTTTTTAAATCGAATAATTCAAGTTTAACACAAATATATATATTTTTTAATTTTTTTTTTAAACAGGTAGTTTTCGAGTTGGTAAAGTTAACATTTCAAATAAGGCAGCTAAGGTTTACAGATCATAATCATAACATTGTTATTAATAAAAAATGTTAAATTTTTAGTGTTTGGAAAGTCGTTCTTTATTCTTTTAGTGAATAAATGGCCTCAAAACGTTAAAATAATAAAATAAAATCCAATTTTAAAAACCTACAAAACCACTTATTTGAAAAAAATAGCGTTAGTTTGCCATTTTCGGGACAACTGTATTAATTAATATAATCATTTTTGTTATTTAACTTTTAAAAGCCGCTAGGCAACACAGGTTACAAATCTATTAAACTTTCTCATTGGCGGCTTTAAAAGTTAACTCCTGCAATCTCGCGAATTAAAAAAAATAATAAAGGAAAATTTGTCTTGGAATTTCAAGGAAGGAGTTTTTTACCTTTACACTTTGGGTCGCCCAAATTAATTAGAATCCAATATGCGTTTTTGAAATTGACATTTTATAAAAAGTTATATCATTAGGGTTATGCTAACTAAAATATTGTTTTTATCATTCTTTAGTATGTTTGACATTCTTAAATGGTTTTAAACTTTTAAAATGTTTTCAACACAAAAAATGTTTTTAACATTTCCTAAAAAGTTATATTTTAAGGGTTAGGCTAACAAAATGGTTTTATCAATCGCCGTGACTAGGTGCACGTTAGAGTGCCCGCAATTTATTTTTTACGGGCACGCTAGTGACGTAATAGATAAAAAACGTCATCACTGCCGTGCCGCTTAATTTAAAATTGGCGGCACAACAATAATATAATAATAAATTGTACCTGTATACATGTTAAGGGCACGTTAGTTACGTAATAAAACCAAACCAACCCAAACTCAACAACACAACCCAACCGACCCCGCCCCATTGGCCCCCCCCCGCCCCATTGAGCAAAAAACCCAACTAAAATGGGCTAATTTATGTTACGATAAAAATAAAACACTTTTTAACAAAGGAACAACAAATTTATGAAATAAAAAAGTAAAAAAAATTTCGACAACTTCTGAGAATCGAACCCGGGACCTCTCGCATGCAGAGCAAACGCCCTACCATCTACGCTATCTAGCTTGACAACAAAAATTATATGTTCGGGTAACAAAACCGGATTATTATTATGACGTCACTAGCGTGCCCGTAAAAAATAAATTGCGGGCACTCTAACGTGCACCTAGTCACTTTGTTTATCAATCTTAAGTATTAGGGTTATGCTAACTAAAATATTGTTTTTATCATTCTTTAGTATGTTTGACATTCTTAAATGGTTTTAACCTTTTAAAATGTTTTCAACACAAAAATGTTTTTAACATTTCCTAAAAAGTTATATTTTAAGGGTTAGGCTAACCAAATGGTTTTATCAATCTTAAGTATATTTGACATTTTTAAAAACTTGTTCTCAACATTCAAAAATGTGTTCTAAGTATAAAATTTTTTTTGACATATTCTAAAAAGTTATATTATAAGGGTTATGCTAACTAAAATATTGTTTTATCATTCTTTAGTATGTTTGATATTCTTAAATGGTTTTAACCTTTTAAAATATGTTTTTAACACAAAAAAGTTTTTAACTTTCCTAAAGTTATATTTTAAGGGTTATGGTTCTATCAATCTTAAGTATGTTTGACATTTTTAAAAGTGCTTTTAACCTTTTAAAACTTGTTTTCAACATTCAAAAATGTGTTCTTGGTATAAAAAAGTTTTTGACATTTTCTAAAAAGTTATATTATAAGGGTTATGCTAACTAAAATATTGTTTTCATCATTATTTAGTATGTTTGACATTCTTAAATCGTTTTAACCTTTTAAAATATGTCTTTAACACAAAACATGTTTTTAACATTTTCTAAAACTTTATATTTTAAGGGTTATGGTTTTATCAATCTTAAGTATTTTTTTGCATTTTTAAAAGTGCTTTTAACCTTTTAAAAAAATTTCCAAGTATAAAAATGTTCTTAACATTTTCTAAAAAGTTATATTATATATATTTAAGGGTTATGGTTTTATCAATCTTAGTATGTTTGACATTTTTAAAAGTGCTTTTAACCTTTTAAAACTTGTTTTCAACATTCAAAAATGTGTTCTAAGTATACAAATGTTTTTGACATTTTCTAAAAAGTTATATTATAAGGGTTATGCTAACTAAAATATTGTTTTCATCATTATTTAGTATGTTTGACATTCTTAAATGGTTTTAACCTTTTAAAATGTCTTTAACACAAACATTTTCTAAAAATTTATATTTTAAGGGTTATGGTTTTATCAATCCTAAGTATGTTTGGCATTTTTAAAAGTGCTTTTAACCTTTTAAAATATGTTCCAAGTTCAAAAATGTTTTTGACATTTTCTAAAAAGTTATATTATAAGGGTTATGATAACTAAAATATTGTTTTATCATTATTTAGTAATACTAAATTAGTATGTTTGACATTCTTAAATGGTTTTAACCTTTTAAAATACTTTTTTCCTAAAAAGTTATATTTTAAGGGTTATGCTAACTAAATGGTTTTATCATTCTTAAGTATGTTTGACATTTTAAAAAGTGCTTTTAACCTTTAAAAATATGTTTTCAACATTCTTAAATGTGTTCTAACTATAAAAATATTGTTTATATCATTTTTATGTATGTTTGACATTCTTAAATGTGCTTTTAACCTTTTAAAATAAGTTTATTAACTCCTGCAATCTCGCAAATTCAAAAAATAATAAAGGGAAATTTGTCTTGGAATTTCAAGGAAATTCACCTTAACACTTTGGGTTGCCAATTTTGGGATACCCTGTATATAAAATTTAATAGGTGTTATGTTTTACATAATTTTTTGATATGTTATGTTTTACATAACTTTTTAGAGTTGTTTCCAAATAAATATAATAAAAAATTATACCATACAGGAAAGGCCTCATTTCTGAACTTTATATTTGTGTTAGACTTGAATAATATACAAACAGACAAGGTGTACATGTGTTGTGAATGTTGTACTTATAAAACTGATGTAAAATGTAATAATAATATAAATAAATTAGGATAATAATAATAAAAAAACTGGAAAAATCTGGAATTTATAGTTTATAGTTTTCACGTTACTCACCAGCGGCGCCACGGGCCGAACCGAGGTGGGACTGCGCCGCATCCATTTTCCTGTTTGGTTTCAACAACCACATCAGCGCAACCAACATTAAAATTCAAATATCCCCCAACCCCAAACAAAAACCCCAAGAACTACTAACAGGCTATATATATTCCAATTTTTAAATGCTGTTGCTCGCAATATCAACCATAATGTAACATTTTTTTAGTTTTATTATTTTACAACATTATATTATATTATTTGTTATAATATGATGATAATGTGGCAGCCATGGTTCAAAATAAAATTGAGTTGATTTGGGATTTTCAATGAAAATAATAAATTTTTTACTTACTTTCATTATCTCCCGGAACTTCCCTATTTCTCTTGTTATTAAGTCTCTTTTTTCTTCTTCCACTTCGGCTTCCTCCAACACTTTATTCCACTTCTCAATTACCTCCTCTGCAAGTCAAAAAATGTAAACAAAATCCTTAAATCATCAAAAAAAATTACCTTCTTTTTTCAGTTCAAAATTGTTCATCTCTTCCTGGTATTCAATAATAATTTGTTTAATTCTTTCAATGGCCAAAGCATCTAAAGCCAAAGTTTCGTCATCTAAAACTTCCTCTTCCGGTTCATCTTGCAATGGAGAGGAACCTTTCTCTTTTTTTCGTCTTTCAGCTAAAAAATATTACAATAAAACCCAAAATATACATTTAATATTATTATTATTATTATTAGACTGTACCTTTGTATTCATCTAGGACGGTTTTCGTTTTGGCATCTACTTTAGCCACCAGCCGTTTATCACCAACCGAAAGGTCATGCAAAAGTCTAACAGCCCTAAGACCTGCATCTGGGCCGGCTAACTCGCAGAAACCAAACGCTTTGACTTTTTTCCAACTAATTACATGACCACATGTAGCTAATATCTGGCGAATCATCGCGTCTGGGGCCCTTTCAGTAATATTACCTTTAAAGTAACATGTTGTTAATATATGAACTTTTTTTTTGTAGTTTTAGGACACCTTACCTACAAACACTGTAACTGCAGGGCCTTGTATTTGTTTGATTTGATCCCTGTTGGGATTCAGCCTGGGTAAAGCCCTTATTTGCGGGGCACTGGTTACTTGTATAGGTACCATCTTAAACAACCATAACACCAATCATATATAAAAAAAAACTTAAAATTATTTTACTCACGTGTTGTAAGGGCATCACGGCGGGCATTAAGGGGGGCGCAGGGCCCCCCATGGGCATGTAAGCCATGGGTAAACCCTGCATTATGGGCCTACCGGGCCCACCTGGATAGGACATCACTTTAGCTTAATTTTATGCGGACAATCGATCGATACGCGGACACGCACGCACTTTTTATCTCGTCCCGGACATTAATAAACCTTCTTTACCAATACCACGGTGAAAATTTCAGTTAAAAATCGACTTTAAAACGGGATTTATTGCAATAATTTTTGTGACTTCGTAAACGCTTTGCCTAATTGACAGTTTACTCACTAAGTGAACGAGGTTTGCAACGTGAAGACGTGAAATGTCACTAGGGCAGGGCGGGAAGTTTGAATCGATAATGTAGGGATGGTTGCATAACTTAATAAGAGTACAGTAGAGTTCTTATAGAACCAACGAATTTTAACAACCCAAACAGTGTATTTGACATTATTTTGACAAATACATGTATTTTCCTTAAAATAAATGATTATTTTAAATATAATTATTTTATTAGGCACAATGAATCGCCAATAGTAGATCAAATAAACGAATGTTGCCAGACTGTGCAAAAACTCCCAGATTTTTAGAAATATTTGTAAAAAAAGAACAGAAATTATTTTTATTATTTTAGTTCAATTTCTCTAATTTTTTGTTTGAAAAGTGGTTTTGGATAACCTTTTAAATGTTTAAATGTCCTTAAACTTTGAACAGTCTAAAAATATCATAAACTCTTTAATTTTAGAGATAATGCATGACTTAATGCAAAACTTAGGACCAACGAATTTGAAGTCAAATACACTGTTTGTGTTGTATTTGACATTATTATGGCAAATATGTAGGTACCCGTATTTTTCTAAAAATAAATGATTAAAAATTATTTTATTAGGCACAATGAATCGCCAATAGTAGATCAAATAAACGAATGTTGCCAGACTGCAAAAACAGATTTTTTAGACAAATAAAAAAATAAAAAAAATAATTTTACAGTTTCTCTAATTAAAAAAAAATGGTTTTAGATAACTTTTTAAATGTTAAAATGTCCTTAAACTTTCTAAAAACTGTCTAAAAATATCACACTCATTAATTTTAGAGCAGTGAGTTTATAATGACATTGTATAGACAAGTTCTGCGCAAGCAGAATTTAAATTGAAGTTTGCTAAAAATGTTAGTTTGTGTGCCCCCCAGCCTCCTGCCCCCCAAAATTAAGATAATTCAAATAAAAATTTTAAATTTTATTAAAACATTTCAAGAATCACAGGTTTTATACCATTTTAAATTTTTATTATTTCTTTTACTAAATTTAAAAAAAAATTGAAATGGTATAAAATCTGTAATACTTGAATTTTTTTAATAAAATTTGAAATTTGTCGATAAACTTCAGTGAATTAAATATTGTACCACTTTAATTTGAATTATCTTAATTTGGGGGGGCAGGAGGCTGGGGGGGCACACTTAAAAACAAACTTTTTTCGCAAACTTCAATTTAAATTCTGCTTGCGCAGAACTTGTCTAAGTATATAATGTCATGATAAACTCATATAAATTTGATGTGGGTCCCATGTCTAATATATTTATACATATATGTTTTAAAACTGTATTTTTACGAATTATTACCAATATTATTACAAATTTGTAATATTAAAATTATAAAATAATTTTAAAATTAAAATTAATTAATTAATTATTCCTTAAGAGTTAAAACAAAAAAAAAACACAAACAATTTAAATACTTAACAACTAATTTATTTGGCATTACATCTAGCTATGTAAATAAAATTAAAAATACGCACAAAAAAATAAAATAAATAATCGACTTAAAAAAACTATAAATCAGTAGTAATAGGAGACAAGATCAGTATGGTGCACGTTGTGGTTTTGTCGGTCGTTCCAAGGTACTTCCCCCTCCGAAACTCCCCTATCACTTCCACCCTTCGCCTCGCCGCCAGAAGAGGACTCGCTAGCACCTTCAGTACGCTGAAAACTGAAGGGCCACGTCTGAAACACATTTTTCAAACATTAATACGATGACAGTTGAACTAATTTATATTGGTTCGCAAATAAATAAGGCTTTAAAAACGATTATCAAGTTGTCACGGTGGATAAATTGCCCTGTGATTATTTAAAACAGCTTTCAGCACCTCAATTTATTGCGTTTTAACAAGAATTACACGAAAATGTCATATTTTGGGCAACAAATTAAAGTAGGCGCTGAATTGACTTTTTACAGTTGGCAGTGCTTAAGTAGCTGTTTTAAATTTTGTCACAAAATTAATTATTGACTATCAATATATGGTAAATTCTCATATAACTTGTTCCGATGCTGTATCCACTTATTTTTGTGAAAACTAATTCTCGCTCAAGGTTTTTTTTTAGTGTAATAAGCATGTAGCCTTTCAAGGTAATGGGAACTTAAATTATGACAACCCTAATCTATTAATTTTTTCCTAAAATGCAGGCTTTATGTTGCAAATGTCACATAAGTTACCGGTCACCAACTGCAATATCCTAACATTGATGAATATTTTAACAAAATGGCTGTTGAAACAACTAATGTTAGTGCTTGATCAACTAAAAATAGACTTAAGATTGACGAAAAATTATTTTATCCGAAATCGACAGTAAAGTAGAACTTTACTGCCGATTTATTTTAATTTACGATTGTTGACTACTTTACTGCCGATTTCGGATAAAATAATTTTTTGTCAATCTTAAGTCTATTTTTAGTTAATCAAGCATTAACATTAGTTGTTTCAACAGCCATTTTGTTAAAATATTCATCAATGTTAGGATATTGCAGTTGGTGACCGGTAACTTATGTGACATTTTCAACATAAAGCCTGCATTTTAGGAAAAAATTAATAGATTAGGGTTGTCATAATTTAAGTTCCCATTACCTTGAAAGGCTACATGCTTATTACACTAAAAAAAAACCTTGAGCGAGAATTAGTTTTCACAAAAATAAGTGGATACAGCATCGGAACAAGTTATATGAGAATTGACCATATTGGTTTTGAATAAATATGAGTATAAAACAATGTAAGCTTTATTAAATATATATTATGATATATCATTGTTAAAATTTAATAAAGTTTGATTTATTCAAATTTAACAATAATTAAAAAATAACACTTTATTGGTAGAACTGTTTTTTGACATATCATAGCCAACTTTTAGTATCCGGCTGACTATGACAATCGGATATAAAACTAACTAAACAAATAAAATCAGTGGAAAAGGAAGTAAAGCGTTCAGTTAAACAAACATAGGTATCGAATGTCTCGTGCTTGTCCAATAAAATAGAAGACATTAAAGTGGGAACCGTCAAGTCGAAGTAAGCACAATAAAAATAATAATTAGACGCTTTGGCGTGCCGTCGGGACGCGCAAAATGTTCCCAGCTGTTAGAGGAGCACTTAAATTAAATAAATAAACACTTTGAGACGGCCTTAAAGTTTTAAAAAACGTTGAAATGAAGGATACACAAAGGAATGTCAAAAATCAAGGTAGGTCACGATTTTTAGTTTTTTTGTTGGTATTCTGTGTTTTTTTATGTTGATGGCATTTGACACTTCAAAATGCATGTAAAAACATGTAATGAGCGAAACTTACCAGTGTTAGGGGGTGTTTGTGAAAATTCTCGTTCGGTAAGGGTTGGTCCATCAGAACGGCCCTTAAATGCGCGATGTAGCTGGTTGCTAGACGTAGCGTGTCCAATTTTGACAGTTTTGTGTCGGCCGGTACCCATGGTAAGGTTGTTTTGAGTCGGCAGAAAGCGCGGCTTAGGACGCGCATTCGCGCTCGTTCGCGCGCATTCGCTGCGTTGCGTTGCGGGTGATGTTGAACGTCGTCCATTTCGTCGTCCGAAGCGTAGTCCGACATGGAAAGTTTGCGTTTACGAGGCATCTGAAAAAAATAAGGTAAGATTTATGCCGTGTGCACGATACACATACCGGTATGCTGGTTACGAAACGAAAACTCGTCGAATTCGCGCATGTGACGTCACGTGCGAACCAGATTCAAATGTTATAAACAGTTCTTTTGATTTTTTCCCGAAATTATTGTGTTTTTTAAAGTATAAGCCACGCACGATGGTTTTGCAACGTTTTTCGTAAAGTTTTTACTGCATTTATGAACAGCAATAACTATTTACCAAGGTATATAAGCAACCTACGGGTGTTTTATACCAGGTTATTTATTAAATTTGTGTTATATTTGTTGGACTTAATAACTATTTAAAATATGCCGGGCTGTGCTTTAGCAGACAGCAGAAATATGAACAGAAACATCAACACCTAACCTAACCTAACATTAAATATTTTCGATTTCCAAAAAATTAAGATCTGGCAGCACAGTGGATGAATGCATGCAAGAGAAAGGATAATTATCCTTTTAAAATAAAAAAAAACTTTAGTAAAGGCAATTTTTGGTATACCCAATTTTCTGTTAGGTACTTAAGTAACACGACGTGACGGCATTCTACTAGATTTCACGAAATCGTCACGCTCGTTCTTTATAAAGTACATTTTTATATAAATACGTTATCAAAATGAAGGTGACGCCTGCGTCACTTCTAAATTTTTGACGGAACCGTGAAGATTTTTCGTTATAAAGTAACTTTTTAAATAGATACTTCATAGAAAATTTGTGACGTTTGCAGTGCACTTTATTCGTGTCGGAACCGTGAAGATTTTTCGTTATAAAGTAACTTTTTAAATAGATACTTCATAGAAAATTTGTGACGTTTGCAGTGCACTTTATTCGTGACGGAACCGTGAAGATTTTTCGTTATAAAGTAACTTTTTAAATAGATACTTCATAGAAAATTTGTGACGTTTGCAGTGCACTTTATTCGTGACGGAACCGTGAAGATTTTTCGTTATAAAGTAACTTTTTAAATAGATACTTCATAGAAAATTTGTGACGTTTGCAGTGCACTTTATTCGTGACGTTTTCGTGTTTTTAGGAACGAGATCTCTCGAGAGAGGGCGTTCTATAACCTTCTTTATCTCTGTCAGATTCTCTGGTCAGCCATTTTCATTGTCGTTGTTTTGTAGAGACGCTGCCCCCAAAAACGTGCTGCGTTTTTGTTGTTTTTATTGTTATCATTTGTTCTTATTCATTGGTTTATAGATATCATTTGTTCTTATTCATTGGTTCATTGGTTTATAGATAAGGTGAGTTTTTAGTATAGTTTAGTTTTTGTGTCTGGTGGTTATTCTAAAGAAAATATTTTAATTTGTATTTTATCAAAATTCTCTGTTTAATTTAAATACCCATGTGATGTGGCAATAAATAGCCAAAGAAATATTTATTTTGTTATAAATTTTTTAGTATAGTTTAGTTTTTGTGTCTGGTGGTTATTCTAAAGAAAATATTTTAATTTGTATTTTATCAAAATTCTCTGTTTAATTTAAATACCTATGTGATGTGGCAATAAATAGCCAAAGAAGTATTTATTTTGTTATAAATTTTTTAGTATAGTTTAGTTTTTGTGTCTGGTAGGTAGTTATTCTAAAGAAAATATTTTAATTTGTATTTTATCAAAATTCTCTGTTTAATTTAAATACCTATGTGATGTGGCAATAAATAGCCAAAGAAGTATTTATTTTGTTATAAATTTTTTAGTATAGTTTAGTTTTTGTGTCTGGTGGTTATTCTAAAGAAAATATTTTAATTTGTATTTTATCAAAATTCTCTGTTTAATTTAAATACCTATGTGATGTGGCAATAAATAGCCAAAGAAATATTTATTTTGTTATATTTTTTTTTAGTATAGTTTAGTTTTTGTGTCTGTGGTGATTATTCTATACATAGAATATTTTTGTATACCCACAAAAATGGGTCTTTGAACTTTAGTACATCTACATATGTAATTAAATGTACATTTTTTATTAATAAATAATTAATAATTAATTAATAAATGTGCCTTACTTATTTAGCAAAGGAAATTAATTTATGTAATTTGGTTATTATTATTTACTGTAAATGCGTACTTATATTAGATTTAATTATTGACCATGGTCAGTCAATAATGAAAGCTAAATTTCTGTAAAAAAAAATTAGCTTTCATTATTGAGCGACCATGGACAATAATTAAATCCAATATAAGTACGCATTTACAGTAAATAATAATCGTCAATAATTCGTCACAACCCTGCAAAGCAGATTCTACCACGGATTTAGTGTCAAATTCGTCACATTATTGTGATAAAAAACATAAAGAAATTGTCACGACTTGTAGGCACGCCTTCGTCACTAATTCGTCACAACCCTGCAAAGCAGATTCTACCACGGATTTAGTGTCAAATTCGTCACATTATTGTGATAAAAAAACATAAAGAAATTGTCACGACTTGTAGGCACGCCTTCGTGAAGATTTCGGGGGTTAAAATTAGTGCGGTTTGGCCACTGTATCAGTCACAGAATCTATAAATTTTCGGGATCACGTTGAGCTCACGACAAGTAGAAATCGTAACAAATTTTGCAACGATTTCTTCACGAGGTGTTACTTGGGTTATAGTAACTTTTCACCCTAACCACATATTTTTTAACAGCTTGCTTGTACTAATAATAAAAAATAAAATAATAATAAAACACAATTGTATCGGAAACCCGCTTTAAAAGTTTCACAAGTAAAAAAAGCAGTTTTGAGATTTTTTTTTCACTTTTGAATTTGATTTACACAAAAAAATGTAAAATTCGGTCTAGCGTAAGTTAAGTTTATTCAATTAAATAAAAAATATTATAGTGTGCCATTTTTTTAAATAAAATAATCATTAAAATTTTTATAAGTAAAGTAGAAATTTTGGGCCGCCACTGGTTGTTCTTGACCTATGAAAACTGACGCAAAATATATATAAAAGTTTGCATTTGTTGATTACTTTGTTGATAATTGTTAATTGTTTTTTGTTTTGCATTCTCAGCTATTTGAATAAAACAATACTCCACTTTTTATTGTTAGGTATCTCGAGGTTTCCGTGGTTTTCCTGTCGATTTTAAATTTCACCTTTCACTTTTAACGTCGATTAATGCTCATGTAGCTATTTTTTTAAGTGTTCCACAAAATCATAATAAATTTTCAACTATCCCGCCGTTATTATCTACACAAAGTTGACAGCGGCGTAGAAAATTATGATGTCGCTCTTGCTATCATATCCGGATGATTTCGGATTTCATCTGTCGCTGCAGTGACAAGTTCGCGGAGTTGTTCTAATGTGTCAACTTCGCTCTGGTACACTAAACTGTTCATGTAGCCCCAGAAAAACTACAATAACTACCGAACTGTTACTAATCAATCATAACAAAGTACCTACTAACCGATTTTAAAAAGTTTAAAAGTTTGCTTGATATTAATTAATATTACTGTGCGCATACCTGTTTCTATTTTGCTTTAGAGGTAAAAACAATAATGATGTATAGGATAGGTCAGGGACATCCAGTGGCTCCCTGGTTTTTATTAAAAAATAAATTTCTTGTTTTGGCGTCTACTATAATCCCCCTAAAGGATGACAATTTAGTAGGTAGGTATTTGTAAAAATATAGCCTTAAAATACAATTTTTTAACTAACTTTAAGCTATTTAAAATATAAATGTCAAATCAGGAAATTCAGTAAATTTTCATTATTCCTGAGAAGTTTGAAAAAAAGTTGGAAGTAAATGATGGTGGTGGTATTCAATTTTTTAAAAAAAGTTCTCAAATATTATGTACATTTGTAGATATAATAATAATATAATTATAATTGTTATAACGAGCTTTATGGTAAAAACTTGCATAAATATGATTTTAAATATTTTTTTTCACATATTTGGGTTTGAGTTTTTAGGTAAAAAACATTGAAAAGGAATGTAAGAAAAGTTAACAACAAAGTTTATATAAAATTATTAATTTTTTTTCTACTCCAACCTTTAAAACGCCCATTATCATACATGTTTCCATGACACTAAGTGACCTTTTAAATACACATTGACTAGCTGTGGCTTTATGGCGCTTTAGTCACGGGCTGAAGTTATCAACAGGTTTTTAGTCACGGGCTGAAGTTAGTTTTAAGTTAGTTGACAGTTGTCAAATGTCATACAATCGTTAAAATAAAGTGCCTTTCTTGTAAAATAATACTAAATGTGAAAATCATTTTATTATCTCAATACAAAAATACAAAATTATTAAATAGTTCTTGACGCCAATATTTGAAAAGAATAGGTACCTATATGAACGTTTTTTAGTCTATTTTAAAGGGATAAATTTTGATTTACACATAAAAATTTGAGATTTTAACGCCGGTAGATTCCCAAGTTGGAAATTCTAACGGGAATTCCAATAAATACAACTGTAACTTTTTGTACCTTTTTTTAATACTTTGTGATAATATTTTGCAATTTTGGTAAAAAAAATCAAAGTATAAAATATGTTTTTAACCTACATACCTACATATGTATGTATAATATACCTACATTGTATATGTACATATGTACATATTTTATATTAATTTTTATTTTTAGAATTATTTTTATTTTTTCCAAACTCTGTAAGTATCATGTGTATGTAGTAGGTACATTGGTATTTTCAGAAAAAAATACAAAATTAAAAACTATACTCTACTAATTAAATTAAATAATTAAGCCCGCTTACCAGTGTGCTGTCTCAATATGCCAACTATCACGGAAACACTTAAACTTACCACGTCAATTCAACAAAAACTTTTCACTAATTGAGCATGGAAATTTCGACAAAGTAGGCTGAGACACTTGGTCGTAGCCCCGCCTATTTACGGCGTCGACCAATCGAAAGCCGCACTTAAAATAAGTCGACTTGATGTCTTGTCTATGGTACACGATCCATACGGTCATAAAAAATGTTTTCTTTTGTTTTAAAGCGTTCTAAATTGTTTATATGCGTTTTAATATCGGTAAACACGCTAATTTGGGATTGGTAAGGGCTCGAATCGTAAAATTAGATACGAAATGATTTAGTTTTCAAGGAAAAATAAACAGTATAGGCGTGCGAAACTATTATGTTATACTATATAGACCATTTGGTATGGATATGTCGTAGGGTATTATTACCGGGTTATCCTAAGCAAATAAATACTTCACGCCTAAAACAATAGTCTATAATGTTATTGAATAAGTAGGTAGTTAAGTAAGGTTTTCGAAATACATACGTTAAGATCTTTTTTACATACCAATAACTTCATTTAATTTCAGTACCTGGATAACTAAAAAATTACAGTTTTAGCCAAGCATATGTAGAATATCACTTCTCTGCCACCTATCTACTAAGTAGAAATGTGACTGCTGACAGCTTCCGTTTATCTAAATCATTTTCTTAAATTAATCTTAAAATAACACAAATAAAAATTATAGTTTCCATCTCCAATTGACCGTTATTTTTTAACGAAATTTTTTACATTTTCTCTACCGAAATTAATGAGACCTGTATTTTTTCTTTTTGTTTAAATTTGTTTTGTTCACCCGTAGGAAATTTTTGAAAAATGGACAGAAACATCGATTTTTCTCTTTTTACGACATTTTTTTTTAAACTTTGCAAAAAATATTTAGATCGTTTCAATTTTTTTTAAATTGTAGGTAAATATTTACTACATACAAAACAAATAAAAATTAAAAAAAATTAAAAAATTAAATAAATTAACTCAATTTTTTTCTAAAACGGCAAATTAAATTGAGGTCAAAATTTTGACATTGCCATATTTTTTTTTTTGAAGTTGATAATTTGAACAACTTTCACTGCCGAGTTAGCTAAACTCGTCGTTTCGAAATTTTTCTAGTAAATTCTAGGTTTATCGCAAAAATTTTTGACATATTTAACATATTTTTGTCACTTCCGGTTTCACCGGAAATTGTCTTTTTTATTTTTTTAATGAAACACCCTATGCATTTTTACTAATTTCGATTTAAAACAATATTCCAAATACATACTAGGTCATTTGTCAATTTTTGACAGGTCAAATAATTTTTTGATTTAATTTTATTTTTATATCTAGATTGCCTTGAATTAGCTTTTCTGCTTCATGTTGGGCCAAGTAAGTCTGAAAATAATACAATTTTATTCCTTTTTTGCAATGCTGGTTTCTAGATGCTTTCAAGAATTGAAAAACCATACTTAAGTAATTTACCTATGCCAAAACTATTTTTTTTAATAAAAGAGGGTGGTTCGTTGGTCATAAAGGAAATCCACTTTTTTAAAATTTGATACCAAATATTAATGCATTTTTTAATAATATCGCTTTCTTAATTAAATTTAAATCTTTATTAGGTTTTGAAGTGTGTAAGTGCCTAAATAAATTAAGAAGGTTTTGAAAACTTTGAGATTAAGAAATATTAAGAAGTATCATGATATCTGCAGATTAGACAGTTCGTTAGTTTGTTTTGCTGGTAAGTGAAACTAAAACTTTTTATAAAATAAAATAATAATTGAGGTGATTAGAATCAAAGGGGTGTAAGTACATATAAAAAAACATTTTTTTGCGAAGGACCACGAATTTACTAGAAAATGGCATTTTCATTAAAAAAATAATAATTCCGAAACGACGAATTTAGCCAACTCGTGACTTTTGGTGAAAGTTGTTCATATTATAAACTAAAAACGAAAAAAATATAAGGTAAAAAAAAGTGGCAATGTCAAGATTTTGACCTCAATTTTGTTACCTTCTTTAGAAAAAATAATTTAAAAAAGTTGAGTGAATTTACTTAATTTTTTATATAATTTTCGTATTTAGGAAACATTTACCTACAATTAAAAAAAATTGTAACGATCGAAACTTTTTTGGCCAAGTTATCGAATTTTTAAGAAAAAATGTCACTCGTCGATTTGAGATGGAAAGACCCTATAGTTTTTTATTAATTAATTAAATTATGGGTATTTTTACTGGGAAAAAAATAGTTATTTGTAATGATTTTTATTTAAAATATTGACAAATTTACATTGCTTCATTGTTGGACATTGTGGTTAGAGATTTGACCAATCTGAGTTTATTGTAATTTGGTTCTGGGATGATCCAATCGACGCTGGACGATCTTCTCGATCTAAATGCAGAGTTTTTATTTTGTTTTAAAATTGCCACCCTGACTGGTCGCTCCAGGTAGTGTCCAGATGTTCCTATCTCGCTTCTTAGCCATGGATCCTCGCCCACCCTTTAACACGAAATTAAATACTGTGTGAAAGTTTTTTGTTAAGAAAATACTCAGCTTTGCCTATGTTTATTGAGAAAATTTATATTTTTCATACACTAAGGTTTTTTTGCATTAGTGCCATTTTAATTTCATATTTTTTTTTAATTAAAAAACAGTAGGTCTAATGCAAAAATAATAAAGGAAAAACTTTTTTGTTTTTTGCCCGAGCGGTTTTTTTAGTAAATATTAAAAGGTTAGGTACTTTTAACTTTTATTCAACTAAATTTATTATAAAAAAATGTGTAAAACTTCTGAAAAAGATTAAATTAAGTCTATTTTTCTAAAATATTTTGAACAAAATGCCACTTCCGGATTAACCGGAAGTAACATCTACTTTGTTATTTTATATAGAACACCCTATATATTTTTACATTTTTAAATTCTACATAAAATTTTGAGCAGCATTTTTATACTATGTCATAGATAAAATGAATTGATTTCGAGTTATTAATTTTTTTGGTTAAAATTTGACAAATGCGCTTCAATTATAAATAGCCTATAACTTTTTTGTGATTAGGTTTGCGGACATGGCAGTGTAATTTTTGAAATCTTAACATTCTTTGAAAGATTCCACTTCTTTAACATTTTGTTGATTTTTTTTTAAATCAGCAAATATTGTTTGTATTACTTTTAAATTTTAAAAATGTTTGATCGTCTATTTTTTTATAAGTGACTGACTGCTATTTTTTATCAGTAATATTGTTTACAAAAAACTTAGTTGGTCAACAAATTGTTTATAACAACCTAAAAAATTGACGCCATTAAATTTTGAACAATGACAGATTAAGTGGTAACCATAGATACCGTCAACTGACCTGTCACAGGTTTCTTGATACAAAAATTTTGTAACAAAATAACATTTAAAATTTTAGAAATTGTTAAATATCTCTTAAATTATTTTTTAAGTATAGGGAATATTTGAAAGGGTTTTTAATTTACTTTTAGATAATGTAAAAATGTTAAAGAATTGGCATGGAATATTCCATAAATTTTACCCCATATTTGCAAACCTAATAACAAAAAGTTTTAGGCTATTTTTCATTGACGCGCATTTGTCAAAATTTAACGAAAAAAATTATTACCTTTAGGATATATATATATATATATATATATAGGACATGGTTATGTAAAAATATATGGGGTGTTCTATTTGAAATAACAAAGTTGATGTCCCTTCCGGTCATTTTGTTAAAAATATTTTAGAAAAATAGACTTACTGGATTATGAACGCTTTAAAAATTTCAAATCAAATTTCCGTTTTCCAGAAACTTCTAATGGACCACGAATATAAAACACACTGTATATAATATGATATATCATTGATTGGCGTGAAGACTACTTTTTTTATTTTTTGTTTAGTACTGTATACAGTTTGTTTATTAAAAATAATTAAACTTTTATTACCATAAAAGAAAATCGGGTATACTCCTTGAATACAACTCTTTCATGGTCAAAATCAGCATGGGGACCATAGAAATGCTTAGTAGAATTAAGAAAATGCATAAATGGGACATTACTTTGTTAATATAAAGTTCATCCTTTGGAGAAAATGCCTAAAAAATACAAATTACGCATCCACCATCTATTAGGACTTACGTCTATAGATGTCTATAGAATCACAATCTGACAAGTCTCACAATCTGTGAACATGCGCTTTGATGAATGCCACATTCTTAATTCAAAAAATAAATAGTTTGTAGAAGTAATAAAATATAAATTTATTCCAATAGAACAACATTTTTTAATGTCGCATTGTATTAAGTTAATTTGACAATCAAAAAAATATATTTTTTAATAATAAGTTTAGTTTAATGTAAAACCAATCGGGCAATATGTGGCAACAGTGGATTGAGATTCTTAATTAGCCCCTCCCCTAATGACGTCATAACTTTCCATGACCGTCCTTTCCTATAGACGCAAATTCTAATGTTTACTAATTAGAAAGTAGATCTTCTCTGTATGATCTTACACTTATATAAAAATCAAGGTACATAATAATCCACCTGGCTAATTTTAAACCCAAAAACCATAGTCGACTCGCTAAAAGAAACGTCCAATGTAATAATAAATCCTAAAAAAAAAACTTAAATAAACTTTTTCACACAAAAAAATACTTCTTACCCTATGTAGTCTGGTTTTCCACTTTGTAAAATTGCATGTATACTTGTGAAACTGCAAAAATAATACTGAAAATGTACAAAACAAAAAAATAACGGTAGGGATTATGGTGAAAAAATTCTCGTCCAATTTTGAAGCATTCAACACTGCATGTAAAAATTTTGCGTTGATATTGATAAAGCTCTCACAAGTATTTTCATAAAAACCATAAAAAGATATCATTTTTCAGTTTGATTTTTAAGCACGGTTTAATTTATTGTTTTCCAATAATACCTATATTATATTTGACAATATTTTGACAATTTATTAACCTTAAAAAGTGACATGATCTCTATAGAAAGCAATAAACCAATCAAAACTCGGTATTATTAATCACATTGGTTTATTGCTTTTTATAGACATCTTTTTTAAACTAAAAAATTGACAGTTTAGATTTAAAGAAATTATAGTTGAAACACCCTGTGATTTTTCGACTTTCCGCCAACGCGCCTAGTCGCAAACCGAAAATCCCCAAACATCTTAACCTCACTTAAGCTTGTCAATTGTGTTGTTGACACATTTTGTGGAAATTGTTTGAAATGCCGTCGAAAAAGAAAAAATACAATGCCAGGTTTCCAGCAGTACGTATTTTATGCTTTTTAAGGTGTAAATTACTCTGTAAAGTTTTATTTTAAGGGCCGAATTAAGAAAATCATGCAAACAGATGAAGAAGTGGGCAAAGTAGCGCAAGCTGTACCTGTAATAATTTATATCCTTTTTATGTTTTTTAAGTGTTTTTAGTTTGAATAATCGTTGCATATTGTTGTAGAATGGTTTGGTGGGTTTGTTATTATCAGTTTAAACACATAACCTTAAAATTTTATATTGTTAGTTATGTTAGGATTTATGGAATTTTAACAATGTTTTGGTGATTATTTTGTGGTTTATAAATGCTTTCCTTAATAAAAAACACCTAGAACGCTGGAATTATTCGTGGAATCGCTGCTGAAGAAGTCAACGCAAATAACACAAGCCCGAAGTGCAAAAACTTTGACGCCGTCCCACATGAAGCAGTGCATACTGTCGGAAAGCCGCTTCGACTTTCTGAAGGACTTGGTGAAGAACATCCCGGACGCCAGCGTGCAGGAAGACAACGAAAACAACATGCTGTTGATGTTCGAAGAAACAGATCGCATGAAGACGGACCCCAAAACGGAGTACGAGTCGCAGGACGACGAGGAAGCGGCGGCGGGGGCGTCCGGGATCGCCGCCCCCGCCACCAGAACGCCCGTGATCCATTACGCCGCCCCCGAGACGAGTAGCGCGAGTGCCAGTTGTAGTAAGAACGACATTGGAGTGTTGCCTCCGTTAGTGCCTATAACCCCCAATTTTTACGGCAGCAATGTCGGCGGGGGGGACAATCTGTGCATCGACGAGGACTACGATAACTGAGGTTCCAAGTTTTATATACAGGGTGCCCAGAAATTATGAGCAAAAAAGTGATTTTCAGTTCAAGAAAGACAAATTTAATGGATTATACCATCAAAATGTGGGGAAAAGTTCCTAAACGTAGGTATTATCTTCGTTTTTAATATACAGGGTGTATAATTTATTTTTTTTCTTTACATTTCTGGACACCCTCTATTTTGGACTTGTTTTAAGGTACCTATGAAAAAGACATTTGAGGGTTGTGTTTTGTCACTTTTTTGACATTTGTCATTTTTTAACTTTTTAAAGTTAACTTTTTTATCTGGACTTTGGTAACTTGCAACGGTTTTACCACCAATAAAAAAAATATTGTTGCGTGCACTGACGTGTAAATAATATGTTTTTAAATATCATCCACTTGTTGAAAATTGCGTTATTTATTTATTTTGACAGTTTTCTTTTTTTCTATCTTTCATTTTAGGTTAGGTAGTGTATATATTCACATTTCCATGTTTTTAATATTCATTTAGTACCTAAAAATTGTTTTGAAGTTTAAAAGTATATGGTATACTATAAATAGATAATATTTGTGTTATTTTACATTTGTATATTCGATATTTCTAATAAATTTGTAAACAGTTTTTTAATATAATATTAATAAAAGTTTGTATAACATAAAAAGTTTTAAACATTCCTTAAATAGTATATTATTTATCAAGTTTAATAAACGCCACAACAAATATTTAATATTATCTAAAAACTGATTTAAATTAAATATTTGTATAAAGCGACATCTATACGAAAATAAAGGAACCATTCCAATAAACATTTTTGACGTAATTTTCACCATTAACATTGCCCGTTATTATTTTAATTAAACTTAACAATTATTGATACTTTAAAATAACTTCAAAATATGATTTTTTTATTACTATAATTGCAAAATATTGTCATAAAGTATTAAAAATTTCTAAACGGGAAATGTTAAGGTACAAAAAGTGACAGTTGTATTTATTGGAATTTCCGTTAGAATTTCTAACTTGGGAATCAACCGGCGTTAAAATATCAATTTTTTCTCTAAATCAAAACTTATCTCTTAAAAATAGACTGACAATCGATATAGAAGCAGTTTTTCACAGTAAAAGAGAAGATAATGTTTTATGGGCACTGTACGCAAAATTTTTAACGCTTTATCAGTTATATCTAGTTAACTGAACTACTTTGTATTGAGATAATAAATTAATTTTCACATTTAGAATTATTTCACAAGAAGGGCACTTCATTTTAACTATTGTTATTTGTTACACCAGCGCGGTGCAAAGTCCGGCAACGGTGTGCGTGGAAGGGACTTCGACCCAGTGTTGCCAGATGTTAAATTTAGAAATTATCGAATTGGGTTAATAAAATTATCGAATTTTCATAAAATTACATGTTACAATAATTGTAATAATTATGTTACAATAATTATTATAATTTAATCATAATAGTATTTTATGTATCAAGTTTTATAAACGCCATTTTAGTTACGAGTTTAATTAAGCACGAGCGAAGCTTGCGAGCGAGTGTTTAATAAAAACGAGTGTCTAGAGAAGTTTTTAAACGAGTTGCAAACTATACTTTATCTACGACGAACACAAAACAGAATTTAAAGCCAATTTTATTTGTTAAAATTTTGACATCTGTCAACTGTCACCCGAATTTAACCTCACTTTTTCCCAATTTATAATAAAGCTAACTTCAGCCTGTGGCGTAAAATGTTGAAAAGCCACTGTTGTTAACTTCAGCCCGTCAATAAAACGCCATAAAGTCACAGCTCGTCAATGTAGGAGTAGATAAAATATGTAAAAAGTGAAAGAAGCAGGGTTGAAAATATTAGCGAATTTTTCGTCGTACGTCGCTATAAAACGAGGGAAATAAATCGAAAACGGGATAAGAAAAGCCATTTTCAATATTTAAAAAAATGGAAGTGACTGACTCTTCATTGCAGAGCAGTTCATTAAATACACACGAATGACGGTGCTCATTTTTGACAATTTCTAGTTGCCCCTCTCATAAACACTAAACTTACAAGGCGGGGCTGCCAACTGAAAACTGCCGCTACGTTCTTGCCTCTACTTCCCTTACCGCTACCTCTACCGCTGCCTCTACTGTGACTGTGACTCTACTGTGACTGTTACCTTTAGAACTATAAATACCGTACGGGAATCTATAAACAGAACTACGGTTTTCGTATTGTTGATCTTTTACGGGTGGAAGGGAGGAAGGAAGGATGGCAATCTATAAATCAGGCCTAATGCCCAATTATTAGGTATCTTTATTAAATTAATTCATCTGGATAGAATTAATTAAATTTTGTCCAGATACTTTAATTAAAAATTATGTTACATATTATTTTCAAGCTTTGTTTTTAGAAAAATGTATGTTACAATTCGATAATTATGTTACAAGTGGCAACACTGCTTCGAACAACGAAACGGTGAAGGCGTGGGAATATAACCTTGAAATATATTTTGTAATACAAAATTTGTATTCTTTTGCGAATAAATACGTTGAGTTGAAGTGATCTATTATTATAAAACTATTTTATAACAATTCATAAGTGTGGCGAGAAAATTGTGATAAAGAAACGGCGTGGGGCGTCAACCATTTTTTGTAGATAAAACAACCGGTGTTTTTGTTGTTAGTTTTTCGTTCGTGAGGCGCGCGAGAAAAGCATAACGATGAGTAAAGAGGATATTTCATGGATCAGTGGCGATGACGAAGTAGATTGGTTAGCCGGCGACCCGAATTCGGGGCTCACTTCGACCCCGAGGCGAGGGCACGGCGAGGCGAGCAGTTCGCTCGGGCTGACCGATTCCCAGGTGGACAAGGTGGTGGAAGTTTTGCTGGCGAGGGGGCTGACCGACAAGCTGGTGAAAGCAGTCAATTTGAGAGCTAACTCTCCAGGCGCGGCGAGTTCATCGAAAGAATCGGAGACGGTGGAGCGGTTCGACCCCGAGCAACCCGATTGCGACGTGGTCAGGTGGTTGAATGAAATCGACCGGCTGGGCCACATCCACGGCTGGAGCGGGTACGAGCGTAGCTTGACGTTGCAAACAAACTTAACCGGCGCGGCGAGGGAATGGTTCAGGAGGTTGGAGACGTACGACCACTCGTGGGACCAGTGGAAGAGTTTGTTGGCGGCGGCGTTCCCAAGGAGGCGGGACTTCCACGAAATGCTCGTGGAAATGCTCGACCGGCGGAAATCGGTCTCTGAGACCATGAGCGCGTATTTCCGCAGCAAGCTTGATCTGTGTGGGCGGGTAAATATTACCGGCGAGGCGGCGGTTTCCTGTGTGATTGCGGGGCTTCCCCATGAGTTGAGGGCGGGTGCATATGGTGTGGGCAGCACCACTCCGCAACAGTTGTACACCTACTTGGCGGGGTTGGACAGCTACCAGGTGGGTAGGCCTTCGACCAGGGTTGTGGAGAAACCATCCTCCAGGTATAGCGAACCGACGGCGAAGAGGCGGTTGGCAGCAGACCCGGTGAGGTGCTACAACTGCCAAGAGTTGGGGGACCATTTTAGTCGTGACTGTCCCAAGCCAAAAGTTGAGAGGTGCAGGCGATGTGGCGAGACGGGGCACATTGCAGCGGACTGCCCGAGGAAGCGCGGGCGATTCGAAACCCAGGTAAGACCCTCGGTTAAACCTAACGACGTTTATAAAGTCGGCGACTTGGTTTTGTGGCGCACGGTGGACTCAAATGTTAATCAAAAGTTGGCGAATAAGTCATTTAGGGTGAGTAAAGTGTTGGGAGGCGACCGTTGCCTTATCGAATCGATTGGGGGCGTCGGATTCTCTGCAGTTGTGGCGGTAGACTCCATCAGGCGTTATCACGGCGTGAATGAAGTTTCAGGAGAATCAGGCGGTGATTCTGGCGAGATCGACTCGATCTTTTAGAGTCGTAGTAAGTACTATGCTCCACACCTCAAAGTCCCACCACGTGACCATGTACGGAACACAGTCTTTTGAAAATTTGGCATTTTTTCAGGTTGTGTATCTGTCAAAGTATAGTCAACGAAAGAAATAATATTATGGTTAGGCCTTAAAAATGTATAAATCTTTATAACATTACAATAACAATGGATGGTTTAAGAATTTAAGAATATAATTACTGCATTTAATGAAATTCCAAAGTGTTTGGTGCCAAATAAGTAATATTTTTGTGCATTTGGTCCAAATTTCTGGTTTTCTCCATTAAATAATTTTAACTAAACAGCATTTATTAAAAAAAATCTAGCTTCTCTATTATGGAATAAGAATATCGGTTTTAAAGGTAGGTTAATATATCATAACAAAAATATCATCTAATTCTGTAATTTTAAGGTTAGAAAAATTTATTTTGACCAAAATAAATAAGTATTTTGGATTATTTAAACGACTGTATAATATGGTATTTAAAAATGTAGTTTTTCTTATCCAGCTTAAAGTGTACCTACATAAAGTTTTGTCAATACAAATAGTTAAAAAGCTTTAACTGAACTTGATCTACATCAAAAAATCATTATAACTTTAAAAATTTTAATAAATCACATGTAATGGGAGTAGGGTTGGGAAAATTTCACTTTTTGCTTGTAGTTGAAATTTCACTTGAAATTTAAATGACCTTTAATAAAATTTCCTAAAATTCTGAAATTTCATGAAATTTATGAAATTTATTAAAACTTTCAATAAATTTTAATCACTTTAAGTGTAATATATTAATATTGAAATAGGCCCACTCGGGGACCATGGCAAATTGCCTCTCTTACCTCCTACCCCTCTGTGGGCACCTGCACCAATAATATAATTAGTAAATAGCTATGTTTACCACAAATTTCTTGAGATTTCCTTTTAAAATATTTTTAAAATTACTAAAACTAAAAGAGATGTAGCACTTTTTGGCAAGCTAATGAGATTGTGCCACTTTCATTGTTTTATATTTATAATATAATTTTATTTATATTTATTATTTTTAAATATTTAACTGAAATTTTACGAAAATTGAAGAAACTTCATCAAACTTTTATGAGCCAAAGGCATTTTTTATCCGTTTTCCGATGCAATTATAGCAAAAGTAAGTTTAAATTAATCATGACTTTTAAAAAAAATTAAAATCTGATTTAATTTACAAATTAAATTGGTAACTGAGTTAAATTATTTAAATTAATTTATGCATATAAGTAACAATAATTACTTATAGTGTATTAAAATCCAAGCCGAACTAAACAAAAACGCCCAGACGCTTGATAACTCGTTCTTATTGGTCGATTCGGAATCTGTTGTAAATTAATATTAAAGGTCCCAGGAGAGGCCGCATGTGAAATTAATGCGAAATTTTCAGAAAATTTCGAAACTTTCAATGAAATCTCTGAAAATTGAAAATTTCATTTGAAATTTTTAAAAATTTCACTTTTCCAACTAAATGAAATATTTTAAGTTTAAAACTTTCAAAGTTGAAATTTTCATTTGATATTCAACAATTATTTAGTATACCTATATTTATTTATGACCATATTAACACACTCTTCCAAATAATCCACTTATTTATTTTGGTCAAAATAGATTTTTCTAACCTTAAAATACAAAATTAGGTGATATTTTTTGTTCTAATACATTAACCTACCTTTGATACAGATATTCTTATTTCATAATAGAGAAGTTGGATTTTTTTTAATAAATGCTGTTTAGTTAAAACTATTTTATGGAGAAATGTAGACCCAATGCACAAAAATATCACTTATATTGCACCTTACACTTTGGAATTTCATTAAATGCAGTATTTATATTCCTAAATTCTTAAACCAACCATTGTTATTGTGATACTATAAAGATTTATTAACTTTAAACGCTTAAACATAAGCGGTAACACTATAAATATTATTTCTTTCATTGACTATACTTTGACAGATACATAACCTGAAAAGCCTTAAATGCCAAATTTTCAAAAGACTGCGTTCCGTACGTGGTCACTTGGTGGGACTTTGAGGTGTGGAGTATAGTACGTATTAATGGGGACATTAATTCTGCAGGGAGGCCGAATGTTACACCAGCGCGGTGCAAAGTCCGGCAACGGTGTGCGTGGAAGGGACTTCGACCAACGACGCGGCGATCGAGCGGGGAGAACAGTTTCAAAGGCGAAACGGTGAAGGCGTGGGAATATAACCTTATAATACTTAATTTATGACATAGTTACAGTTGTAATATATTTTGTATTCTTTTGCGAATAAATACGTTGAGTTGAAGTGATCTATTATTATAAAACTATTTTATAACACTATTGTATGACATTTGACAACTGTCAACTAACTTAAGCTTGTTGATAACTTCAGGGCGTTTTCTATAGAACCCAATGTAGAGATCATAGAGCCTACACAAGGAGCCCGGACTTAATAGGGGAAATTGACAAAACCTGCCCTCTAAATTGCACAAATTAAGTCTTTCCTTTTCACCACCAGCGGCGCTGATTGTCGATGAGTACTGACGTCAGCTCTTTTGGTAACGTTTCGGTACAAATTAGTCAATTGTTTCAGAACAAACGGAACACCAGCGCCCTCTTATCTTAGGAAGATTCTTGTTTACATGAAGTTCGGACTCCTTGTGTAGGCTCCACGGTAGAGATGTATGTTTTTTTTTTAACATTCCTTTGTATATTTGAAATAAGTTGACACCTTAATATTTTTTTAAAATACAATTGTACATACATAAAATACTTATAAAAAACTACTTACTGAGATATTACACTTCATGGTGGATAAGCTTTTAAATAGCAAATTAATGAACTTAAACTTTTGAATTATAAAACAGCAACACTCATCTGCATATAAATTTTAACTGAGGTTTTTGCTTATTTAAAATGATTAAAGCGCCACCTGTTGCATAAAATTTAAAGCCAAAACAGATTCACGGAGGATAGAATCAATTTTTGCAACACCTACATAAATGGTTATAAAAATTATTTATTTTAATTTTTAATAATATTTTATATTTGATTCGATTGCTTTGGATGTGTTTAATTTACTTAGTGAACTGATATTTTTAGTATGCTTTTACTACCTCAGATATTTGAGGTTAACCTAGAAAGAGTAACAGTCACGGAGGATAGGTTTTAGACTTATAAAACATTGTAAAAAATAATTAATTGCGGTTAAAAATTTGGAACCTGAGCTGAAATATCCACTTAATTATGAAAGATCAAAACACAATAAAAGTATTATACTATAATAGTTCAAACTCATTTAGTTTTATTAAATATCACAAGGTAACAACATCGGGGGACATTTGGTGAGATTCACCCTAATAAAGTGAAATTTAGACTAGAGATGTGACGTGAAAAAAACGGTTCGTTTTTTTTTAATTTTTATTGTTTTTTTTTAATGGTTTTTTAAGATTAGTCCCATTTGCCTAATTTTTTATGTTTCCAGTCCAGTTTATAGACTAAAATTTATATTTAAATGTAAATACAGCCTCACGCTATACACGCGCCACCCCCACCGAATTGACCAATAAGGGCCGCGGTTGTTTTGATTTGGTCCTAAAAAAAGTAACTACCTACCTATAATATTTTTGATTTAGCGCTTTTCCAAAAATCTACCAAAAGCCTTTTTTCATGATTTTTCAAATTCATGGAGAGTATGGAAATTTTTTTTTTCAAAAAAACAATATCAAATTCTTGTAGAACATTTATTTATGTTTTTAAAATCCACCTTGAATTTTCTTTGCAATCTTTGGTTGCTGAGCTCATGAGATATCGATGATCAAAGACGAAATGATCCTTTTCCATTCAATGTCCGATATATCAGCGAAAAATGGTCATATCAAAGTCTAAAAAAAGCAAATTGAAGCTGAATAAACAAGTTATCCGGTCCATATATGGTGTTTAAGTCAGAACATTTTTTACCGTGGACCAAAAAGGAAAGCCAAAAAAATTTTGATTTTTTTATTGTGGTATTAGTTAGGATTGAGCGTTGCATGTTGCTTTAAAAATCTCAAAACAAGAAACTTCAAGCTTCAAATTGCTTTTTTACGGCTCCAATACGACCATTTTTATCGAAGATACAGCTATCCGAAAAACCGCTAAAAATTTTGAATTTTTTTTATCCTTTAATTTTTTCCATTAGAGTAGAAGTTTTACATTGTTATTGCTTTCTTATGTTTAAACTACCAAATAAGAAATCAGATTTAGTCTTGGTCAAAATTTTCAATAATTTCATTTTGAAAAAATACTCAATTTTTTAAGATGTTATTTATAGACAGAATATGCTTTATTGCAGCGGATTTGAAAAAAAACGGTTTTTTTCATGTTTTTTTACATCTCTGAGACTAAAAAATTTGATTTTTTATTATTTAGTAGTTTCCATATAAGAAACCAATAACAATGTAAAACTTGTTGAAGTCTAATATAGGTAACCCGCCGCTGGTGGAAAGCGCGGCCCTTATTGGTCAATTCGTTGGTGGTGGCGCGTGCATAGGGCTTGACTTTATTTACATTTACTAGATGTCATCTAGTGGCTAAATTTTAGTATATGAACTGGAAAAACCTGGCATATGAAACTAATCTTGAAAAAAAACTAAAATATAAAAAAATATATAAAAAAACAAAAAAAAACGGATTGTTTTTTTCAAGTCACATCTCTAATCCAATGTCACAAATTTTAAGAAATAATTAAAATAAAAAACAAAAACTTAAGAAATAAAAATTTATTAACAATTAAAATTTCTATACCTACTGGATGATAAAGGTAAAATAGTGTATAATACAATAAATAATTAAATAGTGTAAAGTCTTAAATGCCTGCAGATATCAAACGCAGTCTTAAGCCGTTCAAAGATATATAAAAATAACAGCTGATATTTGAAATAAAAATCTGTGCTTAGAAACATTTGCGGTGGACGATTCCAGGGCCGGATTCGTCGTACTCCTGTTTGGAGATCCACATCTGTTGGAAGGTGGAGAGGGAAGCCAAGATGGATCCACCAATCCAGACGGAGTATTTCCTCTCTGGGGGGGCGATGATCTTGATCTTGATGGTGGACGGGGCCAAGGCGGTGATTTCCTTTTGCATACGGTCAGCAATACCTGAAATAAATATAAATAATGAGTTTTAGACAGCTCCAAGGACAGTTTTATAATGCTAATGTTTAACTAGATAAAAATCGAACACTGTTTACTAAGGCACGTCTTTTAGCATTTATTAGATAATAGTTTGAAGATTTAAGTTTAACAGAAATTTACAAAGTTACATTTTTTTAAACTCAAAACTTTTTATTTTTAACAATTTTAAATTTATACATTTTTAATTTACAAAGTGTAAACGTAGCTTTAGCAGACGGCGTACGCTGTCTCTAGAGTTCTAGCAGTCAGCTAAAGTTGCGTTTACACTTTGTGAATTAAAAATTATCGACTTACATTTAATTTAATGTGATTATGTTAAAAATGTATCAATTTAAATTTGTTAAAAATAAAAGTTATTGGTTTAAATTTCTCAAGAGTCACTTAAAAGATAATTTAATCCAAAAATTACCACTTTAAAATTTAAAACTAACATTTTAATGTAATGTGAGAATATTTGTATTACACATTTATCGACTATCATTTAAATTACTCTTTTTTGATTTTCGATTGTTTTGAGTTTAAAAAAATTTAACTTTTTAAACTATTTTAGTAAAAAATGTTTTATATGTGTTTTTATTTTAAATACCTTGACACTATTTTTAAATACTAAACAATTCAAGTTTACCAATTTAATCTAAATAATTTTATAAAATATTTAAGATTTAAAAAATTCTGCCCAAATAAATTATAGGTACTTAAAAAATGTTTGTTGAAAATTTTTGCAAAAATTGATTGGAAATAATATTGTTTAGTACATACAGAAGTGAACCGTTTGTTAGTAAATGTTGTATTTCAATATATGATAGTTGAAAATATTTTAAATTTATAAATGTATACCTAAACTTTTTAGTTGGGAAAATTTTAAACCAATAAATTTTAAATTAAAAAATTATTTAATAAACGTTAAAACGGCGCACAGTGGTCTGGTAAAATTTACTCGGCAAAAACATAATTTTTAAAACACTTTAAAAACGCATTTTAATGCCACTTTTTTGTTCTTGACAGATTATTACCTATGTACCTAAAATTTTAAACTGCGAAGTAAAAGTTACTGCGCATGCGTTGCGTTATTACAAATACATAAAAGAATTGTTAAAAATACTTATACTTTTGAAATTTTGGCTTCTTCGTGTAAAAAAGGTGTGGCGTAAATAAAATTGTGAAAAATAGTGTCAAAAATGTATAGTACCTACTGATAAAAGTGAGTACAAATAAAACTTTAAAATGTCTTTTTTGGATCATTTGTCAAAAATATAGCGTTTTTAAACCTGGAATGGAATTAAAAATTTATAATTACTATTATTATTATTATGTTACTATTATCTTTCGAAAAAAACATTTTCATAAAAACTCCTGCTTGTTTCAAAAATAATATTCCTATACAAACATTTTGTATTACAGAAACTAAGAAAACCTAAAATACCTAGAAGAGTGTTTATGGAAAAATGAATTCTTTATGAAAATATCTGATGGTTTCAAATTTATACTTCCATAAAAAAATTAATAATATGTACAGGGTGCTCAAAAATAAAAAAACAGCAAAATGCTTCAAGAGGGCAGTACAATTTTTGTATGGAAATCTCATTTTTGAAACAAGCAAGAGTATTTAACGCATAATAAAAATAATAAGTTTTTCCTATTGTCAACCAGCACGATATTGGCTAAAAGGTGGTTAAAAAAATATAATGAAATTTAAAATGTTGATATAATATATTTTTGTTACTTGAAGTTTTTTAGTTTATTAAAATTTATTTAAAAAAAACATAGAAAACTCAAATACATCAAGTTTTAAAAATATTTAAAGGTTAATTTTTTCCGCGCAAATTTACCTCTCGGACCACTGTGCGGCGTGTCATGGTTTTTTGAGTTTCACGAATTTATTTTAATTTAATTTGACAATTGTTTCGCCAACAAAATTAAATTAAAATATATTCGTGAAACTCAAAAAACAGTATTTGTTTTTTATCTAGTTGTACACAGAGCTGGGAAAGTTACTTCTGAAAAGTATCTTGTTACTTTTCTAAGATACTTTAAACAAAATAACTTAGTTACCTCTGGTAACTAGATACTTTTGAGTTTAAATAAAAACTATAAAATTATAAAAATTAAACAAGTTGTAGGTTAGGTAATTACTTTGAATCATTCTGGAATTCCCCCAATTTTCTCTAAGAAAGTATCTTAGTTACTTTACCGAGTAACTTAGATACTTTTTAAGATAAAAGTTACAAGATACTTTTCCAAAGTAAGTAAGTTAAAGATACTTTCTTCAATATAAAAAGTATCTTAGATACTTTAAGTATGTAAGTTACTTTTAAGTATCTTTTTTTCAAGATACTCCCAGCTCTGGTTGTACATTAGTGACATGGAGTGTCATCAAGTAAAGGTGGAAACAATAAAATAGTTTACCTGGGTACATGGTGGTACCACCGGAGAGAACGGTGTTGGCGTACAAGTCCTTCCTGATGTCAACGTCGCACTTCATGATGGAGTTGTAGACGGTCTCGTGGATGCCGCAGGACTCCATTCCCAAGAACGAGGGTTGGAACAGGGCTTCGGGGCAACGGAACCTCTCGTTACCGATGGTGATCACCTGACCGTCGGGGAGCTCGTAGCTCTTCTCCAAAGAGGTGGAGTTGGCCGCGGTGGCCATCTCCTGCTCGAAGTCCAAAGCGACGTAGCAGAGTTTTTCCTTGATGTCGCGCACGATTTCCCTTTCGGCGGTGGTGGTGAACGAGTAGCCTCTCTCGGTCAAAATCTTCATCAAGTAGTCGGTTAAGTCGCGACCGGCCAAATCCAGACGCAAGATGGCGTGCGGAAGAGCGTAACCTTCGTAAATTGGAACGGTGTGGGTGACACCATCCCCTGAGTCCAAGACGATACCGGTGGTACGACCGGAAGCGTACAAGGAAAGCACGGCCTGAATGGCGACGTACATGGCGGGGGTGTTGAAGGTTTCGAACATGATCTGGGTCATCTTCTCCCTGTTGGCTTTAGGGTTCAATGGGGCTTCGGTGAGCAGCACTGGGTGCTCTTCCGGGGCCACGCGCAACTCGTTGTAGAAGGTGTGGTGCCAGATCTTCTCCATGTCGTCCCAGTTGGTGATGATGCCGTGCTCGATGGGGTATTTCAAGGTGAGGATACCTCTCTTGCTCTGCGCTTCGTCGCCCACGTACGAATCCTTCTGACCCATGCCCACCATGACACCTTGATGTCTTGGGCGACCCACGATCGAGGGAAAGACCGCGCGGGGTGCGTCGTCACCGGCGAAACCGGCTTTGCACATACCGGAACCGTTGTCCACGACCAAGGCGGCTACGTCGTCGTCACACATTTTGATTGAGAGGGTTTTGACTTCGGGTTACTGTGAAAAAAATTACGAGTTAAGAACATTTTACACTTGTAATAGTGCTGCAGTATGATGGTTTTAGAAGGCTTTTAGGCAGTTCTACAAAGGTTTTATATTTATTAGGCTGGTTCAAAAAAATCAACCATTATTTTTTCTTAAAATTTCGCACTGAAATTTTTTCACGGTACCAAAAAAAGACACCTGTGAAAACCGGAGCTCTTAATTTTAATATTTAGAGGTCGCGCATCGAGAATTTCTATTTCCCATTTAAATAACATGGGAAATTTTGTTTTGTTTCTTTATAATTTTCCAGCTCACAAACTAATTAACAGATTTTTATGCGCGATATATATTCTTGTGGGAAATTAAACGCTCTACAAAAAATGTCTCCTATCATTTTTCGATAAACCAACGAGTTCAAAGGTTATTCAAGTTATTATTATTATTCAAGTTAAATTTATCATAATGAACTAACTAACTAATGAATTTGCCTAAAATTGAAGTAAAACATGCAATTATGATATAAATTTAACTTCGACTTTGAATAAATTTTGAACTCGTTGGTTTATCGAAAAATGATAAGAAACATTTTTTGTAGAGCGTTCTATTTCCCACAAGAATATATATCGCGCTTAAAAATCTTTTAATTAATTTGTGAGCTAGAAAATTATAAAGAAACAAAACAAAATTTCCCATGTTATTTAAATGGGAAATAGAAATTCTCGATGCGCGACCTCTAAATATTAAAATTAAGAGCTCCTGTTTTTACAAGTGTCTTTTTTTGGTATCGTGAACATATTTCAGTGTGAAATTTCAGAAGAAAAAAAAATAGTTGATTATTTTGAACCAGCTTAATATTTATCTATATTTTAAACGTTCGTTCTCTCGTGAAAATTAAAGCATAACACTTTATATTAAGAAAGCTATTTTTAAAAACACGAATACGAATTTATAACGTAAAATTTCTATATTTATATTTATAGTACAAAAAAAATAACGCGTTCTATTTCTGCGCATCATATTAATCGTTATAAAAAATTCAAAAACAGTTAAATTACTTTTTTACTTTCATATTTAAAAAATTTGCGTGCTGTGCCCATAAAACATCATCTTCTCTTTTACCGTGAAAAAAAATATCGATTGTTAGTCTATTTTCAAGGGATAAATTTTGATTTACACAGAAAAATGTGAGATTTTAACGCCGGTATATTTCCAAGTTAGAAATTCTAACGGGAATTCCAATAAATACAATGTACCTCTAACATTTCCCGTTCAAGAATTTTTAATATCTACTTTGTGATAATATTTTGTGATTATAGTAATAAAAAAATCAAAGTATAAACTATTTTCTTAACACAATCAAATTTTGAAATTATTTTAATATTTTTAAGTATCAATAATTATTAAGTTTAATAAAAAAAAACGGGCAATGTTAATGGCGAAAATTACGTCAAAAATGTTTATTGGGATGGTTACTTTATTTTCGTATAGATGTCGCTTTATACTTTATATTTAATTTAAATAAGTTTTTAAATAATATTAAGTATCGAAAATGTATAATATGAATCTCGTTTTATAAACTTCTCTATACACTCGTTTTTATTAAACACTCGCTCGCAAGCTTCGCTCGTGCCTAATAAAATGGCGTTTATAAAACTTAAAAATTAATGGAAATAAACGATAATTTCAAAAAAAAGCAATAAAAACCGAAAAACAAAATCCCGAACAAACAAAATATTCGCGGTGGAACTCCTAATATAGTCGCCATACTAAAAACACTACACTTTCACAATCGACGCAAAATCGGATCACACACAAATATTTTTAGATTCCTGAAAACCCACGAAATTGTCTCACCTAACGGTCGGTATTGTTGACTCGAGCTGCTGAGCTTGAAGTGACCTGCCAGGCTTAATGTGCGAATTTATAGGGTGCCTTGGACGCCCAGCGCCGACCATTTAAGGCGGCGCGACGCCTCACCACGCATGCTTGATGCGTCTGCCTTGTATGGGAATATACCGACGTCATAGGGAATTTCTTATTGCTCTGCATTGCTATTGGAAAATCTGTGATTGTTTCTGATGAAGGTAAAAAAATTTTAATTAATAATTATTTTGATTTTTGTGATTTTTCTTATTTATGATTTAAAAAACATTTTTCGGATATTGTCTGGACATTTTTCCTTATTTTTTTTGTTTAAAGTTAAAATTTTTAGTTTAGGAAAAAGGCCATATAATAATAAAAACTGGAGCGTTATTTTTGTTTTTAATGAGATTTTTGCGGTCAATAAATCTCAAATCTTCTCAATGACTCATATGATATGAGTATGAGTCATATCAGATACTTTTAAGGTGTAAAAAAATAGTATATTATATTATCAAGTTTGATAAACGCGATTTTAGTCACGAATTTAATTTAGCTTGCGAGCGAGTGCCTAATTAAATGAGTACTCAGAAAAGTTTATAAACGAGTTGCATATATGCATATATAGTATACTATACTTTTTCTACAACAAATACCTAATATTATCTAAAAAACTATTTAAATTAAATTTTTGTTTAAAGCCACATTTATAAAAAAAATAAAATAACCATCCCAATAAACATTTTTGACGAAATTTTCACCGTTAACATTGCCCGTTATTTTTTTTTAATTAAACTTATCAATTATTGATACTTAAAAATATTAAAATAACTTCAAAATATGATTATGTTAAGAACATATTTTATCTTTTGATTTTTTTATAATTTTAATTGCAAAATATTATCACAAAGTATTAAATATTCTTACACGGGAAATGATACAAAGGTACAAAAAGTAACAGTTGTATTCCCCAACTTGGGAATCTATAGATATATATATACTGGCGTAAAATCCCAAATTTTTCAATTCCCGTGACTAAAAACCTGTTGTCAACTTCAGCCCGTGGCTAAAGCGCCGTAAAGCCACAACTTGTCAATGTTGATTTAAAAGGTCACTTAGTGTCATGGAAACATGTACGATGAAGGGCGTTTTAAAGGTGGGAGTAGAAAAATATAGTTTATTAATTATTAGTGGTTTTTAATAATCTTTTCCCCAAGATTTATTTTTTAACGCTTCTTGTTAATATTTTTGCCAATAAATTACGTCAGCTAAAAATATATCGTCGAGTGCCAATGAACTATTTTAAAATATTTTCAAAGCTTACCTACCTTTTAAGAGCATGCATTTTTTTGTATTTCATTTGTTAGCATTTTATCATTTATCATATCCTTAAGGATACTCAATGATTTTATTATACAGTATGTCCACGGATAAGCTTATAAAGTTTTTGCTTAATTTCAAACCCCCAGAATATGAGACATCATTTTTGTATCCATGGTTAATTTGCAATTTTGATTTTTCTGAAAATTTTGGACTAAAATATAAATATAAAGTTTTTGCTTAATTTCAAACCCCCCGAAGACATCATTTTTTTATCCATGGTTAATTTGAAATTTTGATTTTTCTGAAAATTTTGGACTAAAATATAAATATAAAGTTTTTGCTTAATTTCAAACCCCCAGAATATGAGACAACATTTTTTTTATTCATGGTTAATTTGCAATTTTGATTTTTCTGAAAATTTTAGACTAAAATATTTTTGATAGTAATCGTTTTTGGTCAGTTTTCGTTTATTCGTCATTTTATTTCCAACAAATGAATGTTATTATCACAGTAAAAATTCTCCACATAACTATGATATTATTTATTATTTTTGAAACGTTTTGTCTATGTATAGAATAGTATAAAATGATTTTTGGCTGGTAATGAAAACACATGTTAATTTATAAATATTATCGGGATTTTTTTGGGTAACTCCATGTTTTACGCGTTGCGTTTAAAAATAAATCAGGGTCAGGAAAATTGCTTACAAGGTGCATTTCAACTTAATTTCTCTCAATTCTATTTTTACATTTTCTATTTACATTTTTTATTATGGTTTTTGAATGAGTTCAGTTCTGTTGCCAATGTGCAAATACGTAAAATATTTGTTATACCTATCCAAAAATAGTATTTTCCTTATTTGCCCATTTTAAAGAAAGCAGTGCTTTCAAAGCACCTAGTGTGCTGTGGAAAATGCTGTGTTCTGATTGGTTTATTGCTTTCTATAGATTATATTCTATAGAAAGAAAAGACAACTTACCTTGTATGGGGACAGGAGCAAAAATGTAAATAAAAAGCACCTTTTAAATATTTAATTTTTATTTTAAAATCGTTTAATACATTTAAAATAAAATGACAGATAGTCTATAGCCATTTAATGTGAATGAAATAATTTGTACACTAATTTACAGATATACATCATCTACCTTAAAGTATATTACAATTAATATCAAATTTAACTGCAAAGAATCATTTTGTTTACATTAACATTTATAAATGCTTGATGGAATGTCAAGAAAAAAACTCTTTGCAAAAATTGAGCGACTAGTTCAATCACAAAACTTAAAATTAAGATTGCAACTAATTAAGCGAAATTTCCAAAATATATATATATAAAAAGATTAGATAAATAGATAATAGACGCACACAAAAAAAATATTAAAAAGAAAACAATCACAGTGTATAGTATTTGATCATAAAAAAGTTATTAGGCTATGTACAGAAGTAGTTATATAGATAAAATTATTAAAAACATCATAAATTATTTGTTTGCTTTTCAATATTTTTACTGTGCCTGGCCGTGGCAAAAAGATGGTTAATATTTGTTTTTTTGTAACAAATTTTAACTATGCTTTATGTGGCCATAGGTAAGGTATAAAATGACAGTTTCATGCAGTGTTCTAGGGTATATCAGTCTAGGTATAAGGAGATTTTTAGTATTCAGAGAATACTTTTTGTTTTTGTTTGTGGGTAAATAGCACATCAATATTATATATTATAAAATACTTTTGCCAGAGTAAAGCGAGCCGAATTTGGCTCGCCTTGTTTAAGATTTAAAATCTTTTAAATATTTTGAGATACACTTTATATACAGTAATTGGAATGATATAATAATTGCCTTTCTCTTAATTATTAGGTAGGTATAAGATTCTCGTAAAAATAATAAAAGTATATATACACTTCCTTGTTATAAATAAACTACAAACTAAATCTTAAAAAGTGACGACAAAAATAATCAGGTACTTGTCACGGAGGCATTTGCAATACTAAACTTATCGAATACGTCAAATGTCTCTGTACCAAAAAAATCATGCTACATAAACGAAAAACACAAATGTACGAGTATTGGGACTTTTATCAGGTTCACTGGAATCATTTTTTTGTTTACACAGCCGACACTTGGGTCTCCTCGTCATCTACAATATCAAAAAACAACAATTTTACTACTGCGCGTCAGCTAAACTACAGTCAATTTTTCTGCTCAGCTGTCAGGTACGTGCGTGTTTAGTTTTGTCTGTCAGTCTCTAAGTCCAACTAAACCATGATAATAACAGTGTCAGATTCGCACAAAGTTGAGTCACATAATTCTTGACCTAAACAATAGAAATGCACGTTTGAGTCGTCGAAAATTGTCAATTGTCAAATATATCAGAACAGTGACATACCTTGATCGGTGTCCGGATCGTTATGGTAGTGGTAGCCCTGCGTAACGCCTTCGTGCGAATGAGCTCTGCCCAGGCGTTGCAGTTTTGCCATCTGAGCGGCAACGCTGTACGTCGGAGGTTGCCGTCTGCTCGGACCTGAATTTGAAGGAGAAATGTTAAAAAATGATTATTATAAATACTACTTATTTTTGAACAGTTTTACTTTGTTTGAACAATATACCGTAAACATTTTTAACTATTTATAATAAATTTTGTTAGTTTTCAGGTGCAAACATTCCAAAAGTGAAGTGAATATTAAAGGTAAAAAATGAAGCAAAGCAGGTAAAATTGTTTTTTTTTGCCACAATTTTAGTTTACTAGCAATTAGAAAAAATAGCATTAATAATACGAATTTATGTTAATTGTATGATTAAAACTTACCTTGCGTTAATATTAATTAATACAGGGTGTCACCTAATAAATTGTCATCCTTTGGGGGAATTATAGTACACGTCAAAACAAGCAAGTTTTTTCCTCTATAATTTTTGCATTAGAGCTACTGTTTTTTAACAAAAAAATTATGATTTTTTTTGGACAAAACCTCTAAAAACAATGATATTAAGTATTCATCCAAGAAAAAAGTAACAGGTATTATGTGGCAGCTGGTGGATTTTATGTATACCAATATCTCAGTTATTAGACTCACCAAATTTATAATAGTTTATAATGACTTTAAATAAACAAGTTCGTCGCAAACAGAATTTAAATTAAAGTTTGCGAAAAAAGTTAGTTTTTCCTGTCGCCTCACCCGCCTCCAGGCCCCCCTATTTGAGATAATTCAAATTAAATGGTGCAATTTATTATCTACTATAATTTATCGAAAAATTTAAAATTTTATTTAAAAAATCCAAATATGGGTAATTCTTTTACAAACCGAACACCTTTTGACCGACACATCTCAGATTTGGCTGAAACTTTTTTTACGGATTCTATGTCGAAAAATAAGAGATACGTGTCCGAGGAATTTTTTCTCTCTCGCATATTTTCGATAATACAAGCTATCGAAAATTTGAGAATAACGAGTTTTTTGGCTTGGAGACTCATTTTCAAAAATTTATAACTCCGGTTCTATTTGAGATACAAACTTCTTTTTTTTTTTCATTTTAATGCTTAAGGACTGAATTTCGATAAAAAAATATTTTTAATAAATATTATTAACAAATTCATATTGTTATTAACAATTTCATTGTTTAAATCAATTTTTAACAATGGCCCCAAACCTCGCATTAAGTTTTTTGTATTTTTATCGTATTCTCCGTCAAATTTTACATAAAAAACATGTTTTCAAAATATGGTACCTTTATTATTACTATTGTTAAAACATTATAATTTACATTGCGCGACACATAAAAAAAACGTTTATTTGTTAATAAAAAGAAAACTATAGCTTGGATCAAAAAAAGTCAAATATAAAAGTTGTAGATAATAAATAGATATACAATTTTTGTTTTTAATATTTTTCGACATAACCTCACTTTTCAAATAAATTTTTAACATTTTTTTCAATTTATTTAAAAAGTGAGGTTATGTCGAAAAATAGTTCAAATAAAAATTAATTATAAATTATAGAACAATATTTTAAAAGAGGTGATTTTTAACATTTATTTCAATTTATTTGAAAAGTGAGGTTATGTCGAAAAATAGTTCAAATAAAAATTGTAGATCTTTTTATTATTTACAACTTTTATATTTGCCTTTTTTTGATCCAAGCTATAGTTTTCTTTTTATTAACAAAAAACCGTTTTTTATGTGTCGCGCAATATGAATTAATGTTTTAACAATAGTAATAATAAAGGTACCATATTTTGAAAACATGTTTTTTATGTAAAATTTGACGGAGAATACGATAAAAATACTACAAACTTAATTTGAGGTGGGGGCCATTGTTAAAAATTGTTAATAACAATATGAATTTGTTAATAATTTTTATTAAAAATATTTTGTTATTAAAATGAAATTAAAAAGATGTTTGTAGCTCAAATAGAACCGGAGTTATAAATTTTTGAAAATGGGTCTCCAAGCCAAAAACCTTGTTTTTCTCAAATTTTTGATCACTTGTATTATCAAAAATATGCGAAAGAAAAAAAATTCCTCGGACACGTGTCTCTTATTTTTCGATATAGAAACCGTAAAAAAAGTTTCAGCCAAATCGGAGATGTGTCGGTCAGTTTTTATCAAAATCCGTACGGTTTGTAAAAGAATTACCCATATTAGAGATTTTATTCGATTTTAAATTTTTATTATTTATTTTATTAAAATAAAATAATATAATATAATTTATCGAAAAATTTAAAATTTTATTTAAAAAATCCAAATATTAGAGATTTTTTTCGATTTTAAATTTTTATTATTTATTTTATTAAAATAAAATAATATTTAAAATGGTATAAAACCCGTAATATTTGGATTTTTTTAATAAAATTTTAAATTTGTCGATAAATTATAGTAGATAATAAATTGCACCACTTTAGTTTGAATTATCTTTAATAGGGGGGCCTGGAGGCGGGTGAGGCGACAGTAAAAACTAACTTTTTTGTGTGGATAATAACGGCTATATATTTAAAAATTTATTATGATTTTGTAAAAAGTGTAAATTTAAAATCTTCGGGAAAACCATGGAAACCTCGAGATACCTAACAATAAAAAGTAAGTATTGTTTCATTCAAAGTACCTAAAAATAGCTGAGTATGCAAAACAAAAAACAATTATCAACAAAGTAATCAATAATAACACAAATGTAAATTTTTAATGAATGGAGATTATTGCCCACTGTGCAAGCATATTTTGCATCAGTTGTCATAGATCAGGAACAACCAGTGGCGGCCGAAAATTTCTACTTTACTTATAAAAATTTTAATGATTTTTTAATTTAAAAAAATGGAACTAATGCAAACATGATAGAGGAAAAACTTTCTTATTTTGGCGTGTATTAAAGGATGACAACTTATTTGGTGACACCCTGTATAATACTATTTGATAAAGTTTTATAAGAAAAATAAATTAATACCAAGAATCTACAAATAAAATGAAAAAGATTGTGGCCGAAGACTTACCGTTGTTGCTACGCAAAGTGGAGGAAGAAGAAGCGTGGGGTAAAGGGGGCAAGACGGCGACAGCGTGGGGGTAGGGGGGGATAGCGCCAGTACGAGGGGGAAACCAGCCTGTCACCCAACACACAAACAAACAACTAAATTATAATGCCAACAACACAACAGCAACAAATTATGACGATGATTTGTAAAGTTAACAAGATTTTGTTGTTATTTTGTGAAATTTACAGAACATAATCATGAATAATTTATAGTTTTGATCTTTAAAATTGTTTTACTTTTACACTTTTTTTTGGAGAAATTAAACAAAAAATAAACAAGTATAAATAATGGATACAGTAAAGTAACAAGTAAAAAAGTGGTTAACTATATCCAGTTACGTATTTCAGTACTTATCAATGAAGTTTTTTTTTTTCAAATAGTGCTCTGAAATAAATATAAAAAACAATGACAACACTCTGCTGTTCTTCGCCAAAAAGTGGTGGCGAAGAAAATTTTTCGTAACTATTTAAATACCTTTGAACTTAAAAAAGACGTCATTTTAATTTTTGGATTTACCTTATTTTAGCATGTCATCTTTTCTTCATTTTAGGTTGTTGTCATCTTATAACTTAAGGTGCTTGTCATTTTAGCTCGTCTTTATTTAGTTTGTCATCAGTTTTGCTCGTTAACAATTTTTATCAAAGCTTGTCTTTATTTAGGCTCGTCATATAGCTAAATAGTTTGTCGTCATTTAATATTGTTGTTAATTTAGCTTGTTGATAAGTCAGCTTTTTATAATTTTGGATGGTTGTCATTTTAGCTCATCCTCATCCATTTAAGCTTGTCATTATTTTAGCTCGTCTTTATTTAAGCTAGTCTTTATTTTAGCTTTTCTTTATTTAAGCTTGTCATCATTTTAGATTTTCGTTGTTTAAGCTTGTCTTTATTTAAGTTTGTCACCATTTTTGCTCGTTAACAATTGTTATCAGAGCTTGTCTCTATTTAAGCTTGTCATCTAGAAAAATAGCTTGTCGTCATTTAATAGTGTTGTTAATTTAGCTTGTTGATAAGTAAGCTTCTTATAATTTTGGGTTGTTGCCATTTTAGCTCGTCTTTATTTAAGCTTTTTATCATTTTAGCTTGTCATCATTTTAGATTTTCCTTGTTTAAGCTTGTCGTCTAGCTAAATATCTTGTCGTCAATAATATTGTTGTTAATTTAGCTTGTTGATAAGTAAGCTTTTTATAATTTTGGGTGGTTGTCATTTTATCTCGTCTTTATTTAAGCTTGTCGTTATTTTAGCTTTTCTTTATTTAAGCTTGTCATCATTTTTGCTCGTTAACAATTTTTATTAGAGCTTGTGTTTATTTAAGCTTGTCATCTAGCTGAATAGCTTGTCGTCATTTAATGTTGTTGTTAATTTAGCTTCTTGATAAGTAAGCTTCTTATAATTTTGGTTGGTTGTCATTTTAGCTCGTCTTTATTTAAGCTTGTCATCATTTTAGCTCGTTTTTATTTTAGCTTTTCTTTATTTAAGCTTGTCATCATTTTAAATTTTCGTTGTTTAAGCTGGGATTTAATTAAGTTTGTCATCATTTTTGCTCATTAACAATTGTTATTAGAGCTTGTCTTTATTTAAGCTTGTCATCTAGCAAAATAGCTTGTCGTCATTTAATATTTTTTATTAATTTGGCTTGTTCATAAGTAAGCTTCTTATAATTTTGGGTGGGTGCCATTTTAGCGTGTCTTTATTATTGTAGCTTGTGATAATTTTATATGTATTTTCGTTGTTTTAGCTTTTCATCATTTTAGTTTGTCGTTAATCGAACTTGAATTTATTTAAGCTTGTCGTTTAGTCTTGTCATATTTTTCGATTTTTGTTGATTTAAGTTGTCATTAAGTTTGTCATCATTTTAGCTTTTCGTTATTTTAGCTTGACATTTATTTTTGTCGTAATTTTAGCTTTACTTTAGCTTGCGGACATTTTAGCGTGTCTTTATTTAAGATGGTCATCATCTCAGCTTGTGGTCATTTAGTCTTGTTATTTCAGCTTGATGATATGTTAACTTTCTTTAGTTTTTGTTTGTCTATATTTTAGTTTCTTTATTTTAGCTTGTCATTTAAGTTTGTTGTCATCATCATTTTATCTTCTTGTTATGTTTTCTTTCTTCTTATTATTTAAGCTTGTATTTATTTAAGCATGTCATTTATTTTTGTCGTTATTTTAACTTGTCTTCTAAGTTTGTCGTCATTTTATCTTGTTGCCATTTTAGCTTGTCACGTCATCATTTGAGCTTGTCTTTTTTTAAGTTTGTCGGCATATAATCTTGTCGTTATTTTAGCTGTTTTAGTTTGTCATTGCCACCTTGTTTTTATTTAAACTTGTCGTCATTTATCTCGTTGCCATTTAACTTGTTGATATGGGTTCTTTTTATTACTTTAGCTCGTTATTTAAGTTTGTCATCATTTGACCTTGTCTTTATTTAAGTTTGTCATCGATTTAGCTTGGTCGCATATAATCTTGTTATTTTATCTTGTAACCATTTTAGATTGTCTTAATTTAGGCTTTTTGTTATTTTAGCTTGTTTTTTAAGTTTGTCATTATTTTAGCTTGTATTTATTTAATCGTCATTATTTTTGTTATTTTAACTTGTGTTCTAAATTTGTCGTTATTTAATCGTGTTGACATTATAGCTTGTCTTTATCACGTCATCATTTTAGCTTGTCTTTATTTAGGTTTGTCATATATTAAGCTTGTCTGCATATAATCCTTTTTTTATTTTATCATCATTTTTGATGTTTTATCTTGTCATTTAAGTTTTGTCATTATTTTAGCTTGTTGTCATTTATCTCGTTGCTATTTTGGCTTGTTGATATATTTCCTTATTATATTAGCTTGTTACTTCAGGTTGTTATTTAAGTTTGTTATCATTTTAGCTTGTCGTCATTTAATCTTACATAATATTGTAGTGTTTCAATGTTTCAACATCTGGAACTTTTAACAGATAATTTTAAAGCGTTGTAAAAATATGATCTACTTAACCACTTTTTTACTTGTCGATAAATAGACGAAGAGAGAAAAGGGTGGAGGTGGTAGAAAAGTGTGTTACATACCCATGACGGGGGGCAGCCTGTTTTGCGTCGGACTGTTACACCTAGGCTGGTAGGTGTGACCATCGACACTGCTTGTGGTCACCTGACTTATGGTGCTATGGCCCGAATCCGAAGATGTCACAGAACCTGTTCGAACATGCCACCAAAACATAATAACAAACGTGCCACCGCATACCGAATGTTTTTTCTATACAGCAAAAGTTCTCTTCATATTTCTTACCACAACTCAATGTGTTTATTTGTTTTTGCTCGATATATGGATAGAAAAAGTTTTACTGTACATCTACATGCCAAACCGTCAACATGTGATTAAAGATAGACAGAAAATTTAGAAAATCAGACGGTGCATAAAGATATTAATAATGGAAAAGTCGTATTTTTAGTAGTGACAATAACAAGAAATCCTCATATTTACATTAATTAATTTATTTAATTAAAAAGAAAATTGACTTACCGGAGGTGAGGGTTTTTCTTAAAGGTAAATTGCTCAAGGATGTGACGCTACTGCTTTCCGCTGATAATGCGACGGACGGCAGTGGCGTCGGGGTATCGGAATGAGACCGTTCGTGAACAGGACGTCCGGACGAACCGGAACTGTGTCCGGAACCATAGCTACTGTAGCTACCTGCAACATCGAAATTGCAAAATAAATACCACAACCAATCTTATATTGAATCACCCAGTTAATAAGTTGGCTATTGTCAGGGTTTTGCATAAAAAAAGGTCCTAAACTGATGTTAATAACTATTTTTTCAAAAACTTTAGAAATATCAATATCTACAAGATAAATAAAATATTGTAATAAACATTCCATAATTTCTAAACTTTGTTAAAGGTAGTAATACGGAATTAGCAATTTTCAATTTTATTGATAGAATCATGGACCTTTGGGATAGCAAAACCCTGTCAGTATCTGCGTTTTTGACTTATTCTTGACCCTCTTCTGTTTATCTTATATGTAAATGATTTCCCTCAATGTCATGATAATATTTTAATGTATGCAGATTAGACTGCCAAAAAAATCGAATATTTTTTTTTGTAAAGTATATCGAAAATATTGTTTGGGGTGACAAAAAAATTATGGTGAAAGTTTGAGTCCATAATATAAATATTAAGAGGTCTATCATCGCAATTTTAGATTTTTAATTCCTGAGCGAGTTTTTGTCTCAGAACTCCCAAACCATTGAGTTTAACAAAATTGACTTAAGAATATTTTTTGAAGAAAATTGAATGTTCTACAAAAAAGGTTAAATTAGAATTTCCCGTCAGATGAACCGTTTTCTTACAATCATGCCTTAAAAATTGGTATAGTTTTACAATTTGATCAACTTTGGAATTTTGTAATTCATGTAAAAATCAGTACCCGAAAAAAAAACCGATATATGTATATTCTTATAGAAAATCAAATGCTCTACAAAAAAGTCTCCTAACATTTTTGGCTAAATTCACTCCATCAAAATTTATTCAAGGTTAAATTTGAAGTAAAAACGAAATTCTTGTTTTTTCCGCTCTAGATTTTTTTTGGGGTCAGTTAAAAACTTGAATTATTTTATCGATGATAATCTTTATGTTATTGATAAAATTTATGAAAATTAAAAAAAAATAACACAGATTTTTTTTGCTTTAAGATTTTCTTTAGAAAATATTATTTTCACTGTTCACCTATTTAATCGGTTAAATAATAACAATCATGTTGTTTTTTTATTGGAAATTGTTAATTAGTTATATAATACACATTTATAAAGAAAAAAATTAAATTATCACCCATAAAAAATAAATCTACAGAGGAAAAAACAAGAATTTCGTTTTGACTTCAAATTTAACCTTGAATAACTTTTGGTTGAGCGAATTTGGCCAAAAATGTTAAGAGGCTTTTTTTGTAAAGCATTTGATTTCCCATAAGAATAATCGTTGTTTTTTTTTGGGTACTGATTTTTACATGAATTACAAAATTCCAAAGTTAAAATATCAAAATGTAAAACTATACCAATTTTTAAGGCATGATTTTAAGGAAACGATTCATATGACGGAAAATTTTAACCTTTTTTGTAGAGCATTTAATTTTCTAAAAATATATTTCTGAGTCAATTTTGTTTAACTATTGAGAGTTTGGGAGTTCTGAGACAAAAACTTGCAGAGGAAAAAAAATTAAAATTGCGATGATAGACCTCTTAATATTAATGTTATGGACTCATAATTGCACAATAATTTTTTTTGTTACCCCAAACCCATATTACGATATACTTTTCAAAAAAAAAATAGTTGATTTTTTTGGCCCAGTCTAATGCAGATGATGCTACTGCAATTTTTAAATCTTCCACAATAGATTATTTAATATCTAATATTGTTTTAACACAAGAAAATATCTCAAGTTAAATGTAGGCAAAAGACAGTATATTAAGTTTGAAAATTATGGGTTTACGAATAGGCGTTACTTTGGACAATGAATTGTTAATGAAAAATCAAACAGATAATGTTTTAAAGAAAATCAATAAGTATCTTTACTTACTACTTGATTTAAGATTTATTGTTCCAAAAGTGGCACTATTAAATATATATTATGCTTTTGTTTATTCAAATTTAAATTATGGAATAATTTTTTGGGGGAATTCATTCCATACTAAAAAATGTTTACTTTTCAGGAATAAAATATAAGATTTTTAATTTGGAATTTAATGAGTCCTGTAAGCAAATATTTAAAAAACAAAACTTACTTATGCTACCAGATATTTACATAATATATATAATATATTATATGATATAATTATATATTATATGATATAATAGAATATATATTATATGAAACTTTAATTATTTACAAAAAACTTTTTTCTTTTTAATAACACTAGTAGAGAACATCTATATTTTACTAGAAAAAAAGATTTTTCATTAATTACTCAAACCAGGATCCACACTGTTTACAAGAGTATACAAAACTTTGCTCTGGTTCAATATAATAAAACAATAAAAGACCGAAATTTAAAGGAATTTAAACCTTCTTTAAAAGCATACCTTGTAAACAGATGTGATTACTGTGTTGATGATTTTTTTTTAAGTTAAGAGAATTTCTTGTATTTGTTTATATTTAGTTTTTTATAATATTTATGTATTGTTTTTTGACCTGTTCAACATTGTAAACACTGCAATATTTTGAATTAATACGAAAAACAGTATTATACTTAAAAAAAGTGAATTAAAAATAAAAAGCACCTTATCCGATGGCGCTGTAATGAAAAAAAATCAATTTTGTTCGATTTTTCTTCTGTATACGATTTTCCAATAATTTTCTATAAAAATATCACTTTTTTGGTAATAATTATCTTATTAAATTAAATCTATTTTACCCACGATTTTTTAACTAATATTTAAGTTTCCTTTGGTTTCATTTCATTCGGTGATAATTATCAATTGCGCACCATGGTCACTTTTTACCTGCCAGCATTAAATCCTATAATTTAAATTTTAAAGTTGAAAAACCATTATTGTGTCAATTAATTAATTTAATCCTAATGGTATTTAGTTATAAATAATAATTATTATTGAGGTATAAAGAAACTATTTATAGTTTAGCATTATTTAATCAATTTAGTTCGAAGATTAATTTGCAAACAAAAATATCTCCTTCCATTAAGCAGTTATTCATAATGGATTTTTTAACATTGGAAGAAAAAATAGAAATAATTTTGATTTATGGAATCTTGATGATGCTATTAATATCTACGCTCAGCGTTTTCCGGATAAAATTTGATCAAGTACTTCATTTTACCGCACAGTCAAGCAGTTTACTACAAACGGGAGTGTTCAACCGAAAAAAAGAGTTCGTCGAGCAACAGTCAACAGGTGGAAATAATGAAACTAATGTATTAGCAGCAACGGCCGCTAATCCTCATGCAAGCACACGAGAATTATCTACAGATAGCAGAATATTAAAACGAAATGCGAATTAATAAATGAATTGAAGTCGAAGGCCACCATTTTGAGCATCTACTCTAATTAAAATTTAAAAAATAAAACCAAGTATTTTATTCAAAAGTTATTGGAGAATCGTATACAGAAAAAAAATCGAACAAAATTGTAATTATAAGGAGGAGAGTATGAGGACCAATTTTAGTACTGATTGATTTCCCCCCTCGAATCATTTAATTTTTTTTTTCGTAAAATGCATACTAAAGCTTATGTATCCGTTTGTCCGTCATCCGTATGTCAGTTTTTCAATAAAATCGTCCGATAAGAAATGTTCTAATTTTCATGCATACGTTTTTTAATGACGTTAAACGGATTGATTTTGCGACAAATAGAAATTAAGTGTCAGTATATTCACTTACTAAATTTACCTAATGCTTAATTGTCATAGTTACAATTATAAACAGTTAGCTGTCTAATAAATTTAAAGGTAGGTAAATATACCTTATAAAAAGAAAATACTAGCCCTAATATACATTAAAATGTATAGTTTTGAAAAAGCAGGTCCTTTTAGTTCTAGTTTTAATTTTTTTTGTTTGTCCTTTCTTTTTTTCCGTTATTCTTATTAAATAAAAACTTAACAGTAAAACATTATTCACATAACGAACGTAATATTTTCGTTTTACAATCTTATTGAAAAAATATAAAAATATTTGAAAATAAATTATCTTAAAATAACGTTAGGCATCAAAAACAGATGTTTAAAATTGAGTTAAAATTATTTAACCTTTATCTGTCAGACGTACGAAGTTGAAACTTGACGGACCGATAAAATGTCATAATTTTCGAATTATAATTGGACCAATAAGAGCGCTCCCGGATGAACGGACTGACGGACAAACGGATACATGAAAATTAAGCTTAACTGAGATATTTCAAAGTTTCAAGTTAAATGACTCACCCTGTATATTAAAAATAAGAAGTTTGGTTGTGTGTGTGCCAAAAAATCACTTTGTTTAAAAGGCAAACATTCGAAACAAAGTGATTTTGCAAACTGCAACCTAACATCTAAAAAAACAAAAATCAAAGACGAAAAAGCATGTTACCTGTGGCGCTGGGCGCCCGCCTGACGTTGGGGCTGGGCTGCGAGCCGGGTATCGTGGCCAGACCGCTTGGGGGCGCTCTAGGCTGGTGCGGCCGCGCCTTGCTGGGCTCCGAGAGCGCCAGCAACTTTCTCACGGCCTGGGGCGAGGCAGAGCCGAATTTGGCCGTCGGTTTTCGCTCGTCGCTCGCGCTGCTCGTGGAGCTGGTGGTGGAGGGCGCCGGCGAGGCGTGCCTCTTCCCTCTGCAAAAAAAATATTTTTTTGGAATGTGTTTTTTAGATAGGATTGTTGGTGTACGACGTTTCCTTTCTTAATTCAATTCAAATTCTTTATTTGCATAATTACATATACAAAAGATCGTCACAGAAATACAATTTTAAAAATTGCATGAGTACAAAGTAGGTACATATTTAAAATAAAAATCCTAATAATAAGAATTAAAATTCCAGTTACAGTTATAAATACAAATAAACTTAAACTTAAAAGTGTCCAATAATCTATTTAAAAATTCATCAGTATTTAAAAATTGCTCAACAGTGTATGGACCGATCTCCAAAATTATGTTTTTAATTTTTTTTAGGTTAAAATAGGTAGAATATAAGCTAAAATGATAACGGGCTTAAATAAAAGCAAGCTAAAATGATGACAACCTTAAATGAAAAGCTAGAATAACGAGAAGCTTAAATAAAACCAAGCTTCAAAAACGAAAACCTTAAATAACGAAAATCTAAAATGATGTCAATCTTAACCCTTTCAATACTGCGGGGATATATACGTCCCAAAGAAAATTAAAAAATGTATCTACTTAATTAAGTGCGTTTAAATAAAACAGGGTCGGGACAATTTAGTATTTCTATGTCTTGACTTGGGATATCAGTAATAAAAACTTAATTTATTTAACGTCACGTGAACAATAACCAGCTGTTTTTCGGCCATTGCACGCTCGAAATTGAAAAAGACCAGTCACATAACCTATTTTGTGCAGTTTTTGTGTAAATTTTGTGATACTTTATGCATTGTACGTGACAACTCATTCCTCAAAATATACGTTGGGACAAAAATATCCCTGCAGTAATATGACAGGGGATAGTTTTATCCCATCAGTGTTTTTTGATAATAAACATTTTCAAAAATAGAAGAATTTCTTTAGTATGGGGATAAATATATCCCAGGGCATATTACTGCAGGGATAAATCTGTCCCAGGCCTTTTTTCAAATACCACCAAAGTTAAAAATCTGTCATTCAGTCAATTAACTATTTTTAACCTAAATATAGTTTTAACATTAAAAAAAAGTTTTAAATTGATTTCCGAAAAGTCATATTAGGGTTAAATAAAGACCAGCTAAAATGATAACAAGCTTAAATAAAGACAAGTTCCAATAAAAACAAGCCAAAATAATGACAGCTTAAATAAAAAAAGCTCCAATAATGAAAGATCAAATAACGAAAATCTATGATGACGACAAGCTTAAAATAACAAGATTAAATGACGACAAGCTTAAATATAGTCAAGCTCCAATAAAGACAAGCGAAAATGATAATAAGCTTGATTAAAAACAACTTCCAATAGTTGACAAGCTTAAATAAACAAAAGTTCAAATAATGACAACCTTAAAAGACAAGCAAGAATAAAAAAGCTTCAATAACGAAAACCTAAAATAACAAGCCAAAATAACGAAAATCTAAAATGATGTCAAGCTTAAATAAAGACAAACTAAAACAAGCTTAAATAAAGACAAGCTAAAGTTATGAAAATCTTAAAAAAATCAAATAATGAAAACTTAAAATCATGACAACTTAAATGACAAGCTAAAATGACGAAAATTTAAAATGATGATAAGTTTAAATTATGGCAACCAGCTAAAATTATAAGATGTATCAAAAAGCTAAAATAAGGACAATATTAAACGACAAGCTTAAACAAAGATAAGCATGCTAAAATAACGAAAATCTATGATGAAGACAAGCTTAAATTATAAGAAGATTGTTATCAACAAGCTAAAAAAACAAGATTAAATGACAACAAGCTTAAATGAAAAGCTAAAATAGGGAAAAGTTAAAATGATGATAAACTTAAATAAAAAGAAGCTCCAATAACGAAAATGATGACAAGCTAAAATAACGACAAGATTATATGCTAACAAGCTATATACTTAACAAGCTTAAATAAACATGACAAACTTAAATGACAAGCTAAAATAATAAAAATCTAAAATGATGACAAGCTTTTAATTATAACAAAATTGTTATCATTAAGCTAAAATAACAATAAGCTTAAATAAAGAAAAGCTAAATAGTTGACAAGCTTAAATAAACAAAATAAAAAAAGCTTCAATAACGAAAATCTAAAATAACAAGCCAAAATAACGAAAATCTAAAATGATGTCAAGCTTAAATAAAGACAAGCCAAAGTGATGACAATCTTAAGCAAAAATAATTCAAATAATGAAAACTTAAAATGATAAGCTAAAATTACGAAAATTTAAAATTATGGCAACCATCTAAAATTATAAGATGTATCAAAAAGCTAAAATAACGACAATATTAAACGCTTAAAAAATAAAAATAGGACGCTTTAATGAAATAGTTTTAATAATCGAAACGCCGGATACACAATCCTTAACACAATCTTTAAACATTATATTAGAAATTAAAAAAAATCACACGAATGATAAAAAACTCACCGTTGACTTCCGGACGTGCTGGAGCCGCCTCCGCCGCTAGAGGGCGCGGCAGCAGCCTCGCACTCTAGCGACATCTCGTGCAACTTCGACTCGTCCGTTTCCACCTGCAAATTGTTCAGGTAGGCCTTGACGCGCCTTACCATCTGCGATTCCTCGAACATCTTCTTCGGATTGGGGGCGGCGGTGGATTTCTTGCGCCGCTTCACCGTCGACTGGCCTGCGAAAACACAAAAATAAAATTAAAAAATACCCGTAATTTTTTAATTTTATTTCGATTCTTACCTTGCGTCAGGTAGTTGGAGGAGGCGGTGGTGAGCTGGTTCAAGGCCACCATCGCGTTGCTGGCGGGCTGCCCGCCCAGCTCCAGCATGGTCAGTAAATCGTAGGGGCTGCTGCACATGTTGCTCAGAGAACGCACCTCTTTGGCGATCATGCGCAGCTTCTCGAAATTTATCAGACCGTCCATTTTGGAGTCGTTGCCCAAGTGTATGAACGTCAGGTCTTTTTTTACCACCGGGTAGAAAGGAATCTGCAACGGAAAAACCAGTGATCATCCATGATCAAAATTTGATTTTTTTCCCCTCCCATGAAAAATGGACTTAAAAAAAATGATTCCCGTGTCTCGGCGTTTATTCAGATCACGTCATTTTTTTAAAGTGCGATCTAATAAAATGTTATTCACGGCACATATTATAACAGCTAGACTGTATAGTTAAAAAAAAATGCTTGAATATTAATGGAGGACATTGTCTACAATGAGCTAATGCTTCATTTAGTTGACATCTTACAGCTTTGTTGATTTTTTTCCAAAATTAACAAATACTGTTTATATTACTTTTAAATTTGGCTTGTCAATGTTTTTTATAATTTACTGACTGCTTTTTTATAAGTAATATTGTTTACAAAACACGTGGTAACCATTATTCAGGGTGGGACAAAAGTACCAAATAATTTACTTTATCTCCATGTGGTCTATAATTTAAACTTTATTGTCAACATTCGATAAAGAAATACCTTGTTATGGCCTAGGCCGACAAAAATTTTTATGAGGCAAGTAATTAGTTCGATTTTTTCTCGCTAGGGGTATTGTTTTGACAAATTAATCCTTTTTTAAGAAATTAACGTACTAAACTGGTTTAATTTATTTATAATAAGCACTAATTTGTTTGTTTTACTGTTAATGTTTAATATTTTTCATTAAATTATTGTAAAATTAAATATGAATAATAAAACAAAAAGTGAGGTTGGGCAACCAAGAAAACGCACGATTCTTTTTCTACGATTTAAATTATCTTTAAGTTTTTATTTGCTTTAAGTTTTCAGTAAAATTAAATGTTAAACACAGCTTAAACATTCCAAACTACCTATTTTTTAAATAAAAATCCAAACAAATTGAAATTAGATACCTATCTATTTATTAAACAATTAATTGAATTCAATTTTATAGCAAAAATTCATTTCTACTTAAATCAGGTATTGTCAAACTATTACTGCTTCTAAAAGCAATAATAATTATTGTACATTTGATGTAATCTTTAGCTAATAAATAAATGAGATTCTAAAAAAGTGAGGTTAGGCCGCTTTGATGTTGAATTAAATTGAATTAAATTAAAGATAAAATGTTGTATGCCATTCGGCCAAGAAGTGCCTTTTGTGCTTCGCTCAATTGTAAAACCTTAAGCTTAGCACAAAAAGCCATACTTCTTAACCTAATGACATAAATAACTATTAACTTTGTTATTTGCAAAGTTAAAAAAAAATTCAATATAAAAGTTATTTGGTTCATAACCAACCCAAGCATGTTTTGAGTTTTTTAGTTTGTTGATATCTTTTTTTATTTTGTTTCTATGGCAACCATTTTTTTTAAATGGCATACAAACTTTTTTTGTTCATTATGAAAAAAGCATATTTCTCTCTATTCAATCATACAATTTTAATATTTTTTGAAAAAATATAAGCGAGAAAAAATTTGACATTTAAATTTATCCTAACAATTCTTTTTTTATTGTTTTAATAAATATTTGTTCCCGCAAAATTTGCTAAAATTTTATGTACTGAAGAGAGAAAAATATGCTTTTTTCATAATGAACAAAATAAGTTTATTAAATTATTAAATTAAAAAAAAATTGGTTGCTATAGAAACAAAATAAAAAAACATATCAACAAACAAAAAAACTCAAAACTTAAAACATTAACTTTTAACTTTGGAAATCACAAAGTTGGAGCCATTATTTGATACTTTTGTTCCACCCTGTATATGTCAACTCACCCGTCACGGGTTTCTTAATACAAAATAATATTTATAATTAAAAAAAAATTATAGGGAACAGTAACATCAATCAAAAGATTTTTTAATTTACTAATTGATTATGTAAAATCATACCGAGAGTTAACATTTAGAATAAAAAAAGTTATTAACGTTTCAAGTTGCCATGGGATTTCTCGGGTAATTTGTTAAAATGTTAAAGAATTGACATGGAATCTTTTAAACAATTTTTAAGATTCCAAAAATTTCACCCCCATATTTGCAACCTAATAACAAAAATGTTATAGGCTATTTTTAATTGACGCGCATTTGTCAAATTTTCACAAAAAAATCTTTTTTCTTCTCCGAGAAACTTCCAATGGACCACGAATGTGAAACACCCTGTATATCAAGTGGTGTTTTTTAGGATGTGATTCCACTATAGATTCTAAAGCAATGTATAATCGCCAAACAAAAAATATTTTTTTAATTTATAAAAAATTAAAATTATTATTTTTTGTTTTTAATAATATGTAATAATAACATACAATATTTGAAGAAAAAAATGATTTATATCCAAATAGAGAATTAAAAATCTGAATAAGAATGGCTGTATAAAAAAAAAATGACGTGATTTCGAGACACGGGTACGTTTTTTAACGTTTATTTTTAAAATCCGTTAAAAATTTTCATTGGAGGAAAATCGTGTTGAAGTGTGTAGTTGGTGTACAATTTGTTTTAAAGAAGGTACATTAAGTACATCAAGACTTTGAAAGAGGAAAATTCACAGACACAACATTGTAATATAAATAAAGGTATAGAAGAACATTTGGGTGGGGGTATGAACACTAAACTTACACTGTGCGTTAGCACCATGTACCTCTAAAATAAGAAAAATCTTTATGAGTTAAATTTTCACCACCAAATTAAAATGTTTCATATCCCAAAACTGTCACTTATCACAACAATAAAAATTGTAAAATAATGTTGTACTTACAATCGGTGGTTGCGTTTGTTCGGCGCTGATTAGCTGCCTGTATTTGCTCATGTTCCTCGACGGATCCATTAACTGCTGCAAATCGCTGAAAACCCGCTGATATTTCCCGGGCAGTTTGTCCCAGCTCTGCCTCAAGCGGGACACCGCCCCGTGCCCCAACCCGCTGATGATCGCGAACATCGAGTTGAAGTTTTTGCACTCTTTGCACTGCCCTGAAAACAAACGCACCAAAAATTTTAAGCGTGTTCTTAAGTCCAGATCGAGCGGACGTGACTTACTGGCCACTTTGATGAACTGCTTGATGATCTTCATCCTGCGCACCGGGTTTTGCTCTGCGCACACCTCGCTCACCACCCAGAACATCTCCTTGTTCACCAGCGAGGCGAACTGCACCAGCATCGGGGTGCCGTATTTCGATTTCAGCTCGAATAACTCGTCAATGTACTCTGTCGGTTCGATTTGTCTGCACAAAGAATTCAAGAGATAAGTTTTGGATACAATGAAGGAAGGAAGAAAGTTAGGGAGAAAAATATATTTATACATTGGGGAAAAAAGACATTATAGAGAAAAAATAACAAAACTTGGGCAAGGAAGTAAGGAAGGAAGGAAGGAAGGAAGGAAGGAAAGAAGGAAAACCTAAATTGATGACAAACTTAAATGACAAGCTAAAATACCGAATAGGAAGCAAGGAAGGAAAATATACTTGTATATTGAGTAAAAAAGAAAAAAAAATTACAAAAATGGGCAAGAAAGACCGCGAGAGATAAAAGGCTAAAATAAAGACAAGCTAAAATGCTGACAACCTAAAATAACGAGAAGTTTTAAAAAAACAAGCTAAAATAAAAATCTAAAATGAGGTCAAGTTTAAATATAAACAAGCTAATATGACAACCTTAAATGAAAAGCTAAAATAACGAAAAGTTAAAATGATCACACGCTTAAATAAAAACAACCTCCAATAATGGAAACCTAAAAAACTTTAACAAACTTTAATGACAAGCTGAAATGAAGTCAAGCTTAAATAAATACAAGCTAATATGATTATAAGATTCAATAAAGATAAGCTAAAATGATGACAACCTTAAATGAAAATCTAAAATAACGAAAAGTTAAAATGATCAAACGCTTAAATAAAAACAAGCTTCAATAATGGAAACCTAAAATGATGAAAAATTTTAATGACAAGCTAAATTTAAAATCCATATGAAGTCAAGCGTAAATAAAGACAAGCTAATATGATAACAAGATTCAATGAAGACAAGCTAAAATGATGATACCCTTAAATGAAAAGCTAAAATAGCGAAGAGTTAAAATGATGACACGTTTAAATAAGAACAAGCTCCAATAATGGAAACCTAAAATGATGACAGATTTTAATGACAAGCTAAAATAACGACAAGATTATATGCCGACAAGCTTAAAAAAACACAAACTCGAATGATAAAAAAAACTTAAATGACAAGCTAAAATAACGAAAGTCTAAAATGATGACAAGCTTAAATTATAAGAAGATTATTATCAACAAGCTAAAATAATGACAAGCTTAAATCACAAACTAAAATAACGAAAATCTAAAATGATGATGCTTAAATTATAAGAAGATTGTTACCAATAAGGTAAAATACCGACAAGCTTAAATAAAGTTAAGCTTAAATTGATGACAACTTTAAAAGACAAGCTAAAATAACGAGACGATTGAATAAAAAAGTTTCAATAACGAAAACCTAACATAAGCCAAAATAACGAAAATATAAAATTATGCCAAGCTTAAATAAAGACAAGCTCCAATAAAAACAATTCAAAATTATGACAATCTTAAATAAAAAACTCAAATAAGGAAAATCTAAATTGATGACAAACTTAAATAAAAAGCTTAAATGATGACAAACTTAAATTTTAACAAGATTGTTATCAACAAGCTAAAATAACGAAAATCTAAAATGATAACAAGCTTGAATTATAAGCAGATTATTATCAACAAGCTAAAATAATGACAAGCTTAAATCACAAACTAAAATAACGAAAATCTAAAATGATGATGCTTAAATTATAAGAAGATTGTTACCAATAAGGTAAAATACCGACAAGCTTAAATAAAGTTAAGCTTAAATTGATGACAACTTTAAAAGACAAGCTAAAATAACGAGATACTTGAAAAAAAAAACGTTAATAACGAAAACCTAAAATAACAAACCAAAATAACAAAAATCTAAAATGATGTCAAGCTTAAATAAAGACAAGCTTCAATAAAACAATCCAAAATTATGCCAAGCTTAAATAAAGACAAGCTAAAGTGATGACAATCTTAAATGACAAGCTAAAATAATGAAAATCTAAAATAAAGACATACCTAAATGACAAGCTAAGATGATGACAAGGTTAAATTATAACATGATTGTTATCAACAAGCTAAAATACCGACAAGCTTAAATGAAAAGCTAAAATAACGAAAATCTAAAATGATAAGCGAGACCAACGTTATGTGGACGTTGCAAAACACATGTGTTTTGATTTTTCCTTCAGTCGTTATCAATAAAGAAAACTCCTTACCAATAATAAATTTCTCTTAGCAACTCGTTGCGCACAACAACCCTTGTGATTGTTATCCTTAGCCGTTAATTCGTATGAGATTTTTAATTTTAAAAAATCAAATCGAACAAGCTTGAGTTATAAGAAGATTGTTATCAATAAGCTAAAATAACGACAAGCTTAAATAACAAGCTAAAATAACGAAAATCTAAAATGATGACAAGCTTCAATAAAGACAAGCTAAAATGATGGCAACCTAAAAGACAAGCTAAAATAACAAGAAGCTTGACTAAAAAAAGCTTCAATAACGAAAACCTAAAATAACAAGCCAAATTAACGAAAATATAAAATGAATTTAAGCTTAAATAAAGACCAGCTAAAATAATAACAAGCTTAAATAAAGACAAGCTAAAGTAATAATAGTTTTAAATTGCTAAAATAACGAAAATTTAAAATTATGACAAAGTTAATTTATAACAAAATTGTTATCAACGAGCTAAAATTAAGAAAACCTATAATGATAACAAGCTTGAATTATAAGAAGATTGTTATCAATAACATAAAGTAAGGCTCCAATAAAGACAAGCTAAAATGATGACCAGCTTAAATAACGACACTTGAATAAAAAAAGCTTCAATAACGTAAAATTACAAGCCAAAATAACGAAAATCTAAAATGATGTCAAGCTAATTAAAGACAAGCGAAAATGATAACAAGCTAAAATAAAGACAATCTAAAATGGTAACTAGCTTAAATAAAGACAAGCTCCAATAAATACAAGCTAAAATGACAACCAGCTTAAATTATAAGAAGACATACCAAAAAGCTAAAATAACGATATCGACGATATCGTTTCTAGCGATGCAACGTCTTTTAAGAAAGCAAGGAAGGAAGGAAAATATACTTGTACCTTGGGAAAAAAAATAACAGAAAAAAAAATCCACAACTTGTCTTACCTGAATATGCTAAAGTCCTGCAACGTCAGTTGTATCGCCACTTCGACAGCGTTCAGCTGCAAAAAGTGCACGTCGCTTTCGCGCACCAATTCGGGCGCCAACTCGTCGGGTACCAGAGTCTCCGTGACTCCGTTCGTCTTCAAATAATATCTGCTGCTCAATCCGATCCTCTCGGCCAAATTTTGCAGCTGGTCCGGCAGCCTCTTCTGCCTTATCGCCTGCGCTTTCACGTCCGTCACCGACACCTCGCACAAGCTGCAGAAAAGAGAGTTTGCATGTTGCTTAGTCTTCCAAGGTGTAGATGGCGTTACCCAGAGAACCAAGGTATTGGACAGAAATTAGTCAACTTTTTCCCAACCAAGTTTTCTGTACAATATTTTACATGTATTGGGGTTTATTTGGACATATAAATTGTATTTTCATTAAGTTTGACCAAAAATTGACATATTTTATGCCAATCATTTTCCAACGCGATAGCACAAAAACTGCATGAAAATAAAGACTTAAGTACAGTTATCTTTGGCCAACTTCGTAAAAAAGTGCTTGTTTGAAAGTTATTACTAAAAAATATAATCATCCGTACACTAACTAAACTTGTGTTAAGTTTTAAACGGCTTTATATTTTGAGTAAGTAATTAAGGTAAGGTTTTCAAGTTTTTTTAATAAATAATTCAATTAGGTACACTAGTTTACAAAATTTGATAAAGTTGTTCCTCATTTAACCAAAACAACTTTTTTTAAGGTAAAATTTTGTACTGATTCCAAAAATAATAGTAGTTTTTCTGGATTAGCTCTATATTTCGGGTTATGCATGAAATCTCGCAAATATGCACTGTTACAGAATATTCAATCAAAAATATGCAGCTAAAATTTTCAAATCAATCCCAAATCTTTATAGCTGTAAGAACTGCAGTTTAATACAAATTTTAAGATGTAAAGCTCCTAAATCGCATTAGTGGTTTTGTCACTATGACGAAAAATACGTCAGAAAAAATCATTATTTTCCGATTTTTTTTTAAAATTTTTTCAACTTTGGTCCACTGTATATCAAAAAATATTTTGAAATATAAAAAGTTAGTCCCCCTATATTCTAGAGAATTTAATTATGAAAATTTTAAGCATACATACGTCAATATATGATGAGATTTAGATTATGTACGGTACATTTTTTGAAGCAATGAAAAATGTTATCATTTATAATATTACAATTTTTTTTAGATTTAATAAGGGAAAAAAATTACCAAAACCGTTTTTTTTAGCTTTTTTTTATTTATTAAAATTCTCCAGAATATAGGGGGGCCAACTTTTTATATTTCAAAGTGTTTTTTTATTTACATCGTTGATTTTTTTTAAATTAAAAAAAAAATATTTTTTTACCTGTTTTTGGTTCTAGCATTTGGGATTATGTTAATATTAAATAACAATTTTAGCTGAAAATTTGTGATTTAATGTTCTGTAACATTGCATTTTCATGCGAATCTCGAAATCTAGAGCTAAACCAGGAAAACCACTATGATTTTCTGAATCAGCACAAAATTTTACCTTAGAAAAAGTAGTTTTGGTTCAATGAGGAAATTCTTGTAAACTAGTGTTATTATACAATTTCTTACTTTTCGAAGATTGTTATTCCCTCGTTAATTTTGAAGTAATATAAATTTACATTGGTATTTCTATATTATGTACTAATTTTTTGCTTATTGTTACAGATTTTCATCTCGTTGCATAAAGTTGCAGTGAAGAAAAAAAACTGCCTTTTTCTAGGTAAATAGTGTTTATTAGACTGGGCCAAAAAAATCGACTATTTTTTATTTCAAAAATATGGTTTGGGGTGACAAAAAAAATTATTGTGAAAGTTTTAGTTCATAATATTAATATTAAGAGGTCTATCATCGCAATTTTAAATTTTTTTTTCCTGAGCGAGTTTTTGTCTCAGAACTCCCAAACCATTGAGTTTAACAAAATTGACTCAGAAATATTTTTTTAAGGAAATTGAATGCTCTACAAAAAGGGTTAAAACTAAATTTTCCGTCAGATGAACCGTTTCCTTAAAATAATGCCTTAAAAATTGGTATAGTTTTACATTTTGATCTTTTAACTTTGGAATTTTGTAATTCATGTAAAAATCAGTACTCGAAAAAAAAACCGATATACAGGGTGTCCGGGAAAAGGAAGTCAATCCGTTAACCATATATTCTTTGAGTTAAAACAATAAGACTTTCATAATACCATTTTTCAATTTAGAGCTTCATGTTCGATATACAGGGCGACAAAGTTTAAAATTTAAAACTGATTTTTTTTAAATAATTCGAGTAATTGATAAGATATTAAGTTCAAATTCGGATTGACCTCCTTTTCCCGGACACCCTGTATATATTTTTAAGGGAAATCAAATGCTCTACAAAAAAAGTCTCTTAACATTTTTGGCTAAATTCACTCAATCAAAAGTTATTCAGGGTTAAAGTTGATGTCAAAACGAAATTCTTGTTTTCTTCCTCTGTAGATTTATTTTTTTATAGATGATAATTTGATTTTTTTTCCAATAAAAAAACAACATGATTGTTATTATTTAAACGATTAAATAGGTAACAGTGAAAATAATATTTTCTAAAGAAAATAGCTTTTTAAAGCGAAAAAATTCGAATGTGTTATTTATTTTAAAATTTTCAGTAATTTTATCAAAACATAAAGATTATCATCGATAAAAGAATTCAAGTTTTTAACTGACCCAAAAAAAAATCTGGAGCGGAAAAAACAAGAATTTCGTTTTGACTTCAAATTTAACCTTGAATAACTTTTGATGGAGTGAATTTAGCCAAAAATATTAGGAGACTTTTTTCGAAGAGCATTTGATTTCCCATAAGAATATCTATCGGTTTTTTTCCGGGTACTGATTTTTACATGAATTACAAAATTCCAAAGTTAAAATATCAAATTGTAAAACTATACCAATTTTTAAGGCATGATTGTAAGAAAACGGTTCATCTGACGGGAAATTCCAAAAAGCCTTATTTTACAAAAAAAACACTTTTCTTTGGATTCTTCATAAAAAACAATATTTTTTTCCAATTTTTATTATTTAAGATATTTTTAAATTATTAGGTACTTTTTTTTGTTTTTTTAACAAATTATATTTTTTTTTAATTTTTTTTATTATAATTAAAAAATTTAAATACAAATTTTTTAATTGTTTTCTGTGCCCATATAAAGCGTTTTATTTAATCAATGTTCAAATACTCTCCAAAAAATTAATAGATTGTAATGTAATGTATTCTTTCAAATATAATTTATAATATTTGTAAATACTCTGGATTTGTTCAAATATTTACCAATATCATTGGTTAATTTTACAAAAGCCTAATATTTGTCCAAATAAACATTAAAAATTTGTCATCGTTTTTCCATGCCCAAACATTCCCAAAATTAAACCAACGGTAACCTACCTAACTTAATCCAAACCGCTTTTGCATATTATTGGGCAAAATTTGATAATTTATTGTTGGCCATCGCGATTGCACAAAAATCATACGAATATTAAGTCCTGTATTGTACATTTATTGGAAAAACTTTTACAAACCTGATTTTTGGCCAAGTTTTAACCTGATATGGCTCTCTGGGTATATTTTACTGACTATATAACTGACTTACCTGTAGTTGCTGCTGGGATCGGTGATGCCAAACTCCCTCAACGCCAGCATGACGACCTCGTGCGCGGTGGTTTCCTTGTTGACGAGGAGATATTTGTACGTTTGGTCGGGTTTGAAGACCTTTAAGACGTGCTCGGGGTAATCCGCGCATCTGCCCGCCTCCTCGTAGCACAAGGACATCAGGTCGGGGTTCGATTGCGATTGGTAGGCGTTGCAGGCGCCCCCAAGGGGGCCCGATGATGGAGGGGGCGCGTGGTGGTCGACCACGTCCGAACCCAAGGCGTGGCTGAGGCGAGAAAAAATGAAATGATCAAAAAGGCGGAAACATTGAAATAGACAAGTTTATCCATATGACGATCTTAAATTTGCAGGGCTCCCACGGCTAAATTACAAATTTTATTTAGGAATTTAGGAGGTTTTAAAGTATGCAAATGAGTTTATGTAATTAAATAAAAACAACTCTACACTGTACTTAAAAATTTAGACAAAAATAAACAATTCTTTTAAACAAAAATATTAATAAATATCACTTATTTTGTACAAATAGGTTACATTGACTGGTATTTTAGCCAAATCGCTCGACTAGTTTTTTTTTATTAAAAGAAGTAAAATTGTATAAGTCACAAGTAGAAATTTTACCAAACTTTTAATTTTATTTAAAAAAACGCGTCGATAGATATGACTAAAAACTAAGCTAAAGTCAAATGATGTTATATTTATATTTTGAGAAATTTTTTTTAACTGTTTAGTCAATAACTAACAATAATTGTAATGTGGATCTTGTTACCCAAAAATCTCATAATAGAAAAAATATAAAGTTTGCATAATAGCGCAAAACATTCTTTAGATTGTTTACTATTTTAGCTATCATTAAAAAAATATGGCTAAAAATGAGAATTTTGTAGAAGTCTAGGAGCTACTACATGGATTTTGTTTTAAAGATATATTTTGTTGTTTTGTAAGAAAAATGTAGGTTGTAATATCGGCCATTTCAAGCGGACGGACGGGACAAATCACAAAACTGTTTTTGTAAAAAAAATTGTAGGTAATTTATTATATAATATTTTTCAATTAAAATTGTCAAATATATTCTTCTTTCATTATGCTATACATTAAATAAAAAAATCGCAAGAAATATTTTATAAAAGTAGAGATAATTTCAATAATTGACAGGTGTGGATGGGACAAGATAAATCTTTTTTTTTGTCCCGTCCACACCTTTTAATTATTCAAATTAAGTCTGCTTTTATTAAATATTTTTTTGAGTTTTTTTTATTTAATGTAAAACCTAATAAAAGAAGAATATGTTTGACAATTTTGATGCCAAAATATTATATAATAAATAATCTACAATTTTTTTTATAAAAACAGTTTTGTAATTCGTGCGTTTCGCGCGCTTGAAATGACCGATATATCTTTTTAAAAAGAATTTAATAAACTAGAACCTAAAAATATATATTTTTTTATTAATTAAAAAAATTTTTTTGTGCACAACTAACTTAATTAAACGCAGTCAGGTTGGCCTACTTATAATTAATTTTTAGAGAGGTTGATGACAATTTTAGGAGTTTTCAAGATTTAAGCCAAATTTTAGGAATTTTATGAGTTTTAGGAGGTGTGCGAGCCCTGAATTTGTTCTGTAACATTTTTATATACCTAAATTATGCATTTGAAGTGTATGGAGAGCGGAAAAATATATCAACTTTGATTTTTCAATTGGAACCATAAAAATATTATTGCATTTTTAAATTCCACGTAAAATTCTAGAATTACTAAAATTTAATTATTTCTTTATTTTTATTAGTTTTTGACTTTGACAGTAGGATGGTCTTACTAATATGTCTGTATTACCACTAGTTTTTAAAGTGTCGAAAAAAAAACGAAAAAATTGGGGAAAAAACGTCTTTTTTAAGGACTTGGAAAAATTGGCTTTTTCTGAAAATATACAAAGCAATCAACAACTCAACATTATTTTAATTTAAAAAAATAAAATAAATAATAAATTTTTTACAGAAAAAAAAACAAATAATAATAATAATAATAATATTTAAATAAAAATAAATATTAAATTGAAGTGAATTGATTTCAGAAAATAAAGGTAAACGTTAAATATACTGTAGGTTTGGTCCTTTTTGCAAAATGGAGTCCATTAAAAATATCCATTTACAAAATAATGAATTTATAAAGTTAAATTAAAAAATTATAATTTTATAAATCGATGTGTCAAATAAAACCATGGTTATGTTAATACAAACAAACAAAATATTATAATCATGTATGAATATAATCAGAGTCGAAAATTCACTTTTTTGTTACAGATTTTTGAAAATTTCCAGAAAAATTAACTTTTTCATTTTTTCGTATTATCCTCTGAATAAAATGCAAAAATCAATTTTTCTGAAAATTTCCCAATCCAACTTACACTACTGATAATACAAATAAACATTTTTTGTAATATCTCCGTCAATATTCATTTAAGGTAAAGCTGCAGCATTTTAATAGAAAACATTATTTTGTGTCAAATGATGTCAAAATTAAATGGCAGTTTCGTTTGAAATAAGAAAGTTATTAGCATTTAAAGTGATAAATAGGGTTGAAATAAGTAATCACTTTTATAAAAAAGTCAAAAAGTTTTTGAATTAAATTAGACTTTTGAATTAATTCACTAAAAAAATTATATTTTTTTGCTTACTAAAACTCAACACAAAAAAACAAGTATTTATTTTCTTGAAAAATATGCAATTTGTTGCAAAACAAAATAAAACTATCGATTATTCAAAAAAATGAATTAATTCGTGACCTTTTTAAAAAAGTAATTTGAATTAATTTGCGATTTAAATCACTGACTTAATCCATTTGAATTAATTCGCGCCAACCCTGCAAAAAAGTCAACGTAAATACCAGACACCCTGTATAAAATTTTCAAATACCATTAATGGCTTTCTACAGAGTGCTCCTTAGGTAACAGGTACACAAATTAACTTTTTAACATTAAAATTATTTGTCTCAAAAACTGTTAAAAAAATATTTTACATTGCCTTATAATTGCTATAGAAATTTCAAGTCGATATCTTTTTCCGTTCTCCATAGACTTATAATAAATAAGTTAGAATATTCTAAAAAGACAATATACGAGCAGAAAACAAAGATCACGAAAAACCGCAAAACAAAAAGCAACTTACTTGATCATGTTCTTGGGCAGAATATTCATCTTCATCAAGGCCTTCTGGAGCCGCCTCTTCGGCCCCATCGTCATGAAAATCTGCTTCTTCTCCTTCTGCGGGCTACTGATGGTGACCGGCTGACTGGCGGGAGAGTCGTGCCCCAAAATAATGTTCCCGTCCACGCTGCTGAGCCGGCTCCTCGGGTCCGGCGGCAGCTTGCAAATCTCCGACTTCCTTCCCCTGGGCCTGGGAGAGTTATCGGGGCTCGTGAGCATCTCCTTGAAGTGCAGCAGGTTGGATTTCACCGCGATGGAGAGATGCGTGGTGCCACGCAAAATCTCCAACGCTTTGGCGTGGCTGACGTGCTCGAAAGACTGCCCGTTCACCTCCACGATTTGATCTCCCCGTTTGAGACCCACGTCTTCAGCTTTGGACTTTTTGTCCACCTTGGAGATGAAGATGCCGAAGTTCCGCTCGTACCCGCCCAGAATTTGGAAGTTCAGAGGTTCGTCTCTGTTCGGGCGCGCCAAGGTAACATTCCTTATCCTCGCTTTGGCGGCGCAGGCGATGTTCAGCAACCGCAACTGCCCCACCATCTTCTCGTTCTCCAGACCCAGCTCGAAAGTCTCCAAAAACTCTATCATGTCGGGGTCGGTCTCGAAGTCCGTAAAGTGGTTGTTAACCCACAGCAAAACCACCCGCGTCACGCGATCCCTCACCTCGGGGTCCTTGAACCACTCCAGCAGCTGGTTGGCCACGTTCAACGGCCCGTGGATGAAAGTGCGGTGCGTCAATAGGAAATCTTCCACGTACGTGGGGTCGGTGAGAGAGTTTTCCTCTATTAGTTGCGTCATTAGCCGTTCGGAGGTGGCTCTTATGACCACGTGGCCGCGACGGTTGCCGTTCTCCATCGGGCCGCCTCTTAGTTCGGTCACCATTTCCACCTGGCCCGATTCGTTTTTGTGCTTTCGGGTGTTTTCTTCGCCTTCGTGGAGGATTCTGGCAGAATAAATAAGGAAATAATAATTGTAACATTTTAGAATGTGTTTTTAGACTTTCTAGAATGTGTTTTTAGACATTTTAGAATGTGTTTTTAGACATTTTAAAATGTGTTTTTATCATTTTAAAAAAGTGTTTAAGAAATTAATAGTACGTTTGAAATTCTAAAATATATTTTAGACACTTTAGAAGGTGTTTTTATCATTTTAAAATGTGGTTTTAGAAATTAATACTTGTAACATTTTAAAATGTTTTCTTAAGTACGTTTGACCTACTAGAATGTACTTTGGACATTCTAGAATGTGTTTTTATCATTTTAAAATGTGTTTTTAAACATGAATGGTTGTAACATTATTAATTGTGTTTTTAAGTACTTTTCACGTTCTCAAATGTGTTTTTGACACTCTAAAATGTGTTTTTATCATTCTAAAATGTGTTTTTATAGTTTTAAAATGTGTTCTTATGTACGTTTAACTAAACTACATTTTGGATATTACAGAATGTGTTTTTATTCATTTTAAAATGTGTTTTTAGAAATTAATAGTCGTAACATTTTCAAATGTGCTTTTAAGTAAGTTTGATATTTTAGAATGTATTTTGGACATTCTAAAATGTGTTTTTATCACTTCAAAAAGTGTTTTTAGAAATTAATGGTAACATTATGAATTGTGTTCTTAAGTAAGTTTTGTTGTTAAGTTAAGTTTGACATTCTCAAATGTGTTTTGGACATACAAAGTAAGTTTGACATTCTAGAAAATATTTTGGACATTCTAAATTGTGTTGTTATAATTTTAAAATGTGTTTTTAAGTACATAGAGATTCTCAAATGTGCTTTGGATATTCAAAAATGTGTTTTTAAATTTTAAAATGTGTTCTTAAGTACGTTTGACATTCTAAAATGTATTTTGAATATTCTAAAATGTGTTTTTATTATTTTAAAAATGTGTTTTTAAAAATTAATGGTTTTAACATTATCAACTGTGTTTTTAAGTACTTTTCACGCTCTCAAATATGTTTTTGACACTCTAAAATGTTTTCTTATCATTCTAAAATGTGTTTTTATAGTCGTAATTAATAGTCGTAACATTTTCAAATGTGTTTTTAAGTAAGTTTGATATTCTAGAATGTATTTAGGACATTCTAAAATGTGTTTTTATCATTTCAAAAAGTGTTTTTAGAAATTAATGGTTGTAACATTTTGAATTGTGTTCTTAAGTAAGTTTTGTTGTTAAGTTAAGTTTGACATTCTCAAATGTGTTTTGGACATTCAAAGTAAGTTTGACATTCTAGAAAATATTTTGAACATTCTAAATTGTGTTGTTATAATTTTAAAATGTGTTTTTAAGTACATTGAGATTCTCAAATGTGCTTTGGATATTCTAAAATGTGTTTTTAAATTTTAAAATGTGTTCTTAAGTACGTTTGAATATTCTAAAATGTGTTTTTATTATTTTAAAAATGTGTTTTTATTATTTTAAAAATGTGTTTTTAGAAATTAATAGTTGTAACATTTTTAAATGTGTTCTTAAGTACGTTTGACATTCTAGAATGTTTTTTTGACATTCTTAAATGTGTTTTTATTATTTTTAATTGTGTTTTTAGGAATTAATAGCTATAATATTTTTAAATGTTCTTAAGTAAGTTTGACATTCTAGAATGTGTTTTTATCATTTTAAAATGAGTTTTTAGAAATTAATAGTTGACATTCTCAAATGTGTTTTGGACATTCAAAGTAAGTTTTACATTCTAGAAAATATTTTGGAGATTCTAAATTGTGTTTTTATAATTTTAAAATGTGTTTTTAAGTACGTTTGAGATTCTCAAATGTGTTTTGGATATTCTAAAATGTGTTTTTATCATTTTAAAATGTGTTTTTAGAAATTAATAGTTGTAACATTTTTAAATGTGTTCTTTAGTACATTTGACATTCCAAAGATATTTTGTGCATTCCAGAATATTTTTTATTATTTTAAAATATATATACATATAGAAATTAATAGTTTTGACATTTTAAAATTTGTTTTTAAGTACATTTCACATTTTTAAATGTGTTTTTGATATTCTAAAATGTGTTCTTAAGCACGTTCTAAAATGTATTTTGAATATTCCAGAATGTGTTTTTATTATTTTAAAAATGTATTTTTAGAAATTAATAGTTGTTACATTTTAAAATATGTTTTTAAGTACGTTTGACATTCTAGAATGTTTTTTTGACATTCTAAAATATGTTTTTATTATTTAAAATGTGTTTTTAGGAATTAATAGCTGTAATATTTTTAAATGTGTTCTTAAGTACGTTTGACATTCTCAAATGTGTTTTGGACATTCTAGAATATTTTTTTGACATTCTAAAATGTGTTCTCAAGTACGTTTGACATTCTAAAATGTATTTTGAACATTCCAGATTATGTTTTTTGACGTTCTATTTTAAAAACTTTAAAAACTGAATTAAAGACAATACGGATGAAAGAATTCTCACCTGTAATAGTCAGTCTGCGTGATGCAGACGAACTGGCAGTCGTCGCACTGCGTCAGCATCACACCTTTGTGATACAGCTTGTCCATGGTGGGCAGGATGCCGAACGCGTCGCCCACCGTCAAAATCTGGTTCTCCTCGCCGGGAATCTGTATCTCGACGGAGCCGTTCACCAGAACCGACCACGAGTCCAGCTCCTCGCAGTCGTGCATCACGGTGGTGCCGACCTTCTCCACCACCGCGAACACCATCACCTGGCAGAGGTCCCTGCGCACGGAAAGCGTCATGTTGGTGAACGCTTTGAGGTGCTGCGTGAACTCGAGCAGCGCCTCGATGTCCTCCTCGTTCCTGTCGTTGGGCTCTTTTTCGAGGCAGTCGCGAATCCTGTCTCGCACCGTGAGGCTGTCCATGCTAGAATCGAGTAGAATAGAGCATGTGTTTTTGATAGTGATGTAAACAGAAAAAAACGTTTTACAAAAATTTTCATGAACATTGTTTTTTCTTAATAGATATTATAATAGAAAAGAGTAAACCTAAAGCAAAAGAAAATTTGAAACTTTTGAAAATAATCGTTATTTATAATAGGGGCATTCCACGTTACTCGGTAATTTTTGTCCCGCCCGTCACAATTAAAAATTGTGAGTAAAAACCACAAGTTATTAAATTATTATTTTATAATATTATTTTTATTGTGCTTATAAGCAAAATAAACAATATTTTAAAACAAATTTTGTAACCTGTAGTTTTTACTCACAATTTTTAATTGTGACGGGCGGGACAAAAATCCCCGAGTAACGTGGAATGACCCAATAGAGGTTTTTAAATTAAAACTTGCTTCTAAAATAAACACACATGAGTTTATGAAAATTAAAACATGAACACAACTAAAATAGTTTTTGTTTATAAGAAAAAAATAGGCAGAATCTAAATCTTACATGACATGTCAATGTAGGTACCTACCTAACCTACATTACCTACTATTCAAAATCACTATAATCAGAATCAAAGTCCTTTTGACGTGTTAGTGTTGTGTACAGAAAAGTTTTCAGACAAAGAACTGTTTGAACTATAATCTAGATGATCTACAACTTTAGCTGAGGTATCTTTGTTAGGTACTATTGATAAGCCACTTGTTCTTGGCATTTCCAATTCAGTATCGCTAATTTCAGTGATAGTACTTGCAGTATCAACAATACTAGTAGTATTATTAGTAGTATTCTTTGCAGTTTCAGATTTCAATTTCAGGTTATGGGCAATATAAACTATTTTGGCTGTTTTTTGTTTTTTTTATAATTTGAAAAAACAAAAAAAAACGCTGTTTTAATTATTGTGAAAGTTTTTTATAATTTGAAAAAACAACAATGTTTTGTTTTTTTTTTCAGAAAAATCATGTTTTTTAAACGTTTTTTTTTCAAATTTGAAAAAAATACGTTTTTTACATTACTAGTTTTTGATAAGGTGACCAACTTTCTAAAATTATAATTTAATGTTTATTAGGTATTTAAAAAAAAAAGATGTGGATATTTTGGACATTGACATACTAGAATGTATTATAGACATTCTAGAATGCGTTTTTAGAAATTAATAGTTCGAACATTTTCAAATGTGTTCTTAAGTAAATTTGACATTCCAGAATGTATTTTGGACATTTTGGACCTTTATTTACAAGAATGTATTATGGACATTCAAGAATGCGTTTTAAAATGTGCTTTTAGAAATTAATAGTTGGAACATTTCCAAATGTGTTCTTAAGTACTTTTGACATTCTCAAATGTTTTTAGGACATTCTAGAATGTGTTTTTATAATTATAAAATGTATAGAATGTATTTTGGACATTTTAGAATTATTTTTTACATTCATTAATTTTTTTTAATGTTTATTATTTTAAAAAAATGTGGATATTTTGGACATTGACATACTAGAATGTATTATGGACATTCTAGAATGCGTTTTTAGAAATTAATAGTTCGAACAATTTGAAATGTGTTCTAGAATGTATTTCGGACATTTTGGACATTGACGTACAATAATGTATTATGGACATTTTCAAATGTGTTTAAGTACGTTTGACATTCTAGAATGTATTTTTGACATTTTAGAATATTTTTTTTGACATTTTAAAGTATGTTATTAGTACTTTTTACATTCTCAAATGTGTTTTGGACATTCTAGAATGCGTTTTTAAAAATTAATAGTTCAAACATTTTTGACATTCTAGAATGTATTTTGGACATTGACATACAAGATTGTATTATGGACATTCTAGAATGCGTTTTAAAATGTGTTTTTAAAAATTAATAGTTGGAACATTTTCAAATGTGTTCTTAAGTACTTTTGACATTCTCAAATGTGTTTTGGACATTCTAGAATGTGTTTTTATAATTAAAAAATGTGTTTTTAGAAATTTATAGTAACATTTTCAAATGTTTTCTTAAGTAGTTTTTTTTTGTACGTTTGACATTCTAGAATGTATTTTGGAAATTTTGCTGTATTCCAAACTTGTTACAGAATATACTATTTTTTACATTTTAAAATGGTATTTATTATTTTAAAATGTGCTTTTTGAAATTAATGGTTGTAACATTTTAAATGTGTTCTTAAGTACTTTTGACATTCTCAAAAAAATTATCGTGAAGGTAATCCCAAAAATTCAGATTTTTTAATTAATTTTTAACCTGAGCCCCGACCACTTTTAATAAAACAATTAGAAGAAATCCTAAAAAAGTGGAAAAAACTAATAATAAAAAAAAAATTCAAACGAGGTTTTGTCTTACTTTTTTACTTTCCTGAAGGTAGTCCCATAACTTTAGATTTGTAAATTAATGTTTAACCTGAGCCCCAACCACTTTTAATAAAAAAATTCAAACGAGGTTTTTTTTTTACTTTTTTACCATCCTGAAATCCAATAAAATGAGAAAAAGTTATAATTTGCTATATTTTTTTTCAACGAGGTTTTTTAACTCTTTTAAGGGCCGGTTTATCAATGTCCGGTTAAAGTTGCAGTTAGTTATCTGGCAGATATTCTCCATGGATACCATTGTTCTCACAACGATCGCTATGAAATTTAACTGAAACTTAACCAGAGATTGATAAACCACCCCTAAATGTTTTTAGTTTTAGATTTTTAAAATTTACAAAAATTTTTAACCTGAGCCCCGACCACTTAAAAAAAATTGCAAATAACGTCAATATTAAAAAAATTAGTATAAACCAGGACCAAATCTGCAAAACCAGGACAAAATCAGGACACATTAGCAAAAAACCAGGACGGTTGGTCACCTTAATTTTAGAGATCATAAATAAATCGAAGCCTACCTTTCTGCCAGATCTTCGTCCTCGTCGCTGTCCACCACGGACTCCACCAGACCCGTGAGGTCTAGCTCTTCACCGTCCAACTCGCTGTGATTGGATGCCATCGTGTCAGATCCGCTGTAAGCGGAACTAGTGTCGGAAGAGTGAGATCCTCGTGAGCACTTGTGGTACAAATTGCTGCCTGGCTGCTGGTTTCGAGATACCAGCTGGTTTGCCATGTACTGCAAAAAAATTAGTATCATCATATTATATCAAAGCCTTATTATACTCTTTGAAAAGATGTTTGGGTTTATGGAAGTTATCACAAAGGTTAGACACAACAAAACCTACTTTTAAAACTCCTATGACGCTTGTAAGTTTTAACTTTGCTTTATTATGGGATGTCATTTATACCCTTATAAAACCACCAATATAATAGTAATATAATATTGGTTTTAAGGGTTCTTAAAAAGTATGTTTTATGGAAGAAGTTTTCTGGAGGAAACTGTCCCAAGAATATTTGCTTGTTCTCTAAGTACTTGTTAAAGCTGAAACTTTAATCTGCTTTATTATACTCCTGTGTGCTAGCTTCTCAAGAGCAGTTTGTCTCGATGGCAATACATTAAAAGGCACTAATACGCTAATATAGGTAGTTTGGTATTCAGGTTAATCTAGTTAGCACACGCAAGATGTCATCATTATTCGACAAGTGGGTTAAAGTGCAAACCAGTGGCATAGAAAAGTAAAAAAGGCGTCATAGAAAACTGCTTCAAGCGTCGTAATCGTAATAATACTTCGATTAAAACACTATGAAATAAAGCGCGCGGGAGACCGACTCAGAAAACAAATTATAGGTTATAAATATAACCTATATTCTTATGAGGTGCCGGCACTACTTCCCTTATAAAACCACTTTGTTTCTAGAAAAGAAATGTTGCTTTAAATTAGAAAAAGCACTCTAGTGAGTACCTTATTAAGTGCCTATTGGTTTTATGACATACTTTTTTGGTTTTAATAAAATAAATAGGTTTTCCTTATGCAGGAGATACTGCTCTTAAAGACGTATGACCACCATTTTTTCCATCCTCCATATTTTTGTACTAAAAAATGCTTTGCTAAAATAATTCTAAAAAATAGATCATGTAAATTAATAGTATATTATGTATCAAGTTCGATAAACACCATTTTATACACGAATTTAATTTAGGCACGAGCGAGCTTGCTAACGAGTGCCTAAATTAATGAGTATATAGAAAAGTTTATAAACGAGGAGCATACTATACTTTTCTACGACAAATACTTATTATTATCTTAAAATGATTTAAATCAAAAATTTGTATAGAGCGCCATATATGAAACAATAGGGGAATCTGTGTGTCATAAATCGAAATGTATTTCTTGAAAATTGACATTTTTTCACAGTGAAAGTAAAGAAAATGTTTTATGAGGACTGCCCGAATTTAAGTTATAGTTTACTGCCGGCGAAATTAAAAGGTCAGTACAATGTTCATATAAACTTTTCAAATATTGGCGTTGAGAAACTATTTAATACTTTTGTATTTTTGTATTGAGATAATAAAATAATTTCCACATTTAGTATTATTTTACAAGAAAGGCACTTTATTTTAACGATTGTATGACATTTGACAACTGTCAACTAACTTAAAACTAACTTCAGTCCGTGACTAAAGCGCCATAAAGCCACAACTTGTCAATGTGTATTTAAAAGGTCATTTAGTGTCATGGAACGTGTACGTTTTAAAGGTTGGAGTAGAAAAAATAACTAATATGAATTAATTAAACTATAATATACAGGGTGACACATTTAACTTGAAACTTGAAATATATCAGTTAGTATGCATTTTACGAAAAAAAAATCAAATCAAAAATCAATCAGTACTAAAATTGGTCCTCATACTCTCCCCAAAATTTTCAATGGAACACCCTATTTTTATTGCAGATTCGAATGTTTTAGACAAAATCTACCTATTTTTAGTCGAATGATCCGAATCTGCAATAAAAAATAGGGTGTTCCATTGGACATTTTAAAGTTACCCCCTGTTCCCCCTTTAAGGAGGAGAGTATGATGACCAATTTTAGTACTAATTGATTTCCCCCCTCGAATCGTTTAATTTTTATTTTAAACATTTTTTTGTAAAATGCATACCAACAGATATTTCCAAGTTCCACCTTGTATATACAAAAGTGCTCTTATATTATATGGATATGTTTTTTTAAATCATTTAAGCAAAGCATTTTTTAACAACAAAACTAATTATTGCAAGGTTATTATACCAAACTTTGATTAAAATGCTCTTTTTTAGGAAAGAATTTCAATTTTCTATGTAATACCATAATAAAAACAAATATGATAAATTGTTGCAAAATTAGTTTGTTGCGAAGTCCCATTTGTTTTTAAGAAGAATTTTATTGACTTTCATATAAAATGTGGTGGTGGTATTAAGATATCACCCCAGGATGAAGAAATATAACTACATACAAGCATGTTTAATTTAAAGTTGTACTTCATAAAATATTAGAGATAATAGTTTTAAAGTTATTCTAAACCAAAGCAATATTGTAAATACTACGGCAAAAATGTTTAAAAAGAATATTGCTTACATGCTAACTAGCTTTATGGAGGTGTTTTTATGAAAGCTGTGACAACCTCATTAAAGCAATTATAATAAAAGCTTTTGGCAATAAAAGGATTCTGTTACAGCAATAATAAAACCTAATGTGTTATTTGGGTATTTTTCGGTATAAAAATAGAAAAAAAATACTTACGGCATCATCGAACATAATATTGATAGGGCGATGTTGTTGATGATCCATTAGTGGAGAATTCTGTAGTCTTCTGCTCTGCTCTATATCTGGATAATCAATCTAAAAAAAATGCTATTCATAAAAACCACACACACACAAAAACAAAGTTCAGATTTAAAAAACAAGATACCTCTTTGAACATATTAAAATCCACACTATTCTTATCGACATTAAAATCAACTTCCTGGATTTGCTCGACAAACTCGCTACTATTCCTTTTTTTCGTAGGCGAAGGTAAAGTCAGAGAGTTGCTTCTGCGCACATTAATGCACTTCAAAGTTCTCATGTTCCGCAAAGTTCTGTAGGCGGCACTTCTTCGTCTTAAAACAACCGCCACCGACATCCTCTTCCTTGGAGGGGCCCTCTCCAAAGACAGGGCCGTTTGGGCGGCGTGTTTCAACATTTTCCACTTTGATTGAAACTTAACTAGAAGTGTGTCGGAGCGAGTTTATCGGCGTATAACGGAAGGAAACTGATATGATGTAGATTTTTAAAGGCCACTGCCAAACCACATTTAATGCAGTCCTATGCAGAACATATTATACACAAAAAAAAATCTCTAAACACAAAACTGCAAAAATGTGCATGTTGTTGTGCACAAGCATGGCTTGAAACTAAAATCTATTTGCGATAACACATAAATTTATCGAACAATTTTCGACGGAAACTGTTATCCGTTAGGTGGTTTTAGTAGTCACAGGGTTTCTATCATTGTTAAGTTTTATAACCATACTCTCATAGGATACCGAGCTGATAAAATAAGAATAATTACAAATTGACATGTGTGTAGTATTAACGTCATTAAAACCAAAGAATATGTGGTGACGTCAAAAATGAAAAACTTAAAAACGAAAAAAGCAACCATTTCCGGTTAAGTTTGATAATACGTATACTGCTTGAAAAGTATGGCACGCCATATTAGCATTTATTATTTAATAGTTTAAACTTTGGCACTTTAAGTTAATTTTTTTAAAATTTTAGTTCAAATATTTTATTTTACAAAATTTTCGGTTTAAATTTGTAAAGAGTCAATTAAATGATGGTCGAAAAATTTTGAATCAAAAATTCTCACATTACATTTAAATGTAAGTTTTAAATTTTAAAGTGGTAATTTTTGGTTTAAAATTTTTCGACTATACTTTACAAACAAAAACCAAATTTTTTTATTTTTAACAATTTTAATTTGATACATTTTTAAATTTATAACTTTACATTCAAGTCGAAAATTTTTAATTTACAAAGTGTAAACGTAACTTTAGCACTCTTTCTAGAGTGAAACGTACAAAGCGCGAAGTCTGCAGTCAGCTAAAGCAGAATTTACACATTGTGAATTAAAAATTATCGACATTTAAAGCCTGATTTATAGATTGCCTTCCTTCCTTCCTCCCTTACGGAAATCTATAAACGGCACTACGATTTTCGTATTGTTCATCTTTTACGGGAGGAAGGAAGGAAGGATTGCCTTCCTTCCTTCCTCCCTTACGGAAATCTATAAACGGCACTACGATTTTCGTATTGTTCATCTTTTACGGGAGGAAGGAAGGAAGGAGGCAATCTATAAATCAGGCTTAAATGTAATGTGAATATATTTGTGTTAAAAATTGTTAAAAATAAAAAAAAATTTGGTTTAAATTTCCCAAGAGTCTGATAGTCGATAAATTTTTAATCTAAAAATTACCACAATTTACAACCAACATTTAAATATAATGTGGAAATTTTTGTACTAAAAATTTATCTACTATCATTTAAATGACTCTTTAGAAATTTAAACCAATAATTTTGTTTAACTTTCAATTGTTTTGAGATTTAAAAAAATTAACTTTTTAAACTATTGTGGTAGAAAATTTTTTATTTGTTTGTATTTTAAACGTATCGACACTATTTTTAAAAACAAAAAAAAATAACTTTACCAATTTAATCTAAATAACTTTATAAAAAATTTATTTAGGATTTACCACAATCCACACAACAAGGTCTGTTCTATCTCGTACTAAAAATACAAAAAATCACTGCAACACTGCACAGTTTAACGGCGGCCATTTTTGTTTGTTTTTACAATTTTTGTGCTCTGTTTATACAGATTAATAATCGTTTTAAACGTTGTGTTTCTCATAGTAAGCCTTAAAAGAAACCTTAAAGTGATAAGAACAACCATTTTACAGTGGCGTAGCGACAAATTTCGGGCCCCCCCGCGAAAATCCTTACTGGGTCCCCTGATTGCAGGTATTTTTTACATGGTTTTATATTGTAAATAAAAAATAATACATCCAGTGACATGATTTTTTAAATTATTTAGGTATAAACGAAAAGTAACAAAAAAATAATTAAAAAAAAAATAAGGTTCTCCACTGTACCTACTTATAAATTATAAGTAAAATAATAGAAAATAGTAACATATTTTTTAACATAAAAAAATAACCAATATACCCATGGATGTTCACTATAGTTTAATATATACCCACTATAATTATATCAAAACGTAAGTAGTATCTTATTTTAAAATTTAACTAAAATCGTATCAACTAATAGGTATATTTAGTTAATAATATTTACTCAGTAACTCTATATATTAAACTCTCTATAATATTAAACTAACCAATAATAAAAGAAATAGTTACATGTAAATACTAGACCACTTTGTGCTCACCACAGTTGACCGGCGAGAAACGCATGTAAAACAGTGGAAAAATAAAATAATCAGATGCAGTCACAAATAAGAACCTACTTGAACCAATACGAATATAAAACAAAAACAAACTAACAACTTGTGAATCACAATCGTCAAAATTTTAGGGGTTCGCAAAGAGAACGCTTCAGAACTGTCAGAATAATACGGATAACTAAATGCGCATATCTGTTTAGAGTTAGGCGCATGTTTCCAAGTTCTGAATCGTTTCTGCGTAAACCCGCTGTCAATTGTTAAATAAGCGCGATTTTTAAAATTCATCAAAAGGTTCCGTTAGATGTTTTACATTTATGTTGTGATGGTAGGCCAATAATATCAAGTACCTACCTACATTTTAGTAAATTATGATATTTTTAGTTAATCATTCATTATTATTCAATTTTTAGTATAAGTAAGATGGAAATAAGTATTTTAATGTTTTGGGGCAAGTATCGGCCGGGCCCCCTACGAGGTTAGGGCCCCCCGCTTGGCGGGCGTTCGCGGTACTGTCGCTACGCCACTGCCATTTTACTCCTCTATTGTAAAAAATAAACTTTATTCTATCAGGGCTGTCATAAAACTGTCAAATGTCAATTTTAAGGTTAAATTATAACCCACAAATTAACCTTCAAATTGTCATTTGCCAGCCCTGATAGAATAAGGTATATTTATTATAAAAGAGGAGTAAAATGGTTGTCCTTAGCACTTAAAGGCCTTATTTGAGGCTTACAAATGCCTCTGTAAGAAACACAACGTTTAAAACAATTATTAAACAGCACAAACCCAAAGCACAAGAATTGTAAACAACAAAAATGGCCACCATAGAAAAAGAATATGGCCACCGTTAAACTCTGTGCAGTGTTGCATGATTTTTAGTATTTTTAGCATGAGATAGAACAGACCTTGTTGTGTGGATTGTGGGATTTACAAAATTCTGCCCAAATAAATTAAACTTGAGAAATTATATTTATTAAAAAATTATGGTTAAAAATGTTTGCAAAAATTGATTGGAAATAATATTGTTTAATACAGAAGTGAACTGTTAGTAAATTTTGTCTTTTAATAGAGGATAGTTAAAAATATTTTAAATTTAAAAATGTAAACCTATAATTTTTAGTTAGGAAAATTTTAAACCAACAAAATCTTAAATTAAAAAATTATTTAATAATGTTAAAACGGCGTGCCATAGAAAAGTGTGTAAGAACATTGGAAAACAATGTTTTGGGGGCCAAAATTGGCCACCAAGAAGTGGCGATCTAAAGATTTGTCCTTTTTTGTGAAGCTCTTTTGAAAGTAAAATTTACGTGGAAATAACTGAACATATTTAATATCAGCATTTACAATTGAAAACTCAATAAAGAATTTGTAGAATTTCATTATCGCTCGTTATCGAGGTGTATGAATATTTGGCACATATCTATCGAAAGCGTAACATCAAATACAAGTAGAGTAAAAGGTCATAGGTCAAAGCAGGTTCATCAAAGTTTCCATGGTTACCTGTATTATTATCTACCGGTTATATTTCTATTTGGGTCATAGTAGACAAATCAGTTATTTTTTAACCCATTTTATCTCCTTTACGAATTTTTTAATTAAATTTACCGTGTTTATGAGAAAGATCGATTAAATAAATTAATAATTGAAAAGTTATAAAAAAACATATTAATACTTTTACTTTCTCTCCTATTATAAAAAGTTTTCACTTGATAGCAATTTTCGATACAACATACAAATCTAAAAATCTCATGATAATTGAAATGTTTATTTCGAAATAACTTTAGTTTTTAATAAACAAATCAATAAGATGTAAAAATTTTAAAATAAATTATAAATGAAATATTCCCCAAATTTTTCTTGAATAGGTACTTACAATGATCATCTCAGAGGGTTCCAAAACAAAACATTCATTTTGCCTTCTCGCACTGCCACCAGTTCTTTTGCCAAAACTGAAAAAAATAAAAAACATGTTATACACAAATTTTATATTTATCTTATATTTATAATTCATGGGGTTCCATAATATATTCCAATACTTCCAATAACACTCTAGGGAGGTGTAAATATCATGTTAACTTAATTTTTGGTCGTGCTGGTCTAGGGTATTAAAATTTTCGGAAAAATTGAACCGTTTTTTCAAAAAAATTTCCAGTTATTTTCCGACACTTTAAAACTCTAATAAGGTTTTGGAGCACTCCATTAGAAACACTCTGTATATTTAAAAAAAATCAATTGGGATGCCCCCTCAACGGTCCCAAATTTTAAAAGAAAATTTTTGGAAAATTTTATGTTAATTGATTTCGTGACTTTCGCATAATTAAAAAAGTCTGATAAGCAATTTTTGAGAAAAATATTGTAAGAATTTCTTAAAAATCAATATATATATTTAGTTGTGGTTAAAATATTTATTTATAACATGTTTTGTAGTATTTTCCAAGTATCAATAACGATAGTTATAACCACAGAAAAAAATAAAATAATCATGGAATTATTGTAAAATTATATGGAATTGTATGAAAAATTTTAATATTATTTTTCTACTCCCACCTTTAAAACCCATTATCGTACGTGTTGTGTCTTTATGGTGTTTTAGTCACGGGCTGAAGTTAGCAACAGATTTTTAGTCACTGGCTGAGTTTAGTTTTAAGTTTGTTGTCAAATGTCATACAAACGTTAAAATAAAGTGCCTTACTTGTAAAATAACACTAAATGTGAAAATAATTTTATTAATACAAAAATACAAAAGTATTAAATAGTTTCTCAAAGCCAATATTTGAAAAGTTTAAATGAACGTTGATTTAACTTAATTTCGGGTAGAGTGCCCGTAAAACATTTTCTTCACTTTCACTGTGAAAAACTGCTTCTATATCGGATTTAAAAGGTGGTTAGTCCATGTTCAAGGGATACTATTCGATTTAGACGTAAAAATTTGACATATTGACCGAATTTTTAATGAATTATTAATGATTTTAAAACATTATTACGTTATAAAGCCCCTATAAGGAAAACTGTAAGTAATAATCGAGCAAATTAAAAAGACCTTGGGATGAAAGTACCTACATGATTTTTTTTAGGAGTGACTTATGTCCTCTATATTTAAAAAAAATAATATAAAAATATGACTTATGACACAGTTTAAAAGTCAACTTTGACCACTTAATAAAACTTTGTTTACCTTAAAAACTCCATTACAAATTTTCACGTAATAACGCATACAACACGTTTTATATTCAACAAATTACACTTATGTATATATATCACAATAAATCACAGCTTATAATAATTATCCAAAAAAAAATTTCACTAAATACTACATTATACTAGATTATTAAAAGAAAGCCACGCTTAAGAAACAAACTAACAAACTTGAACTGCATCGCACTGCAACCTAACTAAATATTATTGAGCCCTATTGAAAAAGGCACCCCACGTTTAGTACTAGGCAAGGTGCGTACCGGCCCAAAACTACCGCGTTCGGGTTAACGGTACCGAGCATTTCCTTAGTCGGGCGTACCAATAACCTTTATGTTTAAATGTTTGACAATGTTCGAATTTGTTATTCACCTCTGTGAGTCATGTTCGATTTACAAAACTATCAACATGTTTATTTTTTGATGACACGCTTAGCGGATTCCTGGGATTTTGCGGGGTACGGCCCTGGATGTGTCTGCTGCCAGGTAAAAAGGAGACGGATTAGGGGAGGGTCCCCGAGTTACCACTACAAATAATATGATGAAAATAAATTTTGAATAATTGTTCGTCATGTTCAACATATTTTGCGAGTATCTAATTTTTTATTTTGATTGAATAAAAAAAAAGTCTTCTGTTTTAAGTTAGTACATTTAAAAAAATATATATTAACTGAATAAATGGACAACCATTAAAATTATTTATTTATTTTAAAATTATTGCCTATTTACGGGTGTTTTAGGTTCGTGGTCCATTAAAAGTTTCTGAGGAACGGCAAAAGATATGGATTTGAAATTTTTAAAGAGTTTATTATTTAATTAAGCGTATTTTTCAAAAAAAAATTAAACAAAATTCCACTTTCGGTTTGGCCGGAAGTGACATTATCTTTGTTATTTTAAATATAACACCCCATATATTTTTACATTTTTAAATTCTACATAAAATTTTGAGAAAAATTACTATACCATGTCTAGAGATGTAAAAAAAACGGTTTTTTTCAAAATGAAATTTTAAGTACAATGTATATTAATAATAAAGTGAAATGTAGAATAAATTACATTTTTCATTATTGAAAATTTTGACCGAGACTAAAAAATCTGATTTCTTATTATTTGGTAGTTTCCACATTAGAAACCAATAACAATGTAAAACTTCTATACTAATACAAAAAATTAAAGGATAAAAAAATGTTTTGCGATTCTTGAGATCTTTGTTAAAAATGGTCGTAAAAAAAGCAATATGAAGTTTGAAGTTACTAGTTTTGATATTTTTGGATGAAAAACGTGCAACGCTCAATCCTAACGAATACCGTAATAAAAAAATCGATTTTTTTTTGGCTTTCTGGTCCACGTAACGTTCTGACTTAACCACCAATGAATACATGTTCTACAAGAATTTGGTATTGTTTAAAAAAAAATCCATACTCTACATGAATTTGGAAAATCATGAAAAAAGTGCTTTTGGTAGCTTTTTGAAATATCAAGTGCGGCCCTTATTGGTCAATTCGGTGGTGGTGCACCACCATGGTGGCGCGAGACTGTATTTACATTTACTAATTGTCATTTAGTGACTAATTTTAGTCCATGAACTGGACTGGAGACAAAAAATTGGGCAAATGGGACTAATATTGAAAAAAAAACCTAAAATGTGAAAAAAAACCATTTGAAAAAAAACAATGAAAAAAAACTGAAAAAAACAAAAAAAACGGATCGTTTTTTTTTCAAGTCGCATCTCTAACCATGTCATAAAGTAAATAGTTTTCGAGTTATGAATTTTTTTCGTTAAAATTTGACATATGCGCGTTAATCAAAAATAGCCTATAACTTTTTTGCTATTAGGTTTGCCGAAATGAGGGTGGAATTTTTTGAATCTTAAAACATTGTTTAAAGGATCCCATGTCAATTCTTTAACATTTTTTTAACAAATTACCCAAGAAAACCCAGGGCAAATTAGGCAAACTTGAAACGTTAATAACTTTTTATTTTAAATGAAACACACTGTATGTTTTTACATAATCAAATAGAAAATTAAAAAACATTTCGATTGATGTAATTGTTAAATATCTCTGAAATTATTAACTTTAGGTATAGGGAACTCGAAAACTATTTACTTTAGGTATTGGAAATGGTTAGAAATTTTACTCAGAATTTTATGTAGAATTTAAAAATGTAAAAATATATGAGGTGTTCTATTTGAAATAACAAAGTTCCGGTCAAACCGGAAGTGACATTTTAATCAAAATATTAAAAAAAATAGACTTAAATGTATTATAAATTTCAAATCGATATTTTTTCCGTTCCCCAGAAACTTCCAATGGACCACGAATGTGAAACACCCTGTATATCAAGTGGTGTTTTTTAGGTTGTGATACCACTATAGATTCGAAAGCAATGTATAATCGTCAAACTAAAAGATTCCAACATATATTTAATATAAGATAAATACAAACCTGTTGTTTTATTAAAAAAAATCAAAAATTAAGAGAATTAAGTACATGGGTACGTTTTTTAACCTTTATTTTTAAAATCTTTCATGGGAGGTAAATCGTGTTGAACTGTGTTATACCTATAATTTAAAAACCTACTTTTAAGCATTTTAAAACAAATAAAGATTCCTTGTCTATGATTCACCTTCATGAATCATATCGCACTAATTAGTAATAATATATTGATTAGTTTAAAATAAATAATATTATCACTTATATATTCAATTTTAACAATTATATTGTCTATAGGGACTGGAGCCCTACTTAACCATTATATTAAAATAAATAAACTAAAAAAACAAAACAAAGAAAATATCAAAGCAATCTTAACCCAAATTGCGAAACTCAAAACATAAATTCGGTTTTTAAAACTTATCTGTAATAATTGATGATTTTTTTTCAATTTAGTTTCATCTTAAAAAAAGGCGTTTTAATTATTGAGAGAATAATGTGATGAACAGGATTCATAAAAAAAAACTTACTGGTATTATAAAAACCTAACCTTAATTGAAACTCAATACGACTTGATTAATAAAAACTGCCAATTCTACCTGTGTAGCGTGTAAGTACCCACGTGCACCACAATAATAAAATAATAAATTTTACTAATCGAGACAAAAACTATAAAAGATCAGACAACAGTTTTAAATAATTTAATCTGAATCAAAATAAAAAGACCCGCTCTACACACACTGCAACGCAAACTGCCACCCACCACATCATCAGTCATGTGATATAAAACCACCAATTAGAGCAAGCCCAAGCTCCGATTCTGACTGGATTTTAATTTACCATTTATGCTTATACTATGATTGATTGATTTTTTACTTTTTATTGTGTAGAACTGTAGGAAAAGTACACTTTTAGAGAGGCCTACCCTGACGAGCCGCCACTGATTTAAGGAGATTTGGGTTAAAATTTAATTTTGCCATCCCACACAATATCGATGTTTTACTGCGGAGATGAGATTACTGCAGGATTCAGGATAATGTCAAAGTTCGCCTAAATGCCAAAAACAATGTTAACAATATACATAATATGTACATATTATGTACGGGTGATCCCCCTTTAACTTTTTTATTTTAAGTGTCCCAAAAAACTTAAAAGTGTGGTTATGTAGGTACTAAAAAATACTTTTTTTCTACGTATAAAGAAAATTGGAAAATTGATCAGTATACAGGGAAAAACAAAAATTTATTATTTTAATTTATTTATTTATTTTTCGATTCCTTGTAAAATTCTAAGCATATTTCATAAAACATACCATATACCTAAATTCAACCGTTTCTGAAGTA